AGGAAGACGAGAGTAAGCCCCTGAACTGGTCAACGACTCGGAAATGCATCAACGTAGGACTTGTCAGCGCCCTAACTTTTATCGCGTAAGTGACCCTAGGTCTTGATGTGCTGCAGAGGTGAGGTAGCTGATTGACTATTGATGGTTTGGTAGGTCTATTGCATCCGCCATGTGTGCACCTGGGGTCCCGGATATGATGGCCGAATTCCACAGCGATAGCAAGGTCCTCTCATCTTTCATCGTATCTATCTTCGTTCTTGGGTATGCTATTGGGCCAATGTGAGTTCCGCTACATCACTTAGTAAAATATCCTCAATATTCTAATTAAGTCAATCTTTCTAGCTTCTTTGCCCCGTTATCTGAGCTCTATGGGAGACTCCCTATTTACCACAGTTCAAATATTCTCTTCACTCTCTTCAGTATCCTGAGCGCCATCTCACCAAACTTACCAGCCCTCATCATCTTCCGCTTCCTCTCTGGGGCCTCGGGTGCAGCTCCGCTAGCTATCGGTGGTGGCACCATAGCTGATCTCATTCGACCTGAGCGTCGTGGCTTGGTGGTGAGCGTTTACTTTGTCGGCCCAATCCTCGGACCAGCACTGGGACCTGTTGCGGCTGGATACATTTCACAGGATCTAGGCTGGAGATGGATATTCTGGGTTACTGCAATTCCCGTGAGTGTTTACTATCATGATCGACGCCTCTTGCTGATCTAGAGAAATAGTCTGGCGTCTTCACGTTGATCTGCTTTTTATGTCTACGAGAGACATATCCCCCCAGACTGCTGCATCAACGTGCGGTAGCGCTGAGGAAAGCCCATCCAGGAAGCTATTTCGTGGCCCCCGGTGAAAAGTCGGCGTTGAGTCCAAGTACCCTCCTTCTCAATGCACTAATTCGGCCGATCAAGATGTTCTTCCTGAGCCCAATTGTGCTTGTCCTCTCAACCATACTGGCTTTGGCATACGGATACATGGCAGGTCTCACGATATGTTTGTTACTTTAAAAGAAATACTGACATTAGATAGTATATACTATTAACAACATTCACCCCAGTTTTCACTTCCGAGTACGGCTTCTCGCTGGGCACAGTCGGTTTAGTATACCTTGGATTGGGCGTGGGTTTCAGCGGAGGAGCGATATGCAACGCAATATTTAACGACCGTATGGCGAATAAACGAACGGCACGTAGTGATGGACACCGCCAGCCTGAGTTCCGTCTTCCGATCATGGCTAGGACCATCCTGCTCACACCATTAGGACTGTTTTTCTATGGCTGGACTGCGCAGTACAAGCTGCACTGGATACTGCCCATCATTGGTTCTGCACTTCTTGGTGCCGGGCTGATAATGATCATGGTGAGTGCTGCAGGTTTCTCATACCGTTCAGTGACTAATTGAGGGACCAGATGCCGCTGCATACATACCTCATTGATGCGTTCACCAAGTACGCTGCTTCTGCGATTGCAGCATCGACAATTTTCCGCTGCATCGTTGGGGCATTTCTGCCACTCGCGGGCGAGTCATTGTTCAATCGGCTGGGACTGGGATGGGGAAGTAGTCTATTAGGGTTCATCTCACTCTTGCTCTGCCCGGTGCCATGGCTACTCCAAAGATATGGCCAGGCGGCTAGGGAGAGGTTTGCTGTCACCCTTTAGACAATGTCATTTATCTTAGACACCCATATAGAGGGTTCATTAAGTTCTTTTTTGACATTGACCCAATACACATCGTCATTTACACAACGATAAGCACTCTTTCAAGTATTGGACAAGGATACTGTGTGTGAAATCTCGGTCACCAAGGGATGTAGACTGCGTGGGAAGCGAACACATTTTTGCTTTTCCCTCCTATTTTCTTGAAATATCTGAACCTCGGATATTCTTGTGTTGTCTGATCATGACTTTAACCAGATGGTTTGCCTTCACATGAGATATCCTGTCTAACGGAACCATCACCATTTCCTTGCCCTTTCCAGCGATCGGTCCTCAGCTAGCGTCACACAAGGTGTATACTCAATGTCGAGATGTGAGTTGATGGCGAAAGGGTCTTCGGTATGCATGTTGATCAGCACATGATCAGCACAGTGTGTTGAGTGATTCCAGTTGATGGCATAAGCCGGTACCGTCGTTTTCCATCGTGCGGCGCTGCTGAGAATCTTCCATGTTGCAACGCAATGCCACCGGTGAAGATCCATAGACACCCATTTTATGTCTTGCGTACCCTCTATGACTTGCGGCAGAGTAACTGGCTTTGTGGCGTTTTGGTCCTCAAAGAACTCCCAGGGCCACACGTGCTCAAACTCGTCAATGAGCTCGGGAGAAGAGCATTGTGTCGGCATCCAGTGGAGTAAGACATCGTCATAGACGCAACCTGCTTCGCGGGCTTCGGCAGGCGTGTTTCCGCAGGCTGAAGAGGGCTCCCAGGCGCGAAAGGTCTGGCCACTATCGATGACACTCCACTCCGAGACGATTGTGGACATTTTCGCGGGTGAGTCTATGAAGTGTGCCGCCAAAGCAAATGCAAGAACCACAATGCCTCCGGTAATGGAGTAGCCAACTCCCTGAAAGACCTTTCTCCATGGGAACGGTCTCGGATAATGGTTCAATACTTGCTTTGACGCAATCTCCTCCAGTATGTCGTCGTCATAGCTACTAGACCGAGAAGATAATAGCCTCTCCTCCGCTTCCTTGCTATGCTCCGTGGTGGTTGACATTGTTTACTATAACACTGAGGTACTAGAGTCATGTAGAAGGAGTAGAGGAGTGTCCATAAATTCGCTTTCCCTCTGACCGTTGTACAATCCGAAGCTCATATTCCTCTGTCAGGGCCGGGGAGAACAGGGCCGGGGAGGATTACAGCAACTCTGGCTTGCCGCAGAATATGTGAGGCGAGCTTGCTTGCTACAGATTTCTACGCCGAGGCTATACGAGAACTAAAAGACAGACGGTACTAATGCAGTACAAAAGACTGGGTTCGCCTAAGAAGCATGGTTGCGGAATCCGAGAAATTCTCCAAGCTCCCGCTGTGGCCCTTGGAGCGTGTGTCACAACTCAAAGCTTAAAGTCATAAGACGTCATAAGACGCAGTCGAGAACGTCCCAAGGACCAAACTACCGAGCACAGAACCTGGGAGAAGAGCTTATTCCTTCTTACCAGGATCATATAAAGTAAATAGGTGGAACGACTTGCTGTAAGTAGTACTATAATTGCACTAACGATATACGGACGTCGGCGCCGGAAGCTAATCGATCTGTAAGAGGAGCCGGGCAGAAGACACGGAGACTTTCTTCTTCGCCGCCCTATTCTAGCTGGAAGCGAGCAACATATCCCGGCTACAATCTGAATCAGAGAGGATGAAGTGGAAGATATCTACTACCCATGGCGTTAAGTCAGGAACGAATGTCATGCAATGTTGGCATATCTCATAATTCGCTTGTTCAACAAGATTGCCCATCGTTCACCTTCAGTAAGCATCGCTATCAACGTGCAATCATGGCAAATCACCCCGAAAAGGTCACTAGGCTCAACAGAAACATCGACAACAGCCTTTCGCCTTGTCTTCGACTTCTTTTCTTCCTCCTAGGCGTAGCCATCTGCACTCTTTTCACGCTACTGGTCCCCATCTCTCCGTTCTATGGAACTGAACACGGGAACCACGGTCAATCCGACACAAATCTTGGACTCATCACCAGTCTGCTGAAGGACAAATTCCCCTGCGGCAGAGAAGCTTCCACTGCATTATCACGTGGGTGTAAGTTCGAGTCATACACAGCGACATGGCAACCTCCGCAATGTTTCGACTCGGCTCTGGATGCCGAGTTCCGCCAGACGCGCCCATGGAAGTTCTTCACATCTCGGAATTTGACCACCGAGCTATCCTGGTCTGACGTCGAGAAGATCACTCAAGGACAGGCTTGGACGACATGGGAGTTCCACCTCTACTCTTGCGCGTTTCTTTGGAAGAAAGAGGTCAAGATCGCGCACGGTCTGGTTTCTGGCACCATCGACTATCACCAGTGCCTAGACCATGCGTTGATGCAGGACTATGCAAGGCCCAAGGACCATGTGAGCATCCCCTACTGGCCACGCTTCACTTCTTGTCGACCACCCAGCGATATTTCCGTTCATCAGTTCGACTTGAAGCCTGGAGTGGATAAGGGGCTTGGCAGCGACGGACAGCTAGCTGAAGTGCATGGGCACTCTCACCTTCATGGAGCGAACAAGGAATATGATCACAAGCCAAGGGAATAAGCCACTTCCATCTCGGCGGAGAAGATTAGTACCAGACTGGGATAGCCAATAGTTCCGTTCTCGGGCTCGCAATGTACTCATCTAAACATCATTATGCGCATAGTTCCAATCCCTCGCAACGTTAAACATACCAGTACATGTAAAGTCCTCGGTTCCTCATAGGTGGGTGACGAGGTTCGTTTCAAGTCAACCACCTTACCTCGAGTACGACGTGTACGTGTACTACACTCTAGACTTCCGGGAATTCGTCTGTTCTTGGGCAGTCAAACGAAAGCAGACCATTGCTAATACCCGAGAGCGACACTGTCGTCAAAATCTCGCGCCCAACTAGGTTCACTATAAGGATCAGAGTTCTGTGAGCGGAGCAGGGCAGCTACTGGTTCTCAAAAGCATCCCACTTTCCGCATTTTAAGCTTCCGTCATCCCACTCAGCAAGCTCAAGGTTGGAAGAGTTTTGTGTGCATGCCCAAACTATCTATCATCTTGGCCTTGTCAGAGCTCCATACTAGGACTAAAGCGCGGCGGGGGTCCTCTTTTGGGCCATGGTAGTAATAAGGTAACGCGGGTAAATAGGCAACCTTTCCAAATCGAGTCATTCTTGCTAGCCATGTTCTTTGTGATGATCGGTTCCGCGGATATGCGGCTCGAGCCGTAACATTATTCATTCATGTCTAAGCCAATATGTTCAAATGGAAATATTCCTAAGAACCTTGAGCCAATTGAATACCGCAGGTAACGCGGCCAGCAGCACTTGTGTGATGCAAGGATATCGCAAGACAAGCTCAAACAGGAGGTAGCAACGACCTATATGACCGAGCTACATCCCACACTCCTCACTGACTGCCTTTCTTCATCTTATCAATTAGACAGGAACATCTCACAACTCACATACACCATCACCACTCAACACCGGCAATATGAGATTCACTGCCCTCACTTCCGTTGCAATTCTCGCAGCTACTGTCATCGCTGCCCCAGCCATCCAGAGAGAGGAGAAACGCGCCTTTGTCACTGACGAGCTTGGTGAGTATGACTGGACACCCTTTCAACCACCTCACACTTAGATAGCTCTCCAACTAATTGGCATAGATCCCCGTGAGTTTGTGACTGAGCCAGAGCGACGCTCCTTTGTCGCTGAGGAGAAGCGTGGCTTCGTCACCGAGGATGAGATGGAGAAGAGGGGCTTCGTCACTGAGGAGAAGCGTGGATTCGTCACTGAGCCTGAGATGAACAAGCGTGGCTTCGTGACCGAGAAGCGAGGCTTTGTGACGGAGCCCGAGAAGAGGTCTTTTGTGACTGAGGACAAACGTAGCTTCGTCACCGAACCCGAGAAGCGAGGCTTCGTCACTGAGGAAAAGAGAGGCTTCGTCACCGAGGACAAGCGCAGCTTCATTACTGAGCCTGAGAAACGTGGCTTTGTTACTGAGGAGAAGAGAAACTTTGTCACTGAGCCCGAGAAGCGTGGGTTCGTTACTGAGCCCGAGAAGAGATCCTTCACTACGGAGGAGAAGCGCGGATTCGTCACCGAGGATAAGCGCAGCTTTCTTACGGAGCCCGAGAAGAGAGCGTTTGTAACTGAAGACAAGCGCAGCTTCATCACTGAGCCTGAGAAGCGCGGGTTTGTCACTGAGGAGAAGCGCTCTTTTGTCACCAAGCCCCACAAGAGAGGATTTGTCACGGAAGACAAGCGTGCCTTCGTCACCGACGAGAACGTGGAGTAGTCTCTGATCGTCTTTGCCACTTTGGGAAGGTATTGGTGGAGTTCAGATTGAAGTCACGGGGGAAAGGGTTAAAACTATACAGATTGTCCTCTCGAGAACCTGGCGGCATATTTTCTTGAAGTTTTTCTTGGTTACGCTAGACGAAGTAGCTTCAACAGCAGACTGGTCGTTGGAATCAAAACTCTTCTTTCGCCTAACAATTATCCAGCTACGATGCTAGACAAAAAGAGTACGTGGTGATTATCGATAGTATGCTCACATTGGAGACAGGTTGTCCACCGCGACCTCGAATGCGGTTATGAAGTATTGAATGTGCGTGCACTCACTTTTATAACGTTGACGACTTCCATATGGAGGACAGCCAGATCTGGTATTGTCAAACAGGGTTCTTCCGATCTCGCGGATGCAATTTAATTTGTTGAAATACCGCCAGGAATACAAGTTATAAGGTAATCTCGCATTTTACTCAGTGTCGCCACTTAACCAAATTTCGTGGCCGTTTCCTTCGTTCACGATGCGACTATTCAGAACTCCGAGGACTGCTACACCACTTGCAATCCACCATACCAGGCCAGTAATATTATGGGACGACCCGTAGCTATACACGATCCCCGCTATGGATGAAGTTGCGGACCTAATCAAACCAGATAGCAAGAATGCGCTGCTATGAGTCCGTGCTAGAGCAGATGGATGTGGCGAAGACCTGAAAAGTACGTAAGTGAGTGTAGGTAAGGCAAGAAGGCGATCAAGCTCAACTCACAGGTTGGTCAGTACCAATTGCGCAGGCACGACAAAAGTGGACGTCCCCACCATCATGATTTGGACCAGAATGATCAGGAACCACACCATGAACCCAGTTTTGCCAGCAGGTGGCGGAGTAGTCGAAGGCATAGCCGCAATGTAGGGTAAGATGAAATACAGGAGAGGCATTCCAAGCATGAGTTTGCGCCACATCTTCAGAGTGCCGAGGCGACGACTGATACGGGGATAGATGAACAGCTGTGTGGGCAATCCCATCATTCCGACGATGAAAAGAGACCACATGATTTGATCTGGCTTCATGCCAGCTCCGCCAGAGAAGAGAAACGGAAGCCTCTGTCTGCCGTCTTTGTCAACCGGGTCGCTCAGGAAACTCGTCCATAGTGTGTTGTACGTCGTGATATGATATTCTTGGATCGCGTAGGATACAAGCGTGAGACACATATTTCTCGTGAACATGCGCTTCGTCGGCAGAATGATAGGAGTCGTCTTAACTGCCTTCATCCGTGACTTTTGCTCCTCGGAATCCCTCTCACATGGATCCGAATCGTCCGCGATCATGTGTGACATTTCTTCGTCGGTGGCCTCCTCGTGGGTTGATCTAGTCGCTGTCGAAATTTTAGTTCCGAACAATAGCGAGCGAACCCTTCTGGTGAAGGCGACGCCAGGATCGTATCTATCTTTCAGGGGTTCTAGGGTCTGCAGAAGCCGAAAATGTGAGCTTAGATCAGCGATCCCAGATAACAAGTCACGAGCTCACCTCTTCCAAGAATAAGAAAACGGCGAGCAAGGCTAAAAGCATGATGCCTCCACTAAGGATTGCCGGTGGTGAATATGGCCATGCCTTTAGAAATGCGTTATTGCCAAATCTGTCTGGATATTTCCCCGGCAGATCGGCCAGCTGCCCAGCCATCAGGGGACTGGCCATGGCGGCAACATTGAAGGAGATTGGGAGCAATAAGAATGCATGAGGCTGAAATCTTCTCTACTCATTAGCTCTAACTTGAATGTTTTAGTGATATGACCGGCTGACCGTTTCTCAATGACAACTTCTGACACCATCGTCCTCACTGTCGCCACATTTCCGTTCACCAAACCTTCCAGGATCCGCAATGCCAGTGCCTGCTTGAAATTCGTGATGAATCCGAAAGCAACGCATCCGATAACTACATATTTAAACACGAACTTTAGTTGCCGAACATCGCCCTTAATGGCACAGTTAGTCTGTGTGATGCAGGAACTCACACGATCCAGCTATACCCCCCATGAGAACAAGTTTCCTACCACCACGGGGAGAATCGGCCAGTTTCCCTAAGAACATGGACGAGAAACATTGTGATAGCATGAAACTTGTTTGCAAATAGGCGACTTGTCGAACAATCGCTCCCGAATCCAGCGTTACGTCTAAAGACTGCAGCTGATAGAATAAATACGTCTACGAGCGCTTGTCAGCGAATCCCGAATGTGTTTATCTTCGTGGTGGAAAATATTGTACTCACTAGCAGTGAGATGCTCACCACCGGCTCAGCAAACCGTAGAAAACACAAAATCGCGAGCTGGTCTTTTCGCGGCAGAGACCGCCAAGTCACTTCATCCTTCTTGCCTTCCATTTCTGATCTGATGAAATCTGGATAACACTTCAGTCCAAGATCTCAAGTGAAGCGTTGATTCAAAATCTCGTCGTTTCTCGCAGCTCAAAATTGTTGTAGACAGACCAGATTCCTCAGTAGCTTGCTCTCTTCGCTCTGCACACGTTGTCTGACAGCGGGATTTGTTGCTTCCACACTATCCGCGGGTCCGCAGGCATTCCTGATTAGGAAAGTAAAGCTCCGAGTCAAGTCCGACAGCGGCGGGGTAGCTCCGTGCAAGCTTCGGTCCGCAGTGGGGTTTGACTGATTGAAACAGGCCTACTAAACCTTCACGCAGGCCACTTCGGTCCGCTGCTTAAGCTTAGCTACAGGGTCGTGAGGTGTGGGTGTTCATGCTATTGGGCTTCAGTGGAAAGACGGTGCCAGGAAAGCTGAGGTCTGTCAATTACGCTGGTTCAACCGTATCTGTCATTCCCCGAGATTTTGTGTTCCCCTGTTTTGCGTAGTGTCCGAGCGGTCAACAGCAATGGGCAAGAACGTCACCTTTGCAAACAATATGAGGGAAACGGCCAAGTACGATGTGCTGGAAGAGGGCGAAACTGATGATGACGGTCTTGAAAGCCTCGGAGGAATGGAGCTAGATCACAGCGACCAGCGCAGTAACTCGCCGGCCTTCCCAGATCAATGGAACCGAGATCGTATCTTTTGGGCTCAGCGCCTTCGCAAGATTCGACGGATAGCCTGGGCCGAGGGCATTCTGCTGACAATTCTTCTTGGATACATCGTTTTTCTCCACATCGGAACCGTGTGGTCGCGAGAAGAAGCAACCCCATTGGGAGTTGACCCCAGTGGTTTTGTCCCTCCAGGTGAGTTAAGATCTTCCTTGACGCTAAACTGTGCCCCCTAACTTGAGCCACAGAAATCGGACAGCCTGTTAGGTGGGCAAAGTACGACGACCAGACTGATCCTCACTATTTCAAACCCGACGTGTTCAAGAACCTCGAAACTGTACAAGCTGCGGCAAGGGATTTCAAGATGTTACACAACGGTTCGTTGACACGGCTCCACTAGATGAAATCCAGTTCAGCTAACTCAATGCACAGCATCAAACGTCAGAATAAACGGAAAATACAGCACGTACATGGATTTCGATAATAGTCAACAACCGCTCCCTGCGTACGTCACCCGCAAAGGTTCAGAGCTGTACAGCATTCGAGCTTTTCACCAGATGCACTGCATAGTAAGTACCTCGCCCGAAAGGATCGTTCCAAGAAGTAAGGGAATAACACGTTTCAAGTCAATCATCTTCGAGGATATTGGATATAGAGTGAACAACAAGACGTCCAAGTGGGATACAGGGCATGTCATTCACTGTCTGAACACGGTGAGGTCAGCGATAACATGCCTAGCGGACGCCACGCCAATTTCCTACGTCCACGGAATGGGTGTTGGTCACACTACAGACGATCAACAGAGTCATTGTAGGGACTTCTTTGCGCTGAGGGAGTGGGCCCATGACCCGGTACGGGCAGTGAAATGGGTCAATGTTGCACCAGAGGATGAGAAGGATAAATATGATGAGATTGTAGACTAGAGTCATCTCTTAGGTAGTGCGTCATAAGGATCGTTATTTTAAATGGACGGGGTGCAAAATGATTTCGGGAATTTGACGATTGCAGGTGCCGTTATGTTAGTAGACTGCATACAGTGAACTAAGGTGCGAATAAGTCGATGATTCGATGGATGCATGTTGCAGCCGTGCAATAACGAATTTATGTAAAAGTATATATTCATCTCCAGTCTTCACTCAAGCAACGGTTCATATAGGTAAATGCAAATTTCGCGATCTGAACCTGCGATCGTTCAAACAGAAACAATATTCGACAGCATATACACCATGTCAATGTTAGAGTCGTCCTGCGTCAACAATCGTAGAGAAGGCGTTTAGTGGGGTAGGCTGCATTGGCTATAGGGCTGCATACGGCGTTGGATTAGTCCTCCAGATCCGTACGTGCCCTTATCAATCAAGATTCATGTCTAAAGATTTCCGAATGAGCGCGGTGACAGTATCAATCTTCAAACTTGGATCAGCAGATAGTTCTGTAACATCTTGTGCGGGTTTCAATGACCACTTACGTGTTCTTGATCGAATACACTGTAGTGATTGCCAGAAGTTTCGAGGACTTGCTCCACGAAGCCTTCGAGCATATCTTCCCAACCAAGTTGAGGCAAGAATCGAGTCCTATCTAGAGGACACTTCTCACTCGGGTCCGCCATGGGCACCAAGTCTTTGGCTCGGATAAGCACCGCATGCGGCGGGGTTGGGTCGACGTCCCGGGAGCGGGCTGTTCCAAGAACACCGGTCCTCGGCAGCGACCATGCCGGGGGCTCCCACTGGTCGGACAGACATGTGGCTCGCATGAGGGCCGTCATAAGCTTGTCGCGGGTCTCTTGGTTGACGCCGGGTAAAGCTGGGGCGTGGTGTAGCTTTGCTGGCTCTTTTTGAGCCTCTGGCCGAGGGCAACGGGGGTAGACAGAGTCGATGAGGATTATTCGCGACACGCGTAGTCCACGACCTGAGGTCGCTAGCATGTGGGCGATTTGCACTGCAAGAACACCGCCGAATGACCATCCTGTATTCTGATCAGCGTTTGGAGTAATTGATGAAAAGTGTCATGCCACATACCACCGAGAACAATTTCTCCTCTAAGCATAACTCTTTTGATCAGGCGGATATATGCTTCAGCTATTTCCTTTACGCTCTGCCACCCGCCAATGCCATCGGCATCGAACTTGGGATCCCATATTCCATAGACTTTACGTCCTATCGATCCAACCTTGAAGTAGCTAGTGAGAAGCCCACTCGCATCGTGGATCAAAAATACCGGCGGTGGCTCGTTACGAGATCGTGGGATGTCTTGGATCAAGACCGGGTTTGCAGCAGGCATGGTGGAAGAAATTTTGTGTTTTCCGGCAGCAGTCTGAGCCGTCAATTTGAGGATCAGTGATGTTGCAACGCTAGCTTTGCAAACTATTCACAGAACTCAAAGTCGTCCTCTCTCTCTAAACACCTAAAGTCTTGAGACAAACTGTTTGCTTCCCATGACTTGGCAGCCAGGGCGGGATGTTGGCCCACTGTGCCTACGGTCCGAGATATGCCCCAACCTTATCCGCAGTTGTATCCGAACTCTTTCGATGACAGCTGATGTAACACCCAACATCCATGCCAAAGAACCCTCTTGAAATATCAACAGGGCCGTTTACAGGCTTCAACGCCTGGACAATCAGTGGTTTCCAGCGATCAGCATTCGATACAGCTCATGTAGCCAACTTGCACTTTGATCCACGAATCTCGGCATGGAGAAACAAGCCTTTCTCCCGCAACAACCGCAAGGCGAGGGTTCGAGCTCACAGCGAAACAGCTACCATGATGAGACCGATTCAGTGGATTACAGCGCCGAAGTCCCCCATGAACGAAAAGCGCGCCGCAGCGGCATCTGGATAATAGCCGGAAAACTCGCCTTCATCCCCCTCGCAGTCGGAATCTTCTACCTAGGGCGAATAACCCACGACATGACACCCGCACGACCGCCCGACCCTGTATCGCTAGGCAAATGCTCTCCAGACTGGAAGGAGTCCAAAGCCCGAGGATGTGTCTACGACTTCATGCTCTCTACCTGGATGCATCCCCGATGCTTCAATGAAGAGATGCATGAGAAGTACCTAGGCTACATGAAGTGGAGGAACACGACGTATTGGTACGAACGAGAACGCATCAACGAGGTTCCGTTTGATGTGGCTGCCAGTGGTGAGCACGGCGAAATCTTCACAGACGGCACGATCCACCATATGCATTGCAGCTATGTCTGGGATAGGATCACGTATGCTTCCCATTTCGTGCCTCGCGTTCTGGATTCTCTTTGCCGGGATCCGAAACATGTTGAGCACTGCATCTTGTACAACGGGATTCCACAATCATGGGAGATTGACTTGCCAAACATTACGCGGGTGTACAATGAGCCTCACGAGATAGACTGTTTGGTCGGTTAGGCCTTTTTTCGAAAGGCGGGGGACAGCATCTGGCGGCAAGCTGAAATGGGGTATTTGATTCTTACAGCGCGTACCGTAGTGAGCTTATCATTTTACTTAGACAGCTCGGCATCTTCAACAAACACACAGGTTGAGCGAATTCAGATGACAAAATGGTACACGTAACTGTGACGCCCAAAGCGAACAAAAACAAAACATTGAACCTTAGGTTTCACACGACGATGAGTTCTTCAACGATAGCATGATACATGTATTCTCTAGATCTGGTATTATGCCAATCTTCTCTGCGGAACGGTGTGAACGGCGCTATCCTCCTCTACATTCCTTCGCTGCCCACCGTACTTTATTCACGTCTCCACTGAGCCTACTGAGTCGAGGCCTCTGGTGTCAGACATGCGCCAAAATTCAAGCTAAACCGACCTTCTCCAACTCAGAGAGCTCTGGGAAGGGGATAATCTCCGTATTGTTGTCATAGCCCGCCCCCTCAGGAGCAACGTTCTTATAGCGGATTCCCCTCACCGGATCGTTCGCCCACCTGCGCAGCGCTGACCAGTCCCTGCACATGAATTGCTGGTCATCCGTGACATGACCGACAGCGAAGCCGTTCACGTAGGTCATTGGCGTAGCGTCCGCTAAGCACATGATGGCTTCACGGATAGCGTTGAGACAGTGGGCTATGTGCTTGGGAGCCCACTGAGACGAGACGTTGTTGGCCCTGTGGCCATATTCCTCGGCAATAGAAATCTACCCGAAAATTAGAAGGCTTTCAGTCATTGAGTAGTGCTGGTACTCACAAGACAATGCATCTGGTGAAAAGAACGGATGATGTAGGTTTGTCGGTATGACACTGTAGAATAATAAGCTGGCAGCTTCGCAACCGTGCCGTCTGGCTTCTTCCAATCTGCGAAGTTGCCATTCACAAGGACGTTTGAGGCTGGCGATGCATTAGCGGAATTCTCTTGAACTTAGTGGAGAGATAGGGACATACAGTTGTGAAGACTCTTCAGTCTTTTGGCCATCATCTTCGTCTTGTTCAAATCATAGAAAGTATCCTCCTCAATGTAGTATGGCGACGTGCTATCAAACAGTTTCCACCTCGGTGGTTCACCAATCCCTGAAGCAAGCTTGTAAGTCAAGGTGTCAAAGCGCTGATTTCACCGGAAGAGATAACTCACCTGGAGGTACGAAGCCATTCGGGTCGCTACCTATGTGGCCTTTTCCACAATTAAGTGACGCCTTATCATATGAAACTCGATCGACCACCGCGAAGATAGTCACAAGCAGAAGCGCTACGATAGTGATGAGTAGACTTGCCCGCAGACACCAAATGTTGCTCTCCAATGCCGCCAGCTCACTGCGCAGCTTCTCTTCCACGCCTTCCTGCTGGTCGTCATCATCGGACTGGCTTGTGCGCACAGCATTGTATCTCGGCGTAGATTGCCAGAAGACTGATTTCAGCTTCTCCATGGCTCGCACTTCTTGTGGCAGGGCTTTGAACTACTCCAACTATTTAGTACGCATATATCTTTTTGAGCACATAGGTGAGTCAAGAAATCCCAATTTGGTACGTGATTGATGGATTCATCTGATGCTGCTTTGCGACCTTGCAATGGAGTTCACTTGGTCCGATAATCCATGTGCGAAGTCTGGGGCTAGAGCGGGCCAACTGAATGGAATTCGGTTTGGCGTAATGGTTGGCGGGCGAGTCAACTGTAAAGCTCCCCGGTTTGAGCCGGTCCGAACTTTGGTAGCGGCACTCTTCATACGGTCCGAACCGAATCCAGGGGCGTGGAAGACATGGGCATGGAGGATAGACATGTGGGAATCTTGTTTGTAGCCCCGGGCCTTGCACCGCTCGGAAGATAGTGTTCGTCCAGCGTGATCAGCGGATTTCTGGTCTTTGAACGCACTCAGCGGTTGGCAACTTGACGATTGTTATTCAGTAGATTTTGGAAGCTGTGCATGCAAATTGTCTGGTCTCGTTCCCACCAAACAACTGACATCATACAGCTCCGCCGTCACCGCCACAAACAAGAACCTCCTTTGCAGGGAAAATCGCATTGAGCACTAGCCATGTCAAAGCCAGAGCCCATAGCGATTTGCGGCATTGGGCTGCGGTTACCAGGCGGCATCAATACCCCAACAGCGCTATACAATTTCCTCATCAACCGCCAAGATGCCCGCTCCAAACCAGATCATCCGCGATACAGCTCGCAAAACCACCATTTCACAGCAAGCGGGAAGTCAGGGCACTTGCCGACCGACGAAGGATACTGGCTCTCGCAAGATGATGTCTCAAAGTTTGACCCCTCGATGTTTTCTATGAATCCCAAGGAGTTACTCAAACTAGACCCTCAGCAGCGGCTGCTTCTGCAAGTCGTCTGGGAAGCGCTGGAAAGTGCTGCCGAAACAGAGTGGCAGGGTCAGAAGATTGGGTGTTATGTTGGCAGTTTTGGGGACGACTGGCGCGAAATGCACGCGGTCGATGCTCAAGACGACGGCATGTATCGCTTGACAGGATACCTGGATTTTGTGCAGGCAAATCGCATTTCTCATGCTTTTGATCTACGAGGTCCAAGGTGATTTACTTCTTGGCTTGATTTGAAGATCCTCGCATGAACTAACACTTTTTCCTGTACAGCATGACCGTCCGCACAGCATGCTCAGCCGCCGGTTTAGCAGTACACTTGGCCTGCCAGGCGATACGCGGCGGAGAATGCGACTCAGCAATCGTCGCCGGGGCGAATTTGATGCTCTCGCCAGGGTTCACCAAGCTAATGGCCGAGCAAAGCGTGCTCTCGCCCGATGCCTCGTGTAAGACATTTGACGCCAGCGCCAACGGCTATGCCCGTGCAGAAGCCGTCAACTGCCTCTATATCAAAAGGCTTGACTGCGCGATTCGCGACGGGAATCCGATTCGTGCCATCATCCGTGGATCAGCAACGAACTCTGACGGCAGAACGCTCGGCCTAACCACACCAAGTGCACAAGCACAGCAGCAGCTGATACGCGATGCATACAGACACGCAGGCATATCAGAAAACGAGATGTGGCAGACCGCTATGGTCGAATGCCACGGCACCGGCACGGCTGTGGGTGATACCATCGAGGCGTGCACAGTTGGCGCAGTGTTTGGAGACAAGGGAATGCTCATCGGATCAGTGAGTGTCATTCACGGCAGCTCAATGCGAATTACTGTTTACATTTCCGCAGATCAAACCCAACCTGGGCCATTCTGAAGCAGCTTCGGCTATTTCGAGCATAATCAAGGCAGTTGTGTCTTTGGAAATGAAAACCATTATACCTAACATCAAATTCGATACCCCTAGTGTCAGCAGTAAGTTTGACGACTTCGTCTCGATAGTGCCATGGGCTGATCAGCATCAATAGTTCCTTTCGCGTCGGCAGGCCTGAAGGTGCCTACGGAACCGCAGTCTTGGCCTGAACAAAGGGCAGAGAGAATCGGTGTCAATAGCTTTGGAATCGGAGGCACCAATGTCCATGTATGACATTCAGTTAACATCCTTCAGCTTTGAGAGCTGACGTAGAAAGATTATCTTAGAATCTGCCGCGACAGTAGGAAGTCCGACCACTATTCGAAGCCGCGGAAATGTCGAGACCCCGCCTCCCTCACCTCCTCTGAGAAGAGACCCAGCGACGCTACTACTGTTCTCCGCGGGACACGAAGAATCACTCAAGAGGGCTGTGAACCAATACCAAGAGCTTCTTCGAGTTAGTCCTGCAAAGTTGGAAGACCTCTCATACACGTTGATTCATCGCCGCTCTCATCTAGCGCACCGCACCTTTGCTGTAGTTACTGATGACTGCGACCAATTGGCTTTCACGCTTCCTCCCACTCCTAGTTTCCGCTCCAGCTCATTAACTGAGGGGATTGCTTTTATTTTCACCGGCCAAGGCGCCCAATGGGCCCGGATGGGTGCGCATCTGATGAAAAGTAGCAGAGACTTCCTTCAAGACATTAGGGAAATGGACGCCGTCTTAAAGAGCCTCTCGCAAGAACACCGTCCAAGCTGGAATATTAGAAGTCAGTGCATCCTTACCAAAGAAGTCACCAAAGAGGATCTCCAACTAACACGGAGGTGAACCAGACGAGCTGATGAGATCGGATTCCACGTCTCGCCTTGGGGAAGCAGAGTTGGCGCAACCCATTTGCACTGCGGTCCAGATTGCCTTGACTAGACACCTGGCCAGATATGGAATTACGCCCAAGGCAGTTGTCGGTCATTCCAGCGGTGAAATAGCAGCTGCATACGCGGCCGGTGTTCTCACGCTCAAAGAAGCAGTCATCGTCGCTTACTACCGCGGTTTCATGGTCAAGAAGTTGAAAACCCAAGGCTCTATGGCGGCCGTCGGACTAGGAAGAGAGCAGGTTACACCATTCTTAGTGCCGAAAGTCGTCATCGCTTGTGAAAACAGCAGCTCAAGTGTGACTCTGTCCGGAGACACGGATGCCCTTGAGACGGTTTGCAGCGCAATCAGGTCTGCTCGGCGAGATGCTCTGGTCCGTATGCTCAAGGTTGACAAGGCATACCATTCTCGTGAGTCAAGAGCTAGACCTGTCATTGCAAACTTTTGCTGACATCTTCTTACTACAGATCACATGCGTGCAGTCGGCATCGAGTACCAGTCTCTCCTCAAGCCACACCTCAGTCCAAAGTCGCCAAACGTTGCATTCCACTCCAGCGTCTCATCCCAAATTCTCGAACGTGGCTCCGACTTTGGCGCCGAGTACTGGCAGCGGAATCTGGAATCACCTGTACTCTTCCGACAAGCTGTAGTACAACTTCTCCAAACATCATCGACGACGCTGCATCTCGAAGTTGGACCGCACTCAGCACTGGCCGGCCCCTTGAAGCAGATTTACACAGAGATGGCCATCTCCCCATTCTATCTATCCATTCAAAAGCGAGGCTCAAATAGTGCGGCAGACTTTCTTGCTACTCTTGGCGAGCTGCACTGCCGAGGCGTTCCCGTCAAGTTTCCCATTCCGGACGGGGTTCGGCCGTTGACAGACCTGCCCCCCTACCCGTGGCATCTGAGCAAGGCTTTCTGGCCAGATTCACCCGTCACAAATGCCTGGCAGTTCCCTGAACACCCACCACACGAGCTTCTCGGATCACGCACATTGATAAGCCCGAGTACAGCACCGAGTTGGAGGCATCGTCTCTCACTTGACAACGTTCCCTGGGTTGGGGACCATTGCGTCGGCTCGGATGTGGTTTTCCCAGCTGCCGGGTACATCGCGATGGCTGGTGAAGTCATCCGGCAGCTTTCTGGGCAGTCGTCTTACACTATTCGTGACTTGCGAATCTCGAACGCTCTGGTTCTCTCGCAGGGTAGCAAAGTCGAGCTATTGACTTCCACGAGAAGGGAAGAGCTCACTTGCGAGGAGTCTTCGGAGTGGTGGGAGCTCACGATTCAGAGCTGCACCTCATTCGGCACATTGACAACGCACTGCAGATGTCGTGCTCGAGGTGGCCGCGTGTCCACGGGTCCGGACTTCACTGGACTTGACGCAAAATCCTTCCTTCGGTCTGTTGAGCCATCGCGATGGTACAAATCCATGTCGCGAGTGGGATACAACTATGGCCCGGAGTTCCGAGGCATGAAAAAGATTTGTGCAAGCGTCAATTTGTCAGCTGTAGCGGTCGATGTTTCTGATGAGAGAGATACGCCTGAGCACCAGGGTCGCTATTCGTTGCACCCCATCACGATCGATCAGGTGCTCCAGTCGCTCATCGTCGCTAATCACTCCGGTGAACCCCGCTTGCTAGAAAGACTGTATTTGCCGACCCATATTGATGAGCTATTCGTCACATCGGAAGCTTCAACGAAAAGACTTTCGCTCCAGAGTGTGAAATCTGGTGGTGACGGAGACTATCAAGGGGATTGCTTAGGGACAGTTTGTGATGGTCCCGGAGCTGAACCCACCGTCTTCATTAAAGGCCTTCGACTCTCGCCAGTCGATCTAGATGATACCGGTGCCAGCGCAGCGGATAGTTCGAAGGTTGCAGTCATGTCTTGGGAACGAGACGTTAACATGATGGATTCTGCGGACTTGGTGTCGTCTGCTTCCGACCCATTCTTCCCAGAGACACACCAACTTCTCGAGGAGCTCTTTGTACTTTGCGGTGCAGCAGCACTCAAGCAGTTAGACGAAAGAGGCATACTTATCAGCGAGACTCAGACACATTTGGCGAAGCATCACACCTGGCTGCGCTCCCACAGCAGCAAGTCTAGCTCACCGCTACTTGACCTGGGCGCCGAACAGATTTGTGCGAAGATAGCTGACATCGTGTCAAGGCTCAAAGATACCTCTGCATCTGCAGTGGCTATTCTTATAGAGCGCTGCTACACTCATGCCTCGGGACTTTTCAACGGCACAATCAGCCCTCTCGAGATATTCCTCAAAGACAACGCACTTCACGAACTGTATGACTGGATGAATACCCTCTTTATCTACAAGCCCCTCCTACAATTGCTGTCCCATAAACGAGGTCGCCACCTGAGGATTCTCGAGATCGGCGCCGGAACTGGAGGTCTGACTTCCCGGATACTGAAAGATCTGAAAGACTGCTTCGAGGATGGCAACGTCCTCGGAACCTACGTTTTCACAGATGTTTCTGCTGGGTTCTTCCCGGCAGCGAAAGAGCGCTTTCATGATATTACTCCCGGATTCTTGAACTATCGTGTCTTGGACATTAGTCGCGATCCAGCTGATCAGGGATTCGGTGGTGAAGAGTACGATCTCATCGTTGCGAGCAACGTGCTCCATGCCACTCCAAAACTGAACGAGACTTTGAAAAATGTCAGATCACTGCTAAAGCCTGACGGAAGACTAATGATGCACGAGCTTTGCTGCAACACGAAATGGATCAACTTCATCATGGGTTATCTTCCAGGATGGTGGCTCGGCGACTCTGATTGCCGCTCGGAAGAGCCTTACATCTCTCCTGAGCAATGGGAGGAGCGTCTATCTATGGCTGGATTCTCAACGCCAGAGGTAATCTACGATGCTGAGCCACAACATAAGCTTAACGCAACCATTATCGCTCGCCCTGTTGCGACAAATGACCTTGCCAGCATGGACTCACAGCATATAACACTACTATGCGAAGAAGAGTTTGATCCGGTGGGGGCTGAGGTTGGCCAAGTTCTGAGAGGTCTCGGTCACACTATCAGCATTTCCACGCCAGGCTGCGATAACTTACGTGCTGGTAGCGTAGTAGTGTCGATAGTTGACCTATGCCGTGGTGACGGCTATTTCCACGACATGACGCAAACCAAGCTAGACAGTCTCAAGGGGCTTCTGAAGCATCTGCAGGACTCGGATTCGAGCCTACTCTGGCTTACACGGCCTTGCCAGTCCGGTTCGGTGGATCCGACCTTTGCCCTGGTGCTCGGCATCGCGAGAACAGCAAGAGTTGAGATGGGTGTGCAATTTGCCACCATGGAGCTTGACAGTGTTGACGGAGATTCTTTGCAAGCTGTTTGTCAGGTCTTGAGGAAGATATTTTCCCAGAACGTGGCCTTGACTTCGAAAATGGGTCAAGATATGGAATTCTCTTACTTCTTGGGCCGCATTCACATTCCACGATGCAAGTGGACGCCGATTTCTCGCGCTCTTGTATCCGAGGTTCCAGCCTTTTCCAGCAAGATGGTGCAAATCTCGAGACCTGGGTCCCTTCAAACTCTTCATTGGGTACCTCGCCAGCTGTCTGAAGACATTCCATCCGACCACGTCAAGATTGACGTCCGCGCAGCAGGTCTCAACTTTAAAGATGTCGTCACAGCCATGGGCCTGATCAAACCTTCGGCTCCAAAAGGACTCGGATGTGAAGCCAGCGGTATCGTTAAATCAGTCGGAACCTCTGTGACGAATGTTCGCGTGGGTGATCGCGTCATGGTCTTCGCGCCCGAGGCGGCTTGCTTCTCCACGGAGATACTAGCCCCGGCCCAGCTTTGCGTAGCCGTTCCTGACACTCTCAGCTTTACTGATGCGGCGGGTATTCCGTGCATATTCACCACTGTTCTAAGAGCCCTGGTAGATAAAGCCGGTCTCCGGGCTGGTCAAACTGTGCTTATTCACAGCGCGGCCGGTGGTGTTGGTATTGCGGCTTTGCAAGTAGCTCGGTGGATTGGAGCAACAGTCTACGCGACCGTAGGCAACGATGAAAAGGCAGATTTTCTTGTCAGGGAGTGGAATGTCCCCAAGGAGCACATTTTCTCTTCTCGAGACGTCAGCTTCGTGGAGGGCATAAAAGCAGTGACTGGTGGCGTCGGCGTTGACGTTGTGTTGAACTCCTTGTCTGGGGAGCTTCTCCATGCATCGTGGAACTGTGTCGCTCCTCATGGTACCTTTGTCGAACTTGGGAAGAAAGACACCTTGGCGGGTGGAAAACTTGCCATGGTGGCCTTTGATGGAAATCGGTCCTTCACTGGTGTCGAGATGGCGAATCTGGCCGCTGAGAGCCCCGCCATCATTTCTCGCTTGTTACAACAATGTGTTGACTTGTACCGACAAGGCCACATCCAGTCCATTAAGCCGGGTAAGGCCTTTGCATGCAATGAGACTGAAAATGCCTTTCGATACTTGTACCAGGGTACTCACATTGGAAAGGTGGTTATCGACATGACCGAGACAGATGAGGAGGCATTGAAGGTCTCTCAAGCGCCGTCGATTCCCAGGTTCCGCGAACAAGCTACTTACGTACTTGTCGGTGGCATGGGTGGTCTTGGGCGTACAGTCGCACGATGGATGGCCTCCCACGGTGCCAAAAGTCTGGTCTTCATCTCGAGATCCGCCGGGCGTAGCGATGATGATCAAGCTCTGTTGTCAGAACTTCAATATGCAGGTTCCGAGGCTGAAGCAATACCATGCGACATAGCGAACGAGACGCTCATGCAAGCGGTAATTTCCAGACTCGCTTCATCCAAGCGTATCGCAGGCGTTCTGAACCTGGCAATGGTGCTTGCCGATGGTGCAGTTTCTGACCTTACACTGTCGCGCTGGCAAACGGCGACATCACCCAAGATACGTGGGACGTGGAACCTCCACCATGCCCTACCTCACGATCTTGACTTCTTCGTGCTCTTTGGTAGCACATCAGGTGTACACGGGTACCCAGGTCAAGCAAACTACGCTGCTGCGAATACCTTTCTCGACGCGTTCAACCAATACCGCCGCGGTCTAGGACTGCCTTGCTCGATAATTGACTTGGGGGGCGTCGAGGACGTGGGGTATGTCAGTCGCTCACAACATGTCGAGGATGCCATGAAGAAATCCGGCTCCAAGTTGGTTTCTGAGGCTGATATGCTCCGAGGTCTTCAACTTGCCATCGCTCAAAGTCAACAAGTCACAGTAAACGCAGGGATTAGAACATATCATCCAGCCTCAAATGGGCAGGTGGTACTTGGCCTTGACTGCACCACACCCATCGATGATCCTGGAAATCGAGTGGCATGGAAGCACGATTCTCGCATGAACCTTTATCCAGACATTGCAGAGAATGAGCAGGCCTCGCGGAAAGAGACAGGATCGTCATGCCTAGCTGAGTTTCTATCCAGTTTGCATTCAAGGCCAGAAGACGTTGAAACCACAGCGTCTACGTCATATCTCGCACAGGAGATCGCCCGCCGGGTGTTTGGGTTTCTCATGCGTGAGGTGGAAGAGGGCGGTATTGATACTGCTCTTTCCCCTTCCGCCCTTGGAGTCGACTCCCTGATGACCATTGAGATTCGCAACTGGTGGAAACACAATTTGGGTGTGGAAATTAGTGTGATGCAGTTGACGAGCGCCCAGAGCTTTGATCAACTTGGACAATTGGCCGGGAAGCAGCTGAGAGGGAAGATTACTGCGCTGTCGAAGAAATAGGAAGAATCGAATGTAGAAGAGTTGGCGAATAGATAAGCACAAATAATAGTGAGATCAAGATAGGATACACACCCAACTGTTGTAAAACCATTCGCGTGGTCTTTTTTCTGATTTTGACTCCGGGTGATGGTGCTTGACTCGGAGGTGTGGATGGGGCCGACGGGATCGGAGAGACATTCCGATGTGGAGTCATTCGGGTCCGGTCCGGCATCGTCGGTCAGGTGCATGAACAGGGATGACTCAGCTCGGTGAAGCACGGAAGAAAAGCTCGAGTGGGGCACGCCAATGGAATTGTCGTCATTGGCAATTCATCGCGACGCAACCACTCCTATCACCACATCTCGCGGTCGACTGACTCACCTCTACCGGTTGCAGAGCACACCGCTCGACCATGAGCACTCTTACCACCTGAGTCTTAGCCATACCAAAAAATGTCAAGGTCAGGAGCCTTCCGGCTGTGCGTCAGGCCGCGGGCTGCGGCGCATACTCGAGCTTTTCGACCTTTGAACTTTTCTACAACTGCCTCTGCGCGGGCTGCCGAGATTCGCGATGTCTCCTCCCTCCCACCGAGAGTCGTTCCGAAATACCGCGACCCTCCCAACTCGACCTCTGGCCTGCTCTCGCTGCACTGGCCGACGCCTCCGCGAAACATCCTCCTGATGCCGAAGCTGCGATCCCCTCAAGTCCTACGAGCGACTATTGACTTTGCGAAGCATCTACAAAGCACATACTCTGGCCTGAACCTGATCTTTGAACCCAGGGTCGCGCAAATGGTCCACGAGTCCTTCAACTTTCCCATCTACACGTGTGACCCATCGGCGTTCCCGGACACGATCGACATGATCACGACTCTTGGTGGTGATGGAACCATCTTGCGCGCCGCGAGCCACTTCAGCATGTATCAAGCTGTCCCGCCGATTCTCGCATTCAACTTTGGTACTATTGGATTCTTGGCGGAATGGAAGTTCGAGGAATACAAGAGGGCCTGGAGAGAGGCGTACATGAGTGGGAGCGGCGTCGCTGCGGATGATTTATTGACGCCACACACAAGAGTCGCAAGCGGAGAGAAGGAACACGACGTCAAGAACGGGGCTCTGTCTGGATGGCACGCTTCTCCTGGCAAGAGCATGGGACAGAGTCGGGCAGCCAAGATCTTGCTCAGGCACCGACTACGGGTCGGCGTGTACGATAATAACGGCCAGAACATCAGCAGCCAGTTACTTCCGACGACGAAGTCACAGGCGCATCTACCGGCCGAACATCCCGAAGATACAATACTTTCGAAACGAGACATCCCTCAACCGATTCACGCCCTTAATGAACTACTCATCCACCGGGGCCCGAAGCCTCACCTTGCCCACATCGACATTTACCTCAATAATCGATTCCTCACGGAAGCTGTCGCAGATGGCATATTACTGAGCACGCCGACGGGCTCTACCGCATATAGTCTGAGCGCCGGCGGTTCCATCATACACCCCCTTGTCAAATCACTGCTCATCACTCCCATCTGCCCCAGGAGTTTGAGCTTCCGGCCTCTAGTCCTCCCCCTCAACACCAAGGTCACACTCAAAGTCAGCAGCAAGAACCGTGACGGTGAGCTGGAGGTTAGCATTGACGGAAAGCGAAGCGCCGGCGCAGGTATCGGCACTGAAATCCGTGTCGAAGGCGAGATGGTGGGCGAGTCCAGCAACGGTGACTGGAAGGGAGGTGTGCCATGTGTCATTTGCGGACCAGGCAAAGGCGACGCGTCAGACTACGACGATGACGGCTGGGTTGGGGGTCTCAACGGCCTGCTCATGTTCAACTACCCCATCGGGAGGTGAAACTTATCGTGATACCCGAATGTAAACTACAAAAGTCTTTCAATGGAGTTGGTGGCATTAGGGGGGCACTTTGGTCAGGCCTTTTCTCTTCTTTGGATAATTGTCTTACTGCTTATTGGGCTGGAAATCTCAAAATCGCAACCATCATCGAATGTAACATTGATGGCTTACAGTGATGATCATGTCGCATCCAGAGGTTACACATCAGCATCCCAACGTGATTGCCACTGAAGTTGGAGTTCTGGCGGTTAGGACGTGTTGCTACGACGGTCTAGTATCGAACACTAAGAATCATCAAGAAACACGGACTCGACGGTTTATTAGTTGCGCTCTACCATACTACCTGACAAATGCTCTTTGTCTTGGTGTACTGTCGATACATACGTTTAGTAGGCCCAGGCAGGCCATCCCTCGCCAGCCAGATGCTTAGCCGACACTTGTCAGCGTCGTGTGGCTAATAGAAAAACATAGTAAATCATACCATGTTCCAGCATTGGGTCATTTGGCACTGATTCAATTGGATGTCTTTGATACCACCTCCTTGCAGTATGTGGGCAAGAAAATCGGCTAGGCTTGCGAGTAGCCAGGCAGGCCGCCGAGCTCAGCGAGCTGTGGCAATGCAGGGTATCAGTTCTTCGCAAAAACCATTATAGTATCACGATCACGTTCATGATCTCAGTAGCAGGAGCTGTTCCAGGCGGGCAACTTCCGTGATTCCGCTTTCGCCGAGTACACTACCAGAGGGTCAGTGGCGCGAATCCCTTAACACACTCCCTAGGTATAGTAAGAGTTCGAAAACGCCACTACGTCCGTTAAGTCGCGCCGGATCAAGAGTCGCAATCGAGAGACCTAGCCTAGGTTTCCTTCAAATCTAGCGTTCTGTTGTCCCATGATTTGACTGAATGGACGGTGGTTGCCTCTTTTCGAAGCCAGATGGGGAAAGACTTTCGCCAAGCAATCTGCACAGCGTGGTCTGGCCCTGGTAAAGACATTGTTCGAAGATCGAGTTGATGTTATTGAGAGAGCTGAGTTAGGACTTAGGATTTAGGATATAGGACTTTGATACACCGGCTTCCAGCGTGTTAAGTCCTAAAAGTCGACGAGCTGGCACAACCTTTAGTTCCATTCTCCGGATCCTTTGTGAGTGAACTGTGAAGTCCAATGGCAGCAATGGCCGTAGATCTTGATGGCAAAGTTTGCTGAGTCTTTGGATGTTGGCTGGAAATTAGCAGCAATAGATCACGGGCAATCGCGAGCCGGCGACCGCGGTGTTGAAACGTCGCCTAAACTCTCACCTTACATACCCATGCGATCATGATCTAGGCCGTCCGCCGTCGGCATGGCAATTTCGGCATGGTCACAGAGAATCGGCGTTCCTTTTCCATGCATTTGAACCGCGTCAGCCTTGGCGACGCCGTGTTGTAGTCCTCATGGCTACGTGTACCTCTGTAGGCAGAAGTCTACCAACACCAGAGGGCAAGGCAGTGTGGCTTTCCGAAAGAGGTCGTCGGTGTAGGCATTTGCCTCGACCTCGCATCTCAGCTCAAGATGCTGGCGGGGAAAACCTATGCACGCAACAACCCCGTCGGAAGGTCCCTAGCTTCCTCCGTTGGCAAGGGACGGGTATCCGGACCGTCACTCTATTCGTCAACGTACGACTTCCGAGAGTCGAAATCGCTGTCGCCGCCGACCTTACCCCACGCTTTCCAGCAGGCATCCACATCGTAGCTCGCCTGACCCCGCCGCCGACGATGATGTGGTGTCAGCGGCAGCGGCGTTGATAGAGGAGCGGAGCTATGAACATTCAAATAGCTATATCGACGTCTACGGATAGTCTAGTATACGGACGTAAGATTCGGATCTGCCCTTTGTCAGCCACAACCTTTTCTAGGGCGCCTTGTTCCATATGGATCCCGACCTCTTATTTACTCCATATTGGTACAGCTGTCTAATTGGTACCCCGAGTCAGAATTGAGACCCGAACCCGAATGTTCTTGGCGAAGGTTATTCGAGCTTGATTTTGGACTGCACCGGCCGAAGGCTTGACCTCAGCTATCGGCGTAGTGTGCCTCGGCTCTGCTACTGAATCCTGCTCGGCCGTTAGACAAATACACTATTCGAATATGAGGCCGTATGGTAAGCTTTCAAAGTCAACAGAGTTAGCTAGAGTTGCTAGTTTCTTAATCCGATTCAGACGGCGGACCATCCCCCTAGAAACGCATTTCCGCCGTAAGCCGTCCCGCGTCTCTTTGTTCCGTTTCTTATCCTTTGTCCGTCAGCCGTTGGACTCTTCGCACTCGCACTAAGTAGCACGAAATGACTCGGCCCGCTCCAACGCTTTTACTAACGGAGCCCGTCCAACATTCTATTGACGCCCTTAATGTCGATCTTTGCAGCCCAAAACATGGAATTTTGAGATTGAGCAGATGACACCGATATCGTATTCTTCTATCATCGCGGGTCGCTGTTTGATGTTGAGTACAACGATTAAGCTTCTCGACTCAAGAGCTTCTCGAAGCATGCTGCAATGCTGCGCTGTCAAGGGTCTGCCGACTTTATTGCCCCTCCGAGTCGGCATTGTGCCGTACGCTGGTTCGCGCCGCTAACGTGGAAAAGGATGCGCCGAGCCTCTCGGCATACTGAACCAGGACAAGGGGACGTGTGCCATCCAGTATCGACCCAAATTTGGGAGGGGACTTCGGATGATGCGACCCCAGCTCCCGCGCAACTTACATAGATTGTGAGGTTTGCCTGCCGGAAGTCCCACTCTACGGATACAGACTTGAAGCTTCTCTGAAGCTTCGCTGGAGCCGCGGTGACGTTTGTGAACTTCGGGATTTGCCCGTCTCTCCCCCCACAAATTTCGCAGCCGACTGGACTTTGACTGAATCTTGTTCGACCCCTGCGTTCATGGTCCGCACTCTCTCCCTCGCGGTATACCCCTTGTCTAAGCAACATTTCGACGATGCAATATCTGGAGAGTTTGACTCTGACGCCTCCCTAGAGAGACGAGAGCTCGCATTCTACGGCTTAATGAAGATTGGCAAATTTAGAAATATCCGTCACTGAACACTAGTTTTTACCCCAACGTTTGTCGGCACGTTGCCACAGCCACTGGCGTTGCTACATGTCATGGAACTCGACCCCGACTAATCGCATGATCTTAACTCGCACCACGCCGTCGATGCTACTATACGCGCTAGCTATCCACACCCAATTCTCGCTTCGATTCACTTGCCGCGATAGTTTTCATCTTCCTTTGACTCTCCCGTGCCGCCGATGTGGCTGACACAGCAAGCAGATGGCGGCTAATACCAAGACCCCCCCCCCCCCCCCCCCTGCTGACACCTCAACCCTTCCCCACCACCTGCCCGACCGGTCGGCTACTAAGAAGTTGAGGTTCGGGGATGGGAGTTCTTGTCTTTCTCTCCCACACGGAGAAACACCTAGATCTTAGGACCGATCCTCCCTCCCACAAGACTAACAACTAGCTTCGCTGCAGTACAACGCAGGCCATGCAGCTAGGTGATATTCGCCTCTCACATCGCGAGGGAGAGCTTCGCGCGGGTGTCTTGCAGCTCGGCGACCACACCGAGAAACTAGTGTCAAGCTCGAATCCGAATACAAAATGTCCAAGAGGAGCACGACTTTGGAGCAGCTTGCTTTCAACGCAGGCCAGCGCCCAATAGTCGACAGCATCAGCTCTAGCAACAACGACGACGACGATCAGACGGAAACGCAGAAATCTTCCAGCAAGATGACACGGACATCGATGGCTAACATTGTGCTTCTGGCTTGCCTTTCGTGGGTTGTCAGTGCGATTACGACGCCCAAGCTCGTGGTGTACGAGGAGAATGGCAAAAAGTACGAGTGCAGATGTTCTCCGGCCGACAGCTGCTGGCCCAAGGCCGACGCTTGGAGTAAGCTGAACCAGACTGTGGGAGGAAACCTCCTTCAACACATTCCGCCCGCTGCCGTCTGCTACAACACGTACCGTGGCATCGCGACTTACGATGCTGCCAAGTGCGTCGAGGCTACTGCAAAGTGGACAGATGAGAGGTGGCAGTAAGTCTGACTTTGCTTTCTCTTCGCGAAGCTGTCGAGAATCAAGTCCTTGCTAACAGTGTACTGTCAGAATCTCTCAACCTGCGTCGCAGTTATGGACATGGGGAAGCAACAACACCTGCGAACTAACCACAGATCCCACAAAGACTTGTGCTCTTGGCAACTACCCAGAGTTCGTCATCATCGCCAAGACGAAGGCTCAGGTCAAGGCCGGCGTGGACTTTGCAAAGTCGAACAATTTACGACTAGTCATTCGCAACACAGGCCATGACTTCGAGGGACGAAGCGCAGGTGCTGGATCCTTGGCCATCAACACGCACAACTTTAAGGACATCTCCTTTGTTGATTCATACAAGGGCCCTGGAGACTACAAGGGACCTGCCATTACTATCGGTGCCGGAGTTCAAGGTTACGAGATCTCAGCCGCGGCTCATGCCAGAAATCCACCTCAGAATGTGGTCACTGGCGAATGCGAGGTAAGCATCTATAGCTTATCTTTGTCCACCCAACTAACAACATGCTAGACTGTGGGAGTTGCAGGCGGCTTCATGGGAGGTGGTGGTCACGGGCCTTTGAGCGGTAACTACGGCTTCGGCGCCGATCAGGCACTCTCATTTGAGGCTCTCACCGCAGCCGGGGACTTTGTCACTGCCAATGCCAACTCCAACTCGGATCTATACTATGCTCTTAGGGGAGGCGGACCGGGTAACTACGCCGTTGTCTTATCTGTCACTCTCAAGACATACCCCGACACTATTCCTGGAGCAGCACTCTTCTTAAATGTCAACGCCACCACCGGCGCAAACTTCGATCAAGTTACGAAGGCAGTCAACAAGCTAAACGCTCTAGGAAACCAAATGGTCGACAACGGACTGTACGGTATCTACGAGCTATACCCGCCAGCTATAGGAGGCGCATTACACGTGCAGCCAATCATGGGAATGAATAAAACCGCAAAGCAACTCACAGCCGTCGTTCAGCCGCTCCTCACTTACCTAGACACTGAGAAGATCCCATACGACTTTGGTGTCAAAGAGTACCCCAACTACTACACCCTCTTCCACGACATTTTCGAGCCCGAGCGCGCAGCTCAGAATGGTTTGACGGGCGGCTGGGTCTTCACCCACGACGACATGGCGAGCAACCAGCCGGCCATCGCCGAGGCAATCCAGCTTGGGTTGGCACCAGCTCCTAACCAGTTCGGTATCATTATCAGCCACTTCTTCGATCCAGGAAGCAACGCTCAGAAGTCTGGTAGTGCAACGCATCCTAAGTGGAGAGGTGCCACCATGCGCACTATGGCTATCCTGCCGCAGGCCCTAGACGCGACGTGGGCGACGAAGTTGGCGTTGAATGATCTCATGGTCAACACCATCACCGAGAAGTTTAAGCAGGCTGGTCCCAACGGGCTTGCATACGTGAATGAAGTAAGCCTTTCTATATTTCAGTCGTGACAGGTCATTGTGTCATTGGTACTAACATGTTCGGCTAGAACTATGCCTTCATGAAGAACTGGCAAGATGCCTTCTGGGGTCCCATCTACCCCAAGTTAGCGTCGATCAAGAAGAAGTGGGATCCGAACGGCGTCTTTTTCTCATGGTCTACTCCGGGAAGCGAGGAGTGGAGTGTTTTGGACTATGCGAACCGACTTTGCAAAGCGAAATGATTGAAGCGTTTAAAGATGCGACTTGGCCTTAAAGATACCATTTACCTATGATGATATTGGATGAGTATACTAGATTCTTAGATCTCATGATAATACATGTAATGAACGGGATGATATCGCCATCTACATGCGAATGTGTGGGACTTCTCTCGTCGAGGGTCTGGGCTTACTCATTCCAGATCACAGCGCTGAGTCCATCCTCTTGATTCACAGTCCCTGAATTGCCAACCTTGACAGTTGCAAGAAGTTTCCCAAGTCTACCCGTAGTGGTGTTTCTTTCCACAATCGCAACATTGGCACTTGTCTGTCCACCTATGGCAACCATGGTCCCGGCGCCATTGATCGAGAATGTGCGAGGGAAGAACGAGTGAGCGCTCGTTGTCTCAAGGTACGTGGCCAGACCTGTTGAAGGCTCGATTGTGTAGGACGTAATGGAGTCCTGCTGTGCCCCAAAGGACTGATCGTTTCTGTTTGATGCGTACACAAAATTGTCCTTGACGTGAACTTCGGCCGCCTTCGAGCCAGCCGGTGCAGCTTTCCCAGGAGGGAATGTGGACAGGGTCTGCTTCTTCGCAAGAATCAGGCATCCAGTTGTCGGGTAGGTTACCGACCAAGACGTCAGCGAGTTCGATAACTCATTTACAGTGAATAGGAATGTTGCATTGCCCTGTATTCTGAACGCTCCATGACGGGGTCCGTCTCCGGGGCCAGTTGAGAAAGACGGGCATTGAGTCAGATTGCCAGACGATCCAATACTGAATACGCGAATGAGATCGGCTCCTAGATCCGCAGAGAGAACATATTTCCCAGTGGGATCCGTGAAGACGGAGTGAGGGTGAGGTCTGTCCTGTCGAGATGGCACCGGTCCTGGCTGAGACATGGTGAATGACAATTTCTGCAAGGGTTGACCTGTGCTGCCCAACGGAAGGGTGTAAGTAGAAATTGTCGATGCATCACTGTAAACTGCGTTAGTGAAAGGATTTCATCACCAGGAGTTGAGTAATCATACTACTGCGCAGTTGTAATGTAGCCGTTGCCAAGTCCATAGAGTGTACTATGAAGCTCGCCCCCAGCTGTCTGAACTTGCCCCTTCGGCGTCAAACTTCCATCAGCTGTAACAGAGAAGCTTTTCAAGAGTGGCTGGCCCCATTGTACTTCGTCCGGGAGGTAGATAGTTTTCGAGCCAGGGTCAAAGTCGAGCCATGCTGGCATCCGGTTCCCAGCGCTAACCGAACTCGCAATGGTGAGTTGGTTTGCTGACGACAAGTTCAGCGTATAGAGTTGCCCGCTATAATGCGAGGCAATCAGGGTGGCCGCGAGGGCGCTTCGAAGGGACGTGAAGCAGGCAAGGAAACGCGATGTATTTCCCATTGTGCCAGAAATTCACACTGACTATGGAAGATTTCTTGGCGTTCATCTGGTGGTTGGCTTCGGTTCTTGTCTGTTTTAAACCTCCCGGCCCTCGTAGTACCACCAATTTCGGTTCCAGTCCGAAGGCCTCGCGAGCTTGCGCTTGAGCATTTACCCGACACAACGTCCATGAAAGTGCAACGGGCTTGAGCTCGCAAGCACTGTTCCTTGTTCCGTCCAGAGACAATATCGACTAGCGTATCCTCCGAGATGCCTAATAGGGCAATGTAACGGAGCGCGGTGCCTGGGTCGCATGACAGCGAGGTGACTTGAACACAGCCAAAATGCGGCTAATTGCAGATCACGGTTTTTTTCGCTGTATTCAGGGCACAAAGGCTTACGGAGCAGTGTAAAAATGGCTTCTATGGCGTCTAAGTCTCATGTATCGTCGACTTTTGATGATGAAAAAAAACCGAGTCTCTATTTACTATTGAACCACCAGGCGACTAGATAAGCCCCAGCCTTCGAATCATTTTAGGCTGGATCCACTTCATATATCTTAACAATGGGATAGACAAACACCAAATATTACTTTGACCCCCACGAGCTACACTCTCCCGAAATGAAGCTGGCTGGCAAGCTGGTGCGTTATTGAAGGTTTCGTTCATGTTTATATCTTCATCACTTAGCTGCCAGCTTAGTCAAGTGAATCTCTGCAATGTACCTGCCCTTTTCACGAGAATTTGTCGATTTGATATGCGAACCATATCATACATCAGCGTGAGCATGAATATTCCAGATACTGAATTGAGACCATTTGATAGTTCTCACGAAGATGGATCTTCTCTGAGCCTGGCCCGAACTTACGTAAGGCGGGGTCCTTTTGCATCTTCCCCCTGCAGCAACTAGCTAAATTGCCGCCTAGAATCGGAGATGTCTACAACTCACGCATCCAAAGTGGTGTGACAAAAATCGTGAGTTATGAGTGCCGACGAGTTCCGCGACAGTGTCGAAAGCGGGGAGACACCAGTGGACAGCCATGGTCGACTATTGCGAATAGCATTCATTTACTTGGATGAATCGTTATGGGATGGCAGGGGCGTGTTCGAGGTTGTTGACCAAATTCACGCACGCGGTTGGTCGTTTGGCCACGGAGACCTGAAATCCAACCGGTAATATTACTGAGTTCAAAGAACTATTTCAATGAGAAGATTGAGCTAACGATGAAAAGAACTCTGGATATATTCTATCTCGCCCAACTAGCAGCCGCCATGTATCGCTCCTCAGACCCGGACGAGGGTGTCTTCGCGTCAGCAGATGACTTTGACGCATTTTACGCAGAGCATCATAACCTACTCGGCGAGAATGCGTGGCGAAATTACTACTCATCTGGTCTCCTTACAACGTCAATCTCGGCTCGTTTCTACCGCCTTCCCGACTTGCAAGACCTGCCGGACTCAAGCTACCCGCTTGCACAGCCGCGCCACAAAGGAAACGGTCGCCTATCAACCAAGCTTCCGCGCTGGGCACATAACGTCGTGCGCACTCGGCGACGACAGCCGTCCCTTTCCGTAGAGACCATCACCCAGACAGCCCTGGCAACTCTCGAGCAGACCATCGCACACTTGAGAGAGTACCATCCAAGCGTCCAGCCGTACTCGGAGACTCAAGCTCGCTTCTGGCTCAAGTACATGAAGATCGATTCTCCCGGCGAGCCGTCAAAGGAGGCATGGACTCACAACGAATTTGGTATCTCCGTCGCGCAGGGAGCTTTCGATATGTGGGCTTGGGAAGCGCACTACTCGCGGGACCGCTGGGAGGCTGTCAATACGCCATATCTTGAACCGGACCTGGATGGGACGCGAGAAAGCGAGGTCAACTGGTGTGGGTGGCCGGACGGCGGTGTGGGGGAGCAGGCGCGAAGTAGAGGCTGGGAGCCGGAGGTGGGCAGCGTGGAGGAGGTTGCATTCCTGGCAGCTGTTGCGGTGAAGGAGACGGAGGGCGTCTCTATGAGAGATCTGAACTATGAGATGCGGTCGCACATTCTTCTTGGAGTAATGCGTACTGCTTTTGACGTCGAGAAGGCACAGGGGGTGGAAGATCTCAAGCAGCGGCAGGTTGCTACGGGTAGAAATGACGAGGCCAGGGCTGAGCAGTGGATTCGAGAGGCGCTGGTGGTCACGGAGCCATACTTGCGCGACAAGGACGGATGGTCTGCTGTCGAAGAGCATCGGGATGAAGTCCTGCGGCAGATTCTGGTGGAGAATGGACAGCTGTTTGCAAGATGGAAGCTCTCGGACTCTTCCAAAGAGTTCAACTTTGAACTGCAACCAAGGAACCAGAATTAGACATGCGTAATCACGGCAACGATATGACAATGACAACTTGATCTTCTCTTGACTTTCTTTTTTGTCTTGTGTACCATATCAATGTTATTACACACCGACATTAACAGTATGGCAACTTGTACTTGACAAATACTTTAAACTATGATTCCGGACATGAGCCAAATGCCAACTGACATCCCGTCCCACAGTAAGCATTCGTGCTTCCACAGTAACCCCACTCAGAGCAACAGTCGCCGAAAGCAGACCCAAGACAGGTCGCGTTCTCGGGATCACTGTTTGAACTACACGTACCGTCCGTGGAAACCACCAGCCCCGGCTCGGTACAGGAGCCAAAGGCCGTCTGGCAGCCTGTACTGCAGTGATCTGTCGTGTCGCCACAGTAGCCATACTCTGAACAACAGCCGCCAAAACCAGAGCCTGTACAGGTTGTTCCACCAAAGTCGGCACCGCATCGGCCGTCAGTTGAAGGAACTGATGAAGCGGAGGGTGCTGCTGAGCTCGAGGATGATGTTGAGCTGGTGGATGTCAATGACACCAAGGAGGAGGAGGAGAATCCCAACGAAGTTGTCCCCATGGAAGCCAGCACAATTTCCGTCGTGTACGTCGACTTAGTCACGGACTCAATGGTGGTCGTGAAAGTGACTGTGTCCCCAGGACCCCACGGCTCAGGCGAATAAGTTGGCTCTTGCGAATATGTCGTACTTTGCGTCGTCGATCTACTGGGCAGGCTGGGTGTGTCGCTGATGTATTGTCGCCGACGTAGCTCCGGCAGGTTATTCACCATCTCCTCCGAGGCAGACCGTTTCTTCGCCGGGAGGAACGCAACACCAATGTCGTAGCCCGTGAAGTCGCATGACAGCTTGGGTCCGCCGGCTGACACGATGGCCCGCTCGACACAGCCGTCTTTCATGAAGAACGGCAGGTTGAAATAGGCTCCCGCGTACTTGGAGGAGGTGCGCTCGCGCCAGTCCCAGCCGGTCAGGGCGCCGCAACCCTTTTCTTCAGACTTGAGGCGGGAGCCGCCGTCAGTGCTCCAGCCGTCGATGTTGTATACTTCGAAAGTGTACCAGCCAAAGGCCGTGATCCTATGAGCACAGTCATGTCAGAACTTCAACGATCAGGGTATAGAGTCAGATTGATTTGACATACCAGTAAGCACAGTCGGCTTTTGCAGTCGGTTCAACCACTACAGTCACTGTGGTGGTCGGCGTGGTCGTCTTGGTCGAGGTTGCGATAACAGTAATGGTCTCCGTAAGACCGAATTGCTTAGCGGTGAAGGTTGATCCATCGTAGTCGGATGGGTTGGTTGGAGCGAACTCCAACGGGATCTGCTTCCCATCAATAATGGTCTGATCGGCTGCTTGTTCTGCGGACAAGGCCGACGCAATGTCTGGATCCATGGTGCATTCAGGGCTACCGGGCGTCGTGGTTGTCGCTGTATCTTGTCCGTTACAAGCAGTACTCGTCACGCAGCTGGTCTGTTCCAAAGGTTAGCTTACTGTTCCTGCATCAAGACCTGCTCAATTGTTGTACTTGCCTCAGTTGTCCGCGTAGAAGACTCCATGTACCAAGCACTATAGCTAGTAACGAGATAAGTGCAGGCCGATGCCGTCACAGGTTCCTCACAGTTCTCACTGCTGTCGCCGCCGTCGGTACCTTGCGTGTTTCCGCACCCGCCGGGAATTAGACAGCCTACGCCACCGCACGACAGCAGAGGACAAGTAGACACGCAACCGAAGACGCCGCAGCCTCCGCCGCAGCCAAAGATTCCGCAGCCACCATCGCAGCCAAACAGTCCACAGCCGCCGTCACAGCCGAAAATGCCGCAGTCCCGTGTCCCACAGCCGGATCCAGTACAACCTGTGGAAGAAGAGGTCGGCGTGGGCGTGACAGCAACGGGCGGGATAGGGACCGTTGGGTCGGGGTAGTCTACCGAGTAGGTCGGCTGAGGCTGGATAGTCACGGGCACAGATGTCGAAAAGAATGTGACCGGGGGGATGATGATCAAGGGCACATCCGTATCGGAGGAAGTTGCCGGTGTTGGGGAGCTGACGGGAAAGGTGGCGTGATTTGGAGGAAGTGTATACACGAAAGGTGACGGGGTAATGCTTTGTACGGGGTTGATCTGGTAGTGCGCTGTGTCTGTCGATTGCAGTGTCAGGGGTTGGAGGCTGACGTCGGTCATGGTGAAGGACGGGACAGGGAGCGTTGTTGTCACGACGTACACACCGCCGGCTCCAGAGGACAAGAGAGTTGTTGTCAAAGCTGGCCAGCTCGTAACGGTATGAGTGGCACTAAGCGGGTATGGAGGGAAGACAACGATGCACGGAGGCTCGCAGCCTACCAACGGATCGTCAGAGTTCCAGATGCTAGGCGGGGGATAAACAATGTTCGAAGAGGAGCCGTAATCGATGCTGTCGCCGCCGAAGCCTTGCAAATCGATTGCCCAGTCGATGATTCCCGCAAAGTTGAGACTCTCATAGAGAGCCTTTCGATCTGCCTTCAGGTCATCATCCATGTGAGCGACCCATTGTGTTGAGTCGTATACGGCAATGTTTGACTGGCTGTCTTCGTCAAAGTACGACTCGTACGACTCGATCGACTGTAGAGCTCCTGACGACGTCATCCAGGTTCCGGTTCCCGCCAGGATGGAATTTATCTCGGCGTTGGCGATGTAACCTGCGGTGTTGGTGCATGGTCCTGGATAAGCCCCCGAGCCTCCGCCTGTGTATGTGCACATGGGACCGGTGCAGCCGGGTGTTGTCATCTGAAACGATCGGCCGTAGCTCGAGACGCCGACTGCGAGCTTGTTGGATGGTACACCGGCCTTGGTGATCATGGACAGAGCGAGGAGAGTCTCGGTAATGTTCGTGTGAGAACGTAGGCAGTTGCCCTCTGGGCAGCCGTCGATTGCGTACTGGTTGGAGTAGTCCCACTGGCCATGAAGATCATACGTCATGTAGACGATGTAGTCTGCCAGATCTGCCATTTCTCCAATCTGGTAGCCCTTGAGGTACCAGAAAGAAGCGGGCGCGCAGAAGGACACGGACTTGTCGGAAGGCATCGCTGCCCTCAGCTTAGTGAAGAAGGTCAAATAGTTGGCGGCATCTTCAGCTGTGCCGGCTGGAATATCGGGGATATCGGGGGCAGCGGGATCTGGTGACCATTAGTTAGCCATGGTTCTGTGATGGAGAGACATTCTACGACTTACATTCCCAGTCGATGTCAATACCGTCCAGGCCATTATCTTGTACGAACGCAACGATGTTGGCAACAAAGGTGTCCTGGTTGGCGGGGTTGACGGCGTCCCGGAAAATGAAATACGTCGCTGGCTCGGCTGAGAAAGCCCAGCCGCCGAGAGAAAGAATCTTTTTGAAGCCAGACATTTGCTGGAACAACTCCCACTGTTCCTGGATATGGCTGACGTCGATGGCATATGTGCCGGTCGTGACGACGCCGAATGCCAAATGGATGTGCGTGTACGGGGTCACATCCATCGCAGTGATCTTCATGTTCAAGCACGGGCGGTCCAAGTTGTAGGCTTCAAAGTAGCCGATGCTGATGGCTTCGGCCGGAGCTGATCCAACGACGATCTCAGTTCCACAGTTGGAGATGCAGCCATTCTCGCCCTCAGCCGAGGTTCCCGGGGCGCCAGTCTCTGACTCAGAGATGGTACAGAAGTCCTTGTTGATACCACATTGGCCGTGTTTGTTCTGAAGGAGGGAGGCGCATTAGCTACCGTGGAGCATGATAAAGGGACGCGAGGTATAACACATACACAACAGGCATTCAGGGGGCAAGGATTCAGACTGGCTAGTTCGACACCCGCTCCCGGCTGAGTAGTTCCGGGCTTCTGGGGGCCACACACGGCGTTAGTAATGGGAGCTGGCATCGGAGGTGCACCAGTACTGAGGCAGATGTACTGGTATGCTTGCACGTTCGAGCATCCCTGCCAGCCCCAAGTCTGGGTGTTGAAGCTTTCAATCTCATCATTGGTTAGACTGTTGGCTGCTCCCAAGGAAGAGCAGCTGTCGCCGGGCACGACGTAATAAGAGAAGCATGTCCCGTCTGAGTTGGGCTGCGGACGGAAGTCGGGGAGATCTCCCGCTGAGCAGCAGACGTGCTGTCCCACTTGCAGAGACGAGCACAACGTCGAGTCCGGGTTGTACGTGGTGAAGTCGCTGGCGGATATGCCGCACTCCGCCGCCAAGCTTGCGCCTAGATAACAAGATGGATTAGCCTTGTGTTCTATGTTTGGACTTTCCTGGTGGAAGGCACTCACAGCTATCTCCGGACACAACCTGAACAGTTGAACATTCAGCTCGTCGATGAAGCATGTTCAACTTGCCAGACGTCGACGAGATGGTGTCAGCAGTGCTGTCGGCACGGGTACCATTGCCAAAGCTAGCAGTGCTGTTGTTGGAGATACTCGGGACCGACAAGGTGATGTCTTGCCATTCTTCCATCTTATCGAAAGAAGTGATACACTCGCCAGATGCCCAGGTAGCTACGGCATCCTGTACAAACTTCAGATCGCGATCTCCGCTCACAGCAATTCCAAAGCTGTATCGGGAACTGCGGCCGTCTTTCGTACACAGTTGTGCAACGACGCTGTTAGAGAAACCAGCCGACTTGATCTTCCTTATGAACTGACGCAGCACTGATGACGGGATGTCGCGGACGCCCGATCCCGCGAAGAGACCGAGAACGACCGTATTAGAGTATGCGAAGGAGGTTATATCGGTGCTGTTTGACTCCCGAGAAAAGGAGGAGGCGAGCTGTTCTGAAGCGGCTACAAAGTCCTTCAACTCAGCTGGTGTGTTAGACACATTGAAAGCTAGCTGCAGCGACTCTTGAACCTTGGTCAAGCTGCATTTAGGCAGGCAAGACGGGCCTTGGGCCGTATTGTTGCCGGTGACGTTGCTTGTGCCAACTGCAAAGCTTGCGGTGCAGGCCCGGACAGTCTCGTCTTTGCGTAAAGAGTTGGAGGGGTTGAAGTCGAGAAGCATGGTCTCGTTACACATTGATAATCGCCCAAGTCGAGAATACAGAGTCCAGTTGCCTGAGTTCCAACCGGACTCATTGCATCCGGCTGGGCAACGACTGAGCACTAATTCGACGAGCTCTGGGGCGAGCGTGTTGTTGCTGATGGATGCTGGAGGAGCCGAACTGGTTGCGAGTGGATGTGCTGCTAGGTAAGAAGCGAGCATTTCCGAACCATTCTCAATGGCAATGGCTGGATGACACAGCACGAGAGTGATGGCCACCACCCCGGCCGTGATAGACCGCGAGAAGAATCTCATTGTTGTTGTGTGTAATGAACGTGGACGACAGTAAAGGGAATGCAGCGAGAGACCAGAAAGAACGTGATGTAGAGAAAAGGGTAACAAGAGGGAGTGATATCGAGCTGTGATAGAATCTCATACTTATCAAGATTGTCTTCTTCGACCACAGCGGAGGCAGGCTGTCGACAACATCCGACGCAGTCCAAGTGCCTCGTCAACCATCATAGTCCTTGTCGGCGAACTACCGTGCTAGACAGGGGTAGACTCTGGTCCCCGTCTCCGCTGCGCCTGAGTGTTGCAGCTATGCTTATGTTTTTCTTTCGCTTTTGTTCGCCTGGTCCCACCGAAAGTAACATTTTCTGTCCTTACGTCCTCGGGCTTGAGTCTGCTTCAGGCGTGGGCTATCCGACGCCAGGTCTAGAAGTCTTGGCTGTCGATCGTTTGGCACGAACGGTATTTTTTTGCCTCATCCGATCCAAACCAGAGAAATTCCTCAAGGGCGAGAAATCGCGATTATGCTAGCGGGGTCGTCGTCAGCTGTGACAGGTGATGCGATGTGAAATAGATGGAGAAGTTCGCGACCCCTGCTAATCGGTGCCTAGACTTGAAGTTCATCGAGCCCGGGGACGGGCCGGCCCCTGCTCTGCACGTTTACGGCTACTCTCCGGACAATTTTCTGCCTAAAAGCAACTTCATTTCCCAGGGCTGCAGGGAGGATGCCATGGATCTGAATCCTGGCCGAGTGATGGTGCGATATCAAATCCCCATTCTGGAATCCCTTTGCTCTGAGTGCTTTGCCATTGGTTGGCAGGCACTTGAGTGGCAGCATAGACGCGTATACCCTTGCTGGCATTTGAATCAACTTACCTTTCGTGCCAATATTTCGAACAACGAGCTGATGATAACCTCCGCTGCTAGTCTGCGTGCCAAGAGTCACGCTACAGAAGAGACATCCGCCTACTTTTATTGCTGACGTTTCCACATTGACTGCTACTGCACAAGGACCGAGGCTTGTCAAGGCTTGTACGGAGTAGCCTAATCGTGTTCTATTGTATTGCCCAGCGACCTTATTACTTGGGTCAAGATTTCTCACTGGTGATCTCAGTAGCCTCGCCTCTCTCGCATTCTTTTCCATCTGCCATGGCAGTCGTTCCTTCAACTTTCATTACAATCTCACCATAGTCATTCGCTTCTCGACAACTTCAGGATGAAGTTCTGGGCTGCTCTCGCTCTTACTGCGGCCGTTGCGGCTGTCCCGTTCGAAGGCATTTCTTTGCACAAACGCGCTGGGGCAAGAAGCCATATTGGATATCGGATTGTCTCTAAGGTACTTTGCTTCCTTTGTACCTGCACTGGTCACCTATAGTTCGAAATGGGTTGGCGTTCTTTGATCTTCAAGAGCTGACAAGTTGGCAACAGGCTGAAGCCGACGCCATCAACGCCAATGATGGAAAGGCGGTACAGTCACTCGGGACCTCGGGTAGGCAGTTAGGAACCGGAACCTACATATCCCCAGCATTCCAAGACTTTCCAGAGTACGATCCTTCCAAGGGAATACCCTGGGACTGCGTCGTGACCATGGACGCCGATACCTGGAGCGGGCTGAAGAAGGCATGGATACCGAAGTTCTATGAGTTCCCCGAAGACAAGGAAAAGAATCCGGACAAGTGCAAACCGCTCAACCTGTGGACCCCGAGATGGAGTGAGTGAAATGTGCGGCCGTTCCTCACAAGTCTCATGACTAACAATTTCCAAAAGAGGCGAACCGAAAGCGATTCTTGACAAGCTTGGACTCCTCTTTTACAGAGGAGAATACGGTCCTCTTCTCTAAGGTGTTGGGTCACGAGGAAAAGATTCAGGCCTTGATTCCTCCGGCGATCGTTGATACTGGAGTGGTCTACATATCTCAGTGTGCCGAACGAGAGACAGAGTCTAACACTCAGATCGGAAGCCTTGGTGGTGTTGATTGGGACACTGCCAAGATGGAGGGCTGGAACTTGGGGTCCGATGCTGTGTAGATGGCACAAGTAGAGGTGGAAGTCAATTGTTCTGGGTTCTGGTTGATGTTTAGTGTCAAATATTAGCCTGCGTCGATGTCGTGTTGAGGATTACATTGAGCTCCTACATCTGTAGCAAGCACTGGTCATCTTTCTATATGATACTAACCTTGACATGGGAGAATGGCTTGAGGCGGTTCGAGCAATTTTTCCCTCCTTCACGGGCCTAATTTCCTTCTTCACGACACCCACTCAAGGTTGCTAACAGGCTGCACCAAAAAATGAAACAAGCTTCAATGGAGACTCTTGCTTGACCCAAATGGTTCAGTCAACGTGTAAAAGGGTGATGCCGTGACTAATAGGATGCGAAGAGCCAACGTATTCTGGGTCTTAGGGGTACTGAAAGCTCAATCGGCGTTGTCTCCGAGTTCTATTTCAAGGCTTTCGATGCCTCAAAGCAAGCGATCAACTCTCTGGTCACATTGAAGTGAGGTGCACCAAAGCCTGAGATCGGTTCCAAGAAGCTTCAGGAATGGGTCGAAAACCATGATGCTTGCTAAGGATTTGAACATGCGGCAACACTTCGCAACGCCGCGCTTCACTAACTTGAAAAGCATGTTTCACGGTGACAAAGCGGATTCATGGCATCCTTGATCCACTGTCGCAGACACTAGAGGCCGTCTAACAACGCCGCAAATTATCGGTTGACTCGGAAATCTGCAGCCTATTGGACTTAGTCCAGCTCTCGATCAGAAAGATGCTCATAAAAGAAGTTACTTGAATAGGTCGGAAACAAGAGAGAAACAGTGACATGCTTTTCTGACGGTCAGGTATCAAGAGAGCTCCTACTCTTCGAGTTCATACAGAGCCAAGTTCTCGGGCGAACCAATTGGCGTCATTTGCAAACTACTGTTACATATTTGACAAGTCGCTGTAGATTCGCCGTCAGACGCACCCCAGAATAAGCCTCTCTTGTACTAATACAACGATCGCATCGCTGCATCCTCCAGTTACCCGAAAAGCGGACTCTGCTTCTTTGCAGAACTTAAGCAGCAGCATTCCCGTGGGCATGCATGGGGTGTACTTGGACTACCTGACCCGATATGAGGCAGGAAGAAGCTTAGACAATGCATGTGTGTTGGGTCGGGTACCTGGGAAGGTTGCAAGGCATCAAAGATGAGGTTGGCCCGGAAGAGGTTCTCTACTTTCCTCAGATTGTCAGGCCGGCTGGGGGCCTTATACTTTAACATAGTTCTGTTTAGTTATGGTCCGTTGAGAACACAACACGTAAGGGCGGCAATGCCGAGTGAACAGAGAGCGAGATCAACCACCTAACACTATGTGCAAAACTGAGCATATGATACGATCAAGAAATACTCCTTTGCAAACGTAAACTTCAAATGTCATATGTTGCTAGCGCGGTAGTTTGTCCAGTCTTTTTTTGAATGCGCCTATTCATACATCTCGGCGCTCCTAAAAAAGAAGACTCTGACACAACGCCTATCAAGGCCAGACTGGCGGGGGAGGCCGTGTGGCTCGGCTCTTAATAGGCTTGCCAATAAGGTTACTTATGACCCCTCTCTTTGCAAGGGAGGGGCATGTATCTAGCAGATCCCGCCCAATATTACATCGCTCTTCTGGGCGAGCAGCGGCTATTGACCCTTATTCGCATAATTATCCGCGTCTCAAGATCAAATTCGGCGTGGATGCTACCCACGTGTCGATTTGGCGGTCGCGAGAGGCACTGGACCCCGCGGGACGTAAACGTCTCGGAGGGGATCCCTGTCCATGGTTTGCTCAACTGCCCCATTGGGCTGAATAGCTTCGGTACTCCTTCTCGCGATGAACATGGAAACTTCGGTCAACACATATAAGAGGTGTTTGAGGGTACTCTGGTTCGAGATTTGTGATCAGCACCGAGTCTCTTAGCTCTCATCCTAGTCATTCGTTTCTTCTCCAAGATGCAGATCAAGACCCTTCTCACACCCATCATCCTAGCCAGGGTAGCTCTGGCCCAGGGTCTCCCCATCCGCGTTGCCTCGTTCAACATCCGATATGATGCCGGTTCACGTGAATCTGGTGAGAAGCCGTGGTGGGATCTCCTGTGTGGAATATCCAAGGACCGCTGCCGCCAGCCCCATGTCATCGACGCGATCAAGAGCATAGGCACCAATGCACCCTCTGGCGCTGTCACCGTAATCGGCCTCCAAGAAGTTCTCGATAACCAGCTCAACGACATCCAGAACGGACTCGGCTCCGGCTGGGCCCACGTCGGCGTCGCTCGCGACGACGGCAAGAAGAGCGGCGAGTACAACCCCATCTTCTACCGCACCGGCGCGCTCAAGTTACTCCACGAAGAGACGAAGTGGCTCTCCCCCACGCCTGATACGGTCTCGTCTGGATGGGGAGCCGGCAGCAAACGCATCGTCACGATTGCTGTGTTTGAGCATACCGCCAGCGGAAAGAAGTTCATCCACGCCAATACGCACTTGGATAACGTCAGCTCTCAGGCTCGTAGTGAGGGAATCAAGGTCGCTGTGTCGAAGATTCAAGCTGTGCAGACTACCTACGGCCCTCTGGGCGTCTCACTCACTGGCGACTTCAACTCCGACCCTAATGGCGATGGATACAAGGCGTTGACGGGAACGGGGTTCGTGGATGAGTTATACAACTTGGCTACTCCTGAACAGCGCATCGGGCCCAACCAGTTGACGTACACCACCTTCGATACCACCAAGCAAGGCAGCCGTATTGACTTTGTCTGGCTTGGGCCCAAAGATGCGAAGAAGTATTCCGTTCAGCGATATGAGATCCAAAACAGCCTTGTCAATGGCATGCTCATCAGCGACCATAGACCCGTGGTTGGAGACGTCACTTTACTGTCTTAACCTGCGAGATATTGATACAATTTACGCAGTAATTGACTATTGATACCCATTTCTTTACGCGAGACCTTATGCATCCTTTGTTTGAGTTGATCAGTGGCCGTCTCCAAATAGCATCGCATGTTTGTTGCGGTAATCATCCTCGCAGTGGTAGCAGGTTATGTTATGCTTCTTCTCCAGAGGCAACCCCGGCGTGGAGACAATAATTTCCCAACCTTAGCACAAACGCAATTGCCAAATACTTTGATGTTTGGCTTTCGCTAAACCATCTGTGCAGGTCAAGATCAAGTCAGTGCAGAGTACGTCATAGTGCCTTGATCTATGGCTCAATCGAGAACTAGCTTCAAACAATAACTTGCGCTCATAAGATCTCACTTCCCCGCTCGAGGCGTTTATGGCATTTTCTCGCCCTCGCATCAATTACGTTTGAGCCTGATTGAATTGAGACGCGAACGCGATCACTTGCGAGCCAGCTAGCTTTTACGGCTCTCACTTCCATGCAACTTGGACAAAATGGCGATTCATGACTTTAGCCAAGAGCAGAAAATTTGCTTTGAGGATCAGCATCGTGAGCTGAAAGTATGTCAAGCCACCCATTCCTGTCGAATAATACCTTGAGTGGTTTAAAATAGTGGTTAATAAACGACATGGGCTTTAGGGAATACTGCGCAATAAAGCCGGTGCCGACGCGGGAGTTGATAACGTCAAAGGGTTTGATCTCGCGATCTCTGAATTTACTTGGCGGCAGGTGCCTCTAGTGGACACCCAGGAGGCACTAGCCAAGTTCATGCATTTGGCCGACGACACGAAGTTCAGCAAAATCTATGGCGAATTCCTCAATGCTCCTCTCGGATCCGCCAAGGAGGAAGCCCAGGCGAGGGAAATGCTGTGCGGCGCCCATGGGATCTCCACCACATCTTACAGACCAAGGAAGGACTGGGAGTTGGTAAGAGCGGCGCCTTTCATCGCGTTGCAGGCAGACGTAGGTTTTCCGAAAAATCCTAGATTTAAGTGGTGATGAGTATTACGTTCAGCAACATGACTTTTAGACTGATTCTCACCTGCAGTCATATTGGAAAGATTCACCCAACAAGGTGTTACTGCTCGCGTCCAGCCTCCAGGACAGGGGAGATAACTACGCGGAAAGTGGTCGCGCAAGAACAATGGATCTGGCAGCATCCGAACCCACGGGCAAACTGGCCGAACTTTTGTCTCAGTACTACGAATTATACGATCAATCTGAGGCAGAGGTTCAAGCTAGAAGAGCCCGGGGTAGAACTAGGTCTTTACCAAGAGCCTGGCACGCCTGGTCTCTCCACTTCGAGCTCCTAGTCATTTATCAACTCCCCTGTGGCTGATCCTTTGTACACACTACGCATGTGATAACGCACTCAGTGGCTCATGTGCTATTACTTCGAATTGTTCCACTGCAGCAACAAAAGATCGCCAACTAAAGCAGTCTAAAGAAAAATCTAATAAGCAATGGAATCTTGGCTGGGAAGTTTGGCGTCGATATCGCCGATTCAGAGAAGAAAAATTCGAGATGGTCTCATCACAACGACCATCAACAGATGTCGCGCGCAGATGGTAAGCGTATCAGACACCGCTACTTGAACCCTGTGACCAACTACGCGCCCACTAAAAAGCGCATAAAGCCTAACCGAGTTACCCGCATGCCAATGCCCGCACAAAGCGCCGTCTGAACACAGCCACACGAGATGACTCAGCGGGAGATAACGGAACAGTTTTGTTATCGTCATTGATAACTATGTGCCGGTCTGCTGCACGCGACACTCCTTCAACTGGTCTCTCCTTGGGTTGGTTGTCTTGGTGAGTTTGCTCTCTAGTACGATGCACACCGATGCTGTTGCTGATCTGGCAACTTAGCTTAGTGCCTCTTATCTCAACGAAGGATACTGTTAAGCCAGTTACCATGGCTGCCGTCAATCTGGGACAACCTGCGTCGCTATCGCAGGGCCCTATCTCGCAAGATGACGCATCCGAGATACTCGGCAGCATCAGCATGGCTGCGTTTCTTTGTCTTTTGGTATGCTCCGCTGCTCTCTGTGGTTACGGGGAAATATGTTAATGGTTTCCAGATCCCGCAACTCGTTGCCAACTACAAGCTGAAGAGCGCAGACAGCTTATCTATGGCATTCCTGTTCATTTGGCTTTTGGGAGACGTTACAAATTTACTAGGTAAGACGCCCTCTTGAACCCCGCCAACTTGATCTTGGGATATGATCTTCCGGGCACATGTACTTTGTCTTTCAAATGCATGCGCAGACTGCTTACCTTTTCTTCATGCAGGGGGTCTGGCGAATGGCATCGCACCCGCAAGCATAGCTGTGACAACATATCTGTGCTTTTCAGACTCGACACTCATCTGCCAGTGCCTGTACTATAACTCAAAACGTCGGATTCGTAACCTCGTACAACCCAGCACGCCAAGATCGCAATCTCCCGAGCGTCGACCTCTACTCGAGCCGGCCGACTCTTCCGAGGATGTGAACTCACCAAGCCATTATGAAGTTGCCTCTCCTGGGTCGACTCAGGTTGTGGACAAAGATGAGGAGAACGACATCAGCACTGTACGCACCCTGCACGACTGGCGCTTCAATGCGGCATGCCTTGTCATGGTCGCTATCCTTGGGATCTCGGGATGGTTCGTGCTTCGCCAGTTTGGGGTGGTTGGCGGTGAGAAGCCTCCTGGAGCCGTGAGCGTTACAGAGTTGTCAGGCATTTCCGAGTCGGTTGGCTCAGCATTGGGAATCATCGGCGCAATCTGCTATCTGTGGTATGTTGCAATTCATGACCTGTGAGGTTATTTAACCAACTGACATGCATATGCAGTGCGCGGATTCCTCAAATTATCAAGAATTACAGGGGAAAGTCATGCGAAGGTCAGTTTACTCGCCTATTGATTTTGATTGTGGTTTTGACTGAAAGTTTGCAGGCCTTGCACCACTATTTTTACTTCTGTCCGTCACCGGAAATTTAACGTATGGAATGAGCGTCATTGCGTATAAGCAAGATAGAGAGTACTTGCTTACAAGCCTACCGTGGCTAATGGGCTCGCTTGGAACCATTGTGGAAGACGGCATCATCCTATTCCAGGTTCGACTTTACTCACGAGTACAAGAGCCAGTAGACTCAAATGGTTTATGAGTCTAGTCAACTTGAAATGAAGCCCACATATCATGATTTTGTACGATCTTGGCAAGAACCTAAAGACATTGATTTCATGACTAGCCAAGCGGTTCGGGTCAGATCGTGCGCATTCCTGTTTTTCTCGGCATGGGCTTTACAAAAAGGGCAACTTTCGGCCGAGTTGTTATGTCTGTAGTGACTACAAGCCAGTCTACAGCAACTTACGACTGTGCCGAAGTAGTACTTAAGACAACGTCCTGTCCCTTTGAATTGTTGAGCCTCTCTTCACTGTGCTCTCATCAAGTCATTAAGTCTCTGCTACTTGCCTGTCGCACAACAACGCGAGAACCTCTTCATAACCAAATTCAAGACTCAACTTCGAAACTGACAACCGCTCAACATGCGTGTCATTGCTCTTGCTGCTGCTGCTCTGGCCTTCGCCATGCCCATTTCCGTACGCTTTTTCCCTCGTCGAGGCTCCCAGCAATTCATGAGTTTGCCAGCTAACGATGACTAGGCCGGTGTTTGCGCGGCATTTGGTGTCTGCTCCCAGAATGGATTGATCAAAGATTGTACTTCCGGAAGTTGTATCGGCAAGGTCGGAGAGTCCTGCACTCAATCCCTTGCAGGGCCTGTTCTTTGCCCTGTGTAGGGCGTTTGAGGAGAAGAGGGACCATGAAAACTGTTCTCAGTAAGCCTGAGGGATTTCGTGGTTCTAATGCAGCATCATCACAATGTTAGGACTGGCAAACAAAGAACGGTAGACCTAGTCGTCTAGACATATCCTTGTTACACTTGATCTATCTGACCTATTACAACCTTTTGTAAGAAAATGGTGCTATTGTATACACCTTCTATAGTTCTATTACGCATACAAGTCCTTCTAGCTTTGGAAGACCTTCGATAGAGGTAGTCAGAAGTCGCGACTACAGCCCAAACTTCTCAAAGTGGATCAAATGTCCTCTTCTTTGCCACACGAAGAGCGTGTACGCCAGACTTGCAGTCATTACAGCCGCAACGGACACTAGTGCGGGCCAGTTGAACTGCGAAGGTCGGAAGAAGATAATGGTCGCCATGTATGAAAGCAGCTCAAACGCATTTTGCCAGGCTGCCTCCACAGTCGAAAATCTACCGCGGCTCTCAGCTTCGACTTCCTGCATTATTTTGTTAGACAATCATACGTTGAAGACTCTTTGCTGACGGGGAACTTCAAACCTCTTGGACAATAATTTGAGTGCAAAGATCAAAACCTCGTAGGCCGAGACGGCTAATAATGACTCCAATCACGAGGCTGGATGCCGAGATCAGGGGGTTCGGCATGAAGACCCAGAAAGCTACCAAGCCACCTATCAGTGGTAGGACCTGGCAATTGCTCATCCAAAGACCAGCCCGCACTTGTCCGATTCGACCCACAAGCCAAGGCGCAACCCAGGTCGCCAGTACCTCGAACACGACACTGATCGTTCTTGCTATACCGATGTATGTTGTGTTGTATCCCGATGCGACCAAGTACGTAACCATTTGGCCCCCAAAGCTGAGCACCGTGAGATATAATAGAGAACATGCAAACGACGGCAGAAATGCGCGATGACGGAAGTAAAACTTGAAGTCGGATGCGGTTCTTTTAACATGGTTCAGGACCTTGCTGCCAGGATTCACCGACGCTGGTGGTATTTCGGAAACAGGCGTCCGCTTAGACTTGGGTTCCTGCAAGTCGGGGTCGTCGTTGTAGATGTTGGCAATGGCATAGTACTCGGCAACAACAGAAGCGATGTTCATGGAGAGGTTGACGATGATGGCTGCTTTAGTGGAGAACCCGTCGATGAGCGCAATGAATAGTGGACCAAGCAGCTTGCAGAGAAGATCGATTCGGCGAATCTGTGCATTAAGAACTGCTAGGGCTTCAATGTCACCTTTGGCAATGATAATCACCTGTTTACACGTTAGGAACTTGGACTTATGGATACGTTTTGGACTTACCCAATCTTTCTCGACTGATACCATGTTCACGATGGAGTACAGCTTTTCAACACAAGCCATGATCGAGAGGAGTGCAAGCAGGCCAGGGCGTCCATAGTCACCCAGAGGTAGCCCGATGAGCAGGATATAAAATACAACGCATGAGGCCGATACTGCGAGTCGTTGGGAAACTGAGGGAAATCTTTATCAATAACCAATACATAGGTTTATTGGTCGTTGATTCACTTGGGCCGAAACTTACCAATCGATGTGCGAACGACCTTCAACCGGTCATTGTTATCGATGTATTGTCCAACCGTAGGCGCAAATACCAGCGCGGATAGACCTCTTGTGAGCGCATAGAGCGACATGGGCAAAAGCGTTCCCGGGAAGATAGTCGCCAGATACAGCACTGCGCCGAACTCGAACATCCGGGAATTCCAGGTCGAGAGGAAATGCGAGAGGTAGAGCCGGCTTGCTATTCGGGGATCCACCCGGTGCGTTTCGGAGACCGAGCCATCTCCCTGGCCTGCTCCATTTCCGAGAAGCGGCGTCTGCTCGTCGGGCCGGATGGCCTCCTCATCGGGAAGAGGCTGAGTGTGCGTCATAGTGTATACTGGTAGGTAGTTTGCCCAAAGTCTCAGACGCGAGAACCAGATAAGGTGGGAGGACTAAATAGTCGACTTGACTTGGTTGGAAACGGAGATAGCTAGGTCGGGTGAGGCCCGAGCAGGAACACATTGGATATTGTACGAATAGTCATTTTGACCTTGGCGTGGCGTGACTTTAGATGAACGGTGAGCAGGAATTATTATCTAATAGCTATGGAAGAACGGGGAAGTTGAAAACATTCCTGAAGCTCTGGGTTACAGGCAACTGGGGGACGGAGATGTCGAGGCTCCGAACAGGGAGCTTTAGGCCCTTGTTGACGGGTCTGTGCGTCGAGACAACGGAAGTGAAATGGGTTCCGCGTCCGTGCCAATCTATCCATTGGACACATAGATGTATATGCCATTGGCTTCTGCTCTCTCAACTAATAAATGGTTCAAGCTGGCAGAAGTCGCGGTACGAACATAACATAATCAGTCGTCAAGTGATTTAACTCTTTTGCTCTTAATTCCTCCTGACATATGAAGTTTGTCAACTTTGAAGTGGAATCACAGGCATCGTCCCTTGTCTTGAATGATGCCCGTCCCCTTTTGGACTAGTGTTCAACTTCCCTCCACATGATGGGAGGGAAGCTTTATGTCATCGGAGTCAACCCCTGCTAACCTCCGCTTAGTCAGTAATAAGGATTTCTCAAAAGCCGGGACATGGCCATCGACGGAGCTGAGTTTGCTCCGTCTGTGCAGTTAGTTGTTGTCTTGCACGAATAAACAAAGCCCCAGTAGCTTTGGTAGGGGGAGCAGCTCCCATGGAGTGCTAATCGACGCCACAATGCCGCCAAAGCGAGCGTGCGATATATGTTATCGTAGGAAGGTAAGGCCGTTAACGTCATTAAGATTTCAATAGCAGAGCATGCTCTGTTGCTGACCCATGCCCGAATATTTTCCTGCCACAGATCCAATGTCTTATCCCTGCAGAGGGCCCTCCGTGCGACTGGTGTAGTCATCATGATTCCGAATGCACCTTTCATCGGGATGCGCCACGAAGAAAGAAGAAAATCAAGTCAGTAACTCTCAACCATTTCGCAAAGCAAACTGTCTCCTGTGACCTTCCGAGGCTGACCCGTGACGGCTCCTCTACTAGAGTGACCCTGGGCGACGTACAAGGCCTTAACGATCGCATTCAGCAACTCGAAGATGCGCTAGCCAAGGCAAACTCGCAGCACGCAACGCAGCGAGACATCCCTGGTCAAGGTCAACCAACTCCAGCCATATCTGTATCCGAGGAGACGTCAAACTCCGCATCTAACCAGAGTGCATCCTTTGCAATTATTCGGGACTCAGTTGCTCTTTCCGAGCAATCTCTCTCACCTCTAGTCTTCTCTCAGGACCCCGGCAGTGTCGATGACAGGACACCAACGGCAGATGGGTCCCGGCCCGGCAACTATATCGGCCCCAACTGGTTCTTCCGAGGCATCCATGCGTTTTCGGAAGATGGCCGCCAGTGGATATCTTCCAAGACTGGTCAAACTATCGACTGGAGTAAACTTCATATCTTCACCACGAAACCTTCACCTTTCGCAAGGATACATGCACAACTATCACCAAGTCTTTGTAATCTCCCGAATCAGGTTTCTTTACGAGATCGTATATCTTCGTATTTCAAGTCGTCCTTTAGACTGAGATTTCCTCTCCTTGACGAGGTTCTATTCGAAGAGACAATCAACGAGGCCTATAAAGATGCAGAGAATGATTCACCTTCACCATCACGCATGGCTGCCCGGGCCTGCGTGTTCGGAGCTCTCAGTCTCACAGTATTCTTACCAGATATTCAACCAAGTTCACTGGGGTTGGATGGGAATGAAAGCGCAGCCAGGGCCAGCTATCTTCTCAGTCGTCTTGTCGGGTATACAAGTCTTACAACTCTGCAGACGATCCTGTTACTGGTAAGTTCATCCTGGGCGTCTGCTTGCCGCTCAACATTACATGCAATGATCGACACGCTAAATTCAAACCAAAGCATGTGCAACGTCTCCTGTTTGGTCATTGGCAAGAGGCCGACTCGCTACTACCAGCAGCTTGCCGTACAGTCAGTGCACTCGGTGGACATCTTCATCAGCCCACGAAGTCCCTCACAGGAGACGTTTCTCTGTCTGAGAGAAGAAAATGCCATATTAGGAACCTTTTCTGGGTTTGTTATATGTCGGACAAAGACTTGTCCCTGCGAACAGGCCAGCCTCCTTTTCTTGCCGACGTCTACTGTGATCTCACCATCCCAGACAATTATCTGAGTTCCTACACCTACCTCCGTGGTCTTGATGAGTATACTCACCCCTCGAATGAATCAGAGGCTGTGTACCTTACACCACACTTTTGGGGAGATGTTCAGCTGGGATACCTCAAGGAGAAAGTATTTCGACTGCTCTACTCGGTACAGGCCCTGAGAGACAAAGACAACCAACTTTTAATATTCATCCGGCAGCTGGATGACGAAATCGAATGCTGGCGTTTGTCCGTCCCAGTGGACTTCCGCCCGGCTCTTTCAGTCTCATCAAATACTCTTTTAATCACGCCTGAAACAAAGTCACCTCACTTGCGAAGATATTTCCATCTACTCCTGGAGTACTGGTACCTGATGATCTATGTCCATACCACGGTCAGAAGATATGATGCACATACGATCATCGGCGACGGGGGCCAGGATCTTCATAGGGTGATACACTCAAGCTACGATTTGTCAATGGAAGCTGGCAGATCGACGCTTCGATGCTTGCGAGTGTTTATGAATACCTTCTCTAACGAAGGCTTCTGGTCAGTCAATGTTTCCCCTCCGGCTTCTTCAAACAATTCCCTCACACAGCACGTCCCCTTTCCACTTGAGTCTGTGAACTAATTTGGTCCCTAGGCTTTTGATGTTCTATTCCACCAATGCAGCTATTGCACTGCTCCTCAACATGATTATACACCCAGAAGACTCGGACGGCCAACTAGATCTCGAGCTTCTGATATCGGCTGCTAACGCGATCCGTACAGCGATTCCAAGGGTACTGACACGTGATGAGAGTACACGTATCCAAAAGACGTCCGACTTTATAATGTGGCTCATGTGGCTTGGGTCATGTGCCATTACCAAATCACAGGAAGAGGGACTGCGCCACGAGTTGTAGAAACCCAGCACACTTATACGCGTCGGTGTCAATTCAAGATGCGAGCGGTGCGCCTAGCATATAAAAAGCAGCTCCCGCTGACAAAGCGGTGAGCTTGGTCGTATTAGGCGGCTGAGCAAGCCAAGGGGGTTAGAGCTCCCGTCTCAACAGGGGCTGCAACCCGAATATTTAAGCGTATATACACGGTAGAACTTGCATTGCCGAAGGCCTCGCTCTTACTGGTGGAGGTCGTGTTCGATGGTACACTAGATCAAATACGTGCGGGACATTAATTAAGTTTACTTGGGATGCAGTGTCAGTCCACCCACTTTCCGGAACCCGAATATTGCTGCCGGAGTCTCGCTTCTAAGCGATTTCCATGCGGTTACTGATCAAATCGGTTGCGAAGCTTCCGTATGAAATCCAGGAACCGTGTTGCCGCGTATGGATAATAGCACTGGTATTATACAAGCGTTTGCTTTCATTTAGGGCAGGTGGTGTTTTTATGGCCTCGGCACCCGGCCCCACCGGGAGGGATGAGCGACCGGCTGAGGGGTTCACCAGAAGAAGCTCGGCCATGATGGCAAGTACTTGAGTATGGAACGCGCCAGTATTTCACTTTTTTCTTAATTTGATATCACCTCAAATCAATCGTTAATATCGTTCTTCGGAGTTGCCAAGATGGTTCAAGTCTCATCCATCGGCCTCCTTCTCGGCCTAGTTGCGAGTCAGATCATCTCGGCCCAAACACAATCTCTCCCAAAACAACTCGCCGTAGTCCGTCGGCGCTCTGGTCTCACGCACAAAGAGTACTTGTACTACCATACACTAGTTCACGGACAGAAGTCATGGAACGCGCCGCGAGACGATTCCTTCCCCGGAGCCTACATTCAAAGTCACGTCTTTGACGGAGTCTTTGGTGCGAACAATAGCGTAGCGAACCAAGTCTACGTCGGACGCGACGACATTGCAGAGCTATACAGCAGCTCTCCAACATCTTTCACGGGCCCGCCGTCCACGAATTACACTCAGACGGTAATCGGACCCGATGGAGCCAACTTCAACGATTTCCCAGTTGCCATGTCGATGATCGCGACGGAGATTTTCCTGACCAATATCACTGCGGGTCCCCCGAAACCTCCGGCGAAGCCCGGTAACGAGCCTCCGGTCGCCTTCTTCTGGGCCATGGCTACGAAGAATGCTACGTCCAACGAGACGTTTGCGAGGAACCTGGCGGATGCGCTCATCAGACCTTTGCCCGCTGGAACGATCTACAACGCCAGTATCCACGTGCCCATTCCAGGCGCCGATGTCAGGCCTTACTTTGGTGGGGAGAATATGCCGATCATCAATACTGTCATCAAATTGTGGCTCAATGACAGCGGGTCGGCCATCACGCAGCTTCGGGCTTCGCAAACGAAATTGGACAATGCGGCACTCAATTTGGACGAGAATCTGTCATATATGCTGTTTTCCAAGGAGGTGACGATTTGGGATACCAGGGCTGGCATCGACGTAAGTTCCGATGGTTAAGCAATACTAGGAGATCGCTGAGCTAACCTCGAAATAGTTTGGTATCCCGCGCCTTGAGGCTGTATTGAAGGCTGAGAATTATTGATCGCAGACTTCCTTTAGGGGTCAGTTATGGGACATGGAAAAGAACCCGATGGAAAAAACCTGTTGGGTTTCAATTGGGCATGTGTCTATATATGTAAGTATCAATGAATGAATGGACGTTCGATCTGTTCAAAGTCTTCCTCCGGATAGGCCACGTTGAGCGGCCGCCGTAACGGGGCATTCGGAAGTATTGCTGTATATAGTAATCTCTCAAAAGCCCCGTTGCGTGACTGGAGTCGTTGACAAAAGATCAATTCCTTCTCAAAGTCTTACCAATCTTTTCCCCAACCCGGCTAGTCCCTTGCAGGCTGCAGTCATCATCACCATTGCCAAGACTGCTGGCGCCGGGAGGCCAGGGCGCAGTCTCAAGAACACCCCACTGGAAGTTACACCGCCCTTGGGAACAGTTCACGAATTCGGCCTCCTCTACGTCATGTGGTGTGGCTGGCGCAACTTGCAGTCTGCCTAGTCATCGAAAGTTTCCTGCTCGTTTTCGTTGCATAGCAGGGCCAAGTCGGAAATCCCAACCGTTCCGCACCATATATTTCAAGCTTATAATTTCCCGACCTCAACGGCTCCATCGCCGTTAAGTATTTCCATCTTGTATCGTCTGATGGTATCCTCTAAGCCTTACGGATATTAAAACCTGTGAACAAGTTGAAGAGCAATAACAACACTGCACGGCATCAGCAACTACTTTTCTCAATCTTTAATCGGTGCATAAGACTACAAGGTCGCCTTGCATTTCGCGGCATTTTCACTTGAGTCATCTACTTACGACACTCATTTCCTTGCAACAATATGTTCAGTGACAAAAGTGAGAAAGCAACGCCTCCGTTCTCAGGTGGTGATCCTGTAGCCGACGTCCCTCCCTCCTACTCCGAAGGAGCCGCAACTACAAGCGACGGCCTCATCCCCGCCGGGACTCTCCTTCTCGCCGGAACAACCATCTTCAACACCACCTCAGCGTCATCGCCGCCATTGTACGAGCTCACTTACCCCATCGGACACCTACGGGAGTCCAACACATCAGTCTCGTTCTACCGCATCGAAAACAGCGTACGGGACTCTTCCTCCGGCACATCCGGTCCGCAGGTATCATCGCGAAAGAAGCACATCTTCGACCTGAAGCGTGACCCAACAGTCACTGAGCCACCGTTTCCATACCATTTGAACTCGGTCTCTCGCGGAAACGTGGGGCACGTGGGCATCAAGACACATCGGCGCCTGGGTGGTTCGGGATATCGGGCCTGGCGGGCGACAAGAGCAAGAGAAGGAGCTGATCTCGAATCCAAGGAGTTGGTCTTTAACATCAAGACACGGGGTAGTGGACGGCAGGAATGGCGCGATGGGGACGATAAGACAGTCCTTGCGCATGAGACGAGCGAGGACGGTATTCATAAGCTGCAGATCATTGTGCCGTTGAGCCAGGATATCAGAGATGGATTGGTCGCAACTTGGTGTTTGCGACTCTGGTGGGAGATCGCCGTGTCCAAGGTTGAGCCTTTCAGCTGGAACGAAGGTAAGCCAATTTAGTTGATTCTGCGCAAGATTTTCACGTATGCTAACCCTAATTCTTCACGCACAGTCAAGAACGTACTGCAGTATAACTCGAAGAATCTCCCCGCTGGCGCGCGCTTGGGTCTTCTTCCTTAGTTTGATAGTAGAAGTCTACAAAGCGGAAATATCTCCACCTTGCCTCTAGCAGAGCAATCTCGCGGCAACAATACCCACGAAAGATCAGCGCAGCTCCCTCTAGATCATCAATTTAATACTTTGAGCCAATGCTTTCACTGAGTCCTACCGCCGTCCGCCTGTGCAATGCTATCAGGGCTCCCTGCAAGAGGGTTGCAAAGGTACCTTGCGAGTAGCTAGTGCAGATCAAGCAGGCACCTTAAGATGAACGGTAACTTATGCCCTATTGCAGAGTTAAAACAAAGAGTCTGGGTGGAATGGGAATATACTCACGGTCTAGTGTAGCAATACTCGGTGTCGACTGGCAAGTTATATCCTCCAGTATCCCTAGCACCTTCTCTGATGAAGCTGATGATGGTTCCTACGCCGAAATCATAGACAAATCTGGCAGCAGTATCACCCCATCTCCCTGCGGCATTAACTTCAAAGGCGACTTGGTTGCCGGAGAGTCGAGCGACATTGTCGACAGTGACGCCCATGCCTGCCATCTCCGTAAACAGGGTAATTTGGTCGTTGACCAAGTTGACGAGTGCGCGAATGATGATGTCTTTTGAAGCCGATAGAGTAATAGTCCACATCACTTGGAGGGTTCCATGCATTGCACGCCTCTCAAGGACATTGGCTTCAATCGAGGATTGCGGAATGGCAATGTCGCATCCCTTTACTTGGAGACCCCTAAGGAAGAACCTCCTTCAGCAAAGATGTCTAGTAAATATAAGGATAGAGGGTATACATACGATCCATCTGGGTTTGAAACCTGTTGAAAGACATTGCTGGCTCCCACGCTACACTGATTCTGTGGAGTTGCAGGCGCGGCAAACGCAATGCTGAAGAGTGGGATAAGGAAAAGAGCGGAAGGCTTCATGTTGGAATTTTGTATTTCACAAGCTTGAAGATACAAAAGAATAACGGATCAACAGCATGCTAGTAGTAACTTCTCAACCACAGCCTCGACGCACTACTTTATATATACCAACTAAAACGACAACACACATCATGAACTCTGAACAGCGCACGTGCCCAGATTTAATCAACCTCATGAGATTTGCTGGACCGAGCGTGTTGGACACGAAAACTTTCTTCACCAGCTAGTCAGTAAAGAGACATCCGTAAAGTCCGAAGAAGTTAAGTGGTTCACTAGAAGGTCGACGGAATGAATTACGAGGCCACTTTGAAGCAGTCGCATAGCAATAAGATTAATGATCGTAGTTGAAGTGGAGAATGTTCACGTAAATGTAGGCTCCTAAGTTTGCTAGTCTCTATATTCGCTTTGCGACGAGCCGGCGCAATTAACTCAAGGGTCAGTCAAGCCGTCGAACCAATCATCGCTCTAGCAAAACGGGGGCTTAGATCCTATCAAGCTGACATTGAGTCAACTGTCAACATTTCTGCATACATATACCAAGAGACTATTCCCACAGTGTTATGGCTATTATACGAGCGAATATTCGACATTTCAATTTTGCTGGCTCCGACTGAATCTGTTCGTACCTATCGTTTCTAAATTCTGGGTTACTTCATACTCTCTCATCTATCAAAAATATACCACAAGATGCGTTTCGAAATAGCTGTGGCAGCTATTGCCCTATTGTAGTGTGCCCTGGATTCCGTCTACTGACATTGCTAACCATGCGTAGCTCTGGTGCCGTAGCAGCCTCCCATGACTACTGCGCCTGCCAGCAATGGTCCAACGGTCCCGTTGACCACGTTGCGACAGCTAAGGTCGCTGCGAAGCCCTGTTTCGGCTATGTCTGGGGTAAGTTATGAAGATTGAGAAGTTCTCCGCTGAAATTGAATGAGCTGACTTTGTCAAGGTCCATCTGAGCATCTTGCGGATTCTACAACACCTTGGTTTGCCCACAGCTCTGGCCCTCGATACGATGGGCATTACGTAAGATACCCTCGAGGAGATGAAATGACTGGAACAAGCTAACAGCCTCAGCTTCAAAATATGATCAAGAAATGGAAGATCGATGGAGATCAATTCCACTCACGGTGTCGCGACGCGGGAGCGAAGGACAGCACGTGTTTCTCGTGCTCAGACCTTCAAGTTAACGGTGATGGAAAAGTGCAGTGCAACAGAGGTTAGGCAAATAAGTACAGGTGCTCGGGTTGGACTGGGACCAGATATCAGTTTGAGACTTTTACTCTGAGAGTCTTCTTTTTTTCCCCCCATTTGATGTTTCCTCATTCGAGCAGATGACTTGAAATCTAGATAGTTACTTTATGCTTGTATGCTATGGTTTGAGGATTAGAATCTAGGCTTAACTGATCGTCAACCTGGAATTGAGTTACGATTCTTGTTAACGTAAAGTTTTCTGGGGAAAATTCACTCGTAAAGTAGATTGGTGGCTCAGGTTGACTCTTGATCTAGGATACCATCGACGAGGATACCGGTTGAATCTCCAGTGAGTTCCTTTGTATCTTGGCTTTAGTGTGACCACATTAAGATCAGCAAATGTTCGTAACATTGTCAAAACGAGCTGTTGGAGACTATACGCAAGTCGGCTCTGTGAAACGTTGGTGTCATGGGCAACTGCGGTCAAGTGTTGCATCCCGAGTTCACATTTCGGGTGATCCCGATGACTCGGGACTTCGGCCTCTGCGGATCTCCCCCACATTCCCGCCGGTTGCCCGCCCTCCTTTCTTCCCACGCCGTCCCCACGTCATGAGATACCGCGCATCAAGGCGACATAGGAATAGACTCGTACATATTCTTTGATACCCGATCACTTACGTACAGCATGCAGTGAATCACCGTATAATTGACATCTGCCTTCAAAACCTGAGCTCGCTGCGCCTCACTGTTGCATTAACCACACCAAGTTGTAGGGCCGCTTCTCGGCGATATCCGACTGTTTTATGGCCATAATCCGTCCCCTTCTTGAAAGCATCCTATCGTAATATCGAGCGAGAGAGATAGGCTCGCGTGCTCTCTTGCCCTGAAAGGGTAGCTCATCCCCGGGGTAGAAGCAGCCACAATAACGAGGGCCTTCTTATCGCTGGGAATCTTGGCTGTCAAAACTGATTCCGAATTCAGGAACCAATAACCCACAGCATTGCGCAAGCTCGGAGCAGTAGCTGGCCCAGCCTCATCCGCCGGGATCGCAGCTGAACATGCGCACGCAGGTTCTCGACAGGCGGAGCGGAGGCCAGCGCAATAACATTGACCTTCCGTCTTCGGCCTAGGTGTCTCCCCAACGTTATCAGAGAAACTTCCTAAGCGCGGCGCGGGATTGGACAGTGACTGTATTAACGTTATTTGTTGCTCCTCCGGACCCCACAGCCCAGCCCAGAGGACCTTGTCCATCCCAAGCGGGCGGGGTTGAAGCGATGTTGGGAGAATTTTGGGAATCGTCATGTTCTTTTCGAGGCGGCCATCCACGCGACGAGACGCACGCTTCTTGAAGCTTAGATGGAAGCAGAAGGACGGACGGACGAACTGTCAGAGTCAAGGGAGACAGGGCCAAGCCGGCCTGGCACAGCATGACGGTTTCCTTGCCATGGGTTGAATTGCCACCCTAGACCTGGATCATGGTCACGTCGTGTTACCGAGGGGGTGTCTCGCTCTGCAGGCACTCTGGAGTGCATCAATTGGTCTCCATGATGAGCGTCTAGTTGCTCCGCAGTTGTTCATCAGGGTATTTCTTTCACATAGAACTGGTTGAGGCTCCTTACCATGCGGTACCCATGCAACCAAGTGATGGCACGGGGTCGGATACAGAAGCAACACTCGATGAACCGTGCCTGACATCCTATTTGCCAGTTTGGGCTGCATCTTTTCCACAGGCTAGACAAGCCCTTTCTCGGTCACCCTTTAAGGACAGCCCGACAAGCTGAAGAGAGACCGTGAGGAGTCACTGACCGTACATTGGCCGCGAGTCGCATAGCATCGTCCTGGAGGCTGGAGGAACGACACCACCACTTCATGAACCCTGGCTCAGGTCCCCCAGACCCGTCCGTCCCTCCATGACAGAAGTCGAAGGGCCTCCGCCGGGCCAACGCGTGCTCCAGAAGAGGCAAAGGGACCGCTGATAAGCCAATCATCCAAACCACCACCAGAACGTGTGTCTCACCCCTCATCTGTCCGCGTCTCTTGGCAAATACTACTTCATCACCGAAGAAGCTGTCTTTCCCGGCATCAACCACTTTGCCAATGTCTTGGCATGCGGCCAGAAGAACCTCCAACGGGGGTCTTGAGTGTCTTGTCGTGTCTATCCAGCCACTCACCATTCAGAGAGAGATGCTTTCCGAGATGCAGGCCCCGTTCGAAGCTGTCGCGCTGCGTCGCCCGTGCCACCGCCGTCACAATTAATCGCATGTGGTTCTTGTTTGTTCCACTCTCCAATTGCTGCCCGCAAGCTCTGGGCAGAAGCAAAAATTGTATATATTCGCGAGGGTAGCTCCGGGAACTTGGGACGGTAGGAATTGCGATCGTCAGTAGAAGAAAGCCCTTCTCCCTCTTCCCCTCTGCTTTACGAGGCTCAAGATCAACCGCGGTATCGTGAAGGCTTAGTTGACTTCCTGTGCAACATTGACATCAGACCGAGCTTATTTGCGGCCTCTTGAGCATTCTTGTTTGCCTCCCACCGCCCGAACCTCGCAATCCCCTCACTCAAGATGCGCCAATTTCTCCCGACTCTGGCCCTAGCCTTGGCTGGCGCCACGTTTGCGGTTCCCGAGAAGGAGGACAGCGACCACCTCTACTCATCCCGGCTCTCCAAGCGTGGCATTGACGCCGAGGGCAACTACAATATCTCCTTCTTCCACGTCAACGATGTGCACGCCCATCTCGACGAGTTCTCCTCCTCGGGCACCGACTGCACCCGCCCCGAGCGCGGCTGCTACGGAGGCTACGCCCGCATCAAGCACACCGTCGACGAGCTGCGCCCCCAGTACAACGACTCCCTCTGGCTCAATGTTGGCGATGAATTCCAGGGCACGCTTTTCTACTCCTTTTACAAGGGCGAGAAGATCGCCGAGACCATCAACCAGCTCGGCTTCGATGCCATGACCCTCGGCAACCACGAGTTCGACGGCGGCGACGACCAGCTCGGTGACTTCTTGCTGAACCTGACGTTCCCCGTCATTTCGGCCAACATCGTCTCCGACAACGAGAAGCTCAACAAGACTATTAAGCCCTACCACATCTTCGAAGACCAAGGTCTCGCCGTCATTGGTGTCACTACCACCACCACTCCGGGCATTTCCTCCCCAGGCGAAGGCACCAAGTTCCTCGAGGTCGTGAGCACCGTGCAGTCCACCATTGACCACATCAAGTCTACTACCAACATCACCCGCATCGCCGCCATCACCCACATCGGCTATGAGGAGGACCAGAAGCTCGCCGAGCAGACCACCGGCCTCTACCTCATCATGGGCGGCCACTCCCACACCCTTCTCGGCTCCATGGAGGACGCCGAGGGTCCCTACCCAACCGTTAAGCAGAACAAGGACGGCGACGACGTCTTCATCGTGACCGCCTACCGCTGGGGCGAGTACGTCGGCTACATCGACGTCACCTACGATGCCGAGGGCAAGATCCTCGCCTACCACGGCGGCCCCATCCACCTCACCAACACCACCGAGCAGGACACTGCCCTCCAGGCCCAGATCGAGTCATGGCGTGGACCCTTTGAGGCCTTCGCTGCTGAAGTCGTCGGCGTTTCCAACGTCGAGCTCGACCAGTCCCTCTGCCAGAAGCAGGAGTGTATCCTCGGTAACGTCATGACCGACGCCATGTACGAGTACCGCCTCAACTCCTCCGCCGACAGCCCGCCCGACTTTGCGCTCATCAACGCCGGTGGTATCCGCGCCACCATTGACGAGGGCAACATCACTCGCGGCGAGGTCCTCACCTCCTTCCCTTTTGGCAACTCCATCGTCGAGATCACCTACAAGGGCTCCGACCTGCGCAAGATCCTCGAGGGTGCCGTCTCAAAGGTCAACCAGTTCAACCAGGAGGCCATCACCTCCTTCTTCCAGGTCTCCAAGAACATCATCATCGAGTACAACCCGGCCGGCAACAACGGCTCCAAGCTCGTTTCAGTCGAGGTCGCCGGCGAGGCCCTCAACGATGCCAAGGACTACAAGGTGGTTACTCTCGACTTCTTGGCTGGCGGCGGTGACAATATCTTTGTTGCTACCACTGACTTTGTGACCCTCGATACTCAGGACGAGGTCCTCGTTCAGTACGTTGAGGCTAAGAGCCCCGTGGACGCCAAGATTGAGGGCCGTATTGTCGCAACCAACGGCACCGCCTCTACTCCTTCTGGCACTGCCACCGGTACTGCTACTGCCCCGACCTCCACCTCTGGCGAGAGCGGTGCTAGCATGACGTCCTTCAGCATGGGTGCCATGGGTCTCTGCTTGTTGGCCCTGTTGGCGATGTGAATATGGGATTGGGTGAATGTGTAATGTTGTAATGATGCGGATGACGTAGATGTATGAGTAAAAATAATAAAAGTACTCCGCTTACTGATGTTTGAACTAGACATTGGTATGATTTGACAGTTTCGTGCATCTTGTTGAGAATCCAGGTGCTATTTGTGTTTTTCCCTACAAAATTGTCAAGGGGCGAAGAGGCCCAAAGGGAGGGAATTGGGGGTTTTTGCCGAAGCTCTTGCTTTCTGGACAATGAAATATTCCTAAAGCCTACCTAATAGTCTCCAAAAGTATAGATGTTCCCATATCTTGAGAAGGGCTCACGAGATTTTGTCTTGTTAAGATGCGAAATTGACTGTCACGCTGGAATAGAGCCTTGCGGACTGTATGCTCATGACACTGGCTCTAGCAACTTAAGCTTACACAACTACGCCATTAGTCTGGCATCTGTACGGCGTACTTACATTCTTTCGTGGATGAAGGTTGCTTAGACATACAGTTCAGTCTGCAGACTTGCTGCTGGTTGCCACATCATATTTGACCCATCTTACTATTCGCCACGGTTGATGGGTCCCTCCCGGCTCGTGGAGGATGCTAAAGATACAAAGTACGATGTTCAAAATACGGTTGGAACAAGAGACACAGGGCATCCTCAACTACCATGATGTTTATTTTGTAATATCCTGGCAGAGACCATCCAACTCTTCAAGCCTGTTTCCTCAAATGAGCGCATGGTTCAATAGGTACCTACAGAAATAGAGCAACCATTATTACTGCAACGTTGACTTCCCCAAATGTATGCCCTCGTCTCGTTCCAGTGAGTGTATCTCCATCCCATATCTGCCTCCGTGGCTAGTCCTCGTCACGTCCAGTCATTCCCAGCAGGTGAATACTGATTGTGGTAGTGTGCGTGAAGAACGATGACCGCTTCCTTAGAGTGGACTTTTCTTCCCCCTCGCCTCAGCAGCTCGAGCAATTTCTCATTCGGCCGCCACTGATCCGTATTAAGAAACCGCCTTGAGCTTTCCGGATAGTTATCCTTCCTCGCCTCTATTGCGGACCGTATATTCTCGGCTTTCTCACGATCGCCCTCCTCGAACACTGCCTTCGCTGCCATTTCAACCCGGTTCCTACGTTTGCAACGCGGAAACTCCAGTCCGTCGTACATGTAAGATCCAAAGTCTGGTTTCACTCCAGGGGCAAAATATTCGACATGGAAGCGCTGGATTCCTTCAACAGCACGGGTTCTAGCACCGCATATAGGCATGTTGATTTTGAATCGGAGTTGCCTGAGGGAGATCACCTGGCCCGCCGTATTGGCAATGGATACTAGCATCGGTACCATCACTTTCTCGTTGACGGTGTAGATAGATATTCTGTCTCCGCCACTGACGCTGCATGCCACTCTTGGGTCGGTCACCTCCATGAATCATCGCTCCGTGAATCTGTCCTGCGTGAGTTCGTCGGCATCGGCTTCCCACATTGGCTCTCGAGCATCTCCTCGGGCAAAGAAGACGTCATCCAAGCCGGCGTTGCTTAAATACGCAGAGCCGAACGTTACAAAGTGTTGTAGGTACCATTCTCAGCTAGGGGCAACGATGTCATAATTGACCGTCAGCATGGTCATGTTTTGCCAAAACAGTAATGGAACTGCGTCACCCAGGCTAGCGGGTGGTGAGTAGAAGAGAGAAGAGCTAAGGTGGCCTTCGTAGCTCAAAGCCGAGAGACTGTCGATCGCTCTGCGTAGGCAATGAAGAGAGGGTTGCTCTCTCCATCTTTGGTCATATGCGGCAGCTTCTGATTGGGGCCGTACATGTTGGGTGTGATGGCGAGCTTTCCGTGCTTCATTGACGCTGGAAGCCGGTTTGAGGACAAAATGTCGATCAAGGATTGTCGCATTTCCCGTCGCGGTCTGATGAAGAAGGGAAACTCGGGAATTTTCAAGTTGAAGGACTCTAAGTTGGGAAGCTTTTGCATGAGGTGGAAGTCACCCTCGATGTTACGTCTAAAATTACGTGGAGAGTTCATATGGAATTCGTAATCAAAGTATGCAATCTGAAAGCTCTTGAGGCATGCAACGACGGGAAAGAGTTGAGATTTCAGCACATTCAGATGGTGTAGGTTTGCGTATTTTGCGGTAGTCCTTTCACGGGAATCGATCATCAGTGAAATTCGGCGCCGTCTTGCCATTCCGAGAGCATGAGCATCAAGTTTCTCGGGGCCTCAGTGTAGGCCTTGTCGCCGCGTGCCATGTCCTCGACGATGTCCAAGGAACTCGAGCATTTTTGGTATTGCGGCCTCAGGGTCTCCATATCCAGGCTACGGAGGGAGTTCTGGCGATTACGGCACCGTCGGAAGGCAGTTCCTGCGAACTCGATATCGTCGCTTGTGATGAAGATTGAGCGAAAGGTTGACCGTTCGATGCGCAGCTGGAACTTGCTACATACGGTCGCGAGATCAGGTCGAAGACGCGGTGAGGGCGGTACACAATCGTAGGTTCCATCTTCATTGGGAATGACGAATAGTCAAAGTTAGAGTTGAGATTGTCGTCGAATAATTCACTGTTATGTCTGTCACTTCCTTGCGCAGGTATGCGGCCGAGGATGTTATCCAGGATTTCTTGTGGCAGAGAGTCCATTTCGTCAGAATCGTTCCTGGCTCGGTGGGTCTGGGTCCGAGAAGTGTTGTAGTGAGAAGGACCTCAAATGCCTATCGCCCGACAAGTTGATGTGTAGGTATTTGGCAAACTGTCCTGAGTCAGTTCTCCTCTGTTCGACTGCAAAGATATTGATATGCAAGGGAGTGAGAAGTGCAGTCGGAGCGGAATAAGTTTGGCTCCTACCTGTCTCAAGTGAGTCAGGTACCAGAGTCGAAGTATAATGTCGAGATCTTGATTTGCATTATCCCAAATGCCATGTTTCTGTTGACGCTGACTTCTTCATAATAACGCCTTCCTCAATCCGAAATAGTTAGGCGTGCCAATTTGACAACATCTTCTTCGACTTGGAGTTCTAGGCTCTTTTACTCGCTTTGGAGCCCTTTGATTAGTGTTGGTATCCCTATCACAGGGTATTTGGTTCGAATCGTGGGTGACGAAGAGGTCAAATCGATATATATTAACTTCTGCGTAAGGGGTGTAAAAGGGAGGTTCTAACCGTAGGTTGGGCAGACCGTGGCTCTCGTAAATACGGTCTGTAAGTGGCCCCTGCGCGGGCCCCTTGCCTCGAGGTCGAATTGAACTTCCAATCCGACAGTTAGTCATAAATGTAGGCTCTCGAGGCTTCGTGGCGCAGGGAAGTGAGATCCGAATTCTTCATCAAGTTGTCCATATCTACCTACTGTGCTGCGAGATATCATCGACTAATAGAATGAGTCAGTGAGCTAAAAAATCGGAAACTGACTGACAGCGAGTTGTGTGTTGCCGCAAATTCCGAATACCCACCTATTTCGTGATGTCGTAAGGGGCAGGGTTAGAGAAAGACATGAGATGCATCATGCATGTACTTCATACCAATGTAGCAGTGCATAGGACGTGGTGATGATCTTGTTTCTCTCCGGATCTACGAGCCCTGCGAGCAAACTTCACCCAGCCTTCAAAAGATTGGATGGAAATGTGAATCCTTTCTGCAAGAAAACGCCCGGAGCTTGAAGGTCGAAAGAATAAAACAACCCGATCGGTTAAACACTTTGGCGAAAGCACCTGGTCTGCGCCGCATGTGAACCTTGCCGGATGGAACCAATCAAGAGACGCGTCGGCAGTCGGTGGGTAATGTTATTGATTCGGAAGACGGACATGAGCCGCTAGCGATGGCGGCTGTCAAAGGATCAACGCCAAGCCGGCTGGCTTACTGCTGGGCAGCGGCGATTGACGACGCCCTCGGAGCTCGCTGCCGAGAGCGAGGGCTATCCGTGTCCTGTTCCAGCCGCATAGATACCGAGGAACCACGACCACGGCCGCGGCATCTAGCTAGCAAAGTGTCAAACGAGTGACGGGGGCAGAGACGGCGTGCAAGAATACCGACCATCCGGCTGACCGAGCGGCTGGCTTGATCACGGTTATATCTTGATCGTGGTTCAAAGCCTAGCGCTTGACACCTTGCTGTCGCGGGGTATGGGGCCGTGGTTGTGGTTGTGGAGAGAGTTGTGAATAGCATCAACGGGCCAACGGCGACTACGTCTGATTCGCACGCGTAGGGTCAGTCGCACCGTTTTCTGAAGATCCCAGAGATTGTGAGTAGCGGTGGGCCGGCTAGCAAAAGTTCGGCTAAAGATTTAAATCAACAAGTCACATGCTATGAGGTGAGTCGAAAGTTCTCCGGGGTGGATATGGGCACCCTCGTGATACTGATGCCATATCAAAAATTCAAGGTTTGAATCCCCGCGGCGCCCGTGGAGAACAGATAGTCGTCATTTTTCCCATTTTCAATCCTGGAGTCTGGAGTTCAGCGGGCCTCTCTGGGGGAGAAAGCAAACCCAAGCTTAAAGCAGTTTACTCGCCCGGTCTCCATTGTTCTCAAGTTGACATACCAATCGACATGGCATGCCCAAGAGGGGGTGATTAGCTTCGTCTGAATCTTCGAAGATATCACTGGCCAAACCCTAGCCAAAAGCAATTTTGTATCTCCACCCGACCCCTTGAATACGGGCCGACCAGGACGAACTTTTCCAAGCCCAGTTTAGGAAAGAAAACCAACCACGTCGACAGTCGTCATAGGCTCAGTTGAGTGGGAACCAAACGGGGTTGAGCGGGTGAGTACGGAGTACGAAAATTCGTACCCGCGTCAAAGTTTCTGGGGAAATCGGGGCCGCTTTCTAAACACGACCTTTGGCTGTATTCCAATGCTACGCAGCTACATAACCGGATACCGGATGGACGGATGATTGCCATTGTCAGGCCACGCGAGTCTACAGATATGCAAACGCTGGATGCTCAAGCGAGCGCATCAGCGCATGAAACGGCATCGGGCCTTTGACTAGTGCCCGAAGCCATCCGAAGCCATATGAAATCATCCAGTTGCAATTTGCATAATGCGGCTTCAAAAGCCTCAAGCAAGGGGGGCGAGCTGGGATAATACAGCTAGGCAAGGTTTGGCTTAGTCTTGGCCCAGGGGAAGACTGGGCCTCTCCAACTTTTCTCCAAACTTCTCCTCTCCATCCATTCTCACCTCCTCCTCATCCACATCATCTTGCTCATCCACTTCATCCACTTCATCCACTTCCTCCAGCTCAACACCATCCCCATCCTGTCCAACACCTCCGTCCCTCGGTTGGCCTTTGGAGAACTGGACCTCGACACTCCCCGCTCCCCGCACGATCCCCCCGCACGAAGAGACTCTAGAGTTCTCCCACCTATCAACAGTCTCGTTGTCCCCCAGAGACCCCAGACGCCCTCAGGGACATGGTCGGGACACGATGCTTACTCCAAAGCTCCGCAGAGCCCCGTCCTACCCGTATTCTTACGCGCACCAATGGCAGCATCAAATTTCGCATCTCTAGTGTCTTGACAAGCCCATCTCGTCAGCGAAAGCCAGCCTTCGCAGGCCGCTCCCGTCCCCGGCGTTGGGGGAGGTGGATGGTATAAGACCGGATGCTCCCGATTTCCCTTTTACTATCCGTAGAAGGTCTTGACCAGGGCGACTCCAAATTTCTCTTGGCTTTTGCTTGTTGTCTCTTGGCTGTTGCTTGTTCTCTCTTGGCTTTGCCTTGTTCCCTTTGTGCCAAGGAAAATCATTGAACGCCATCAACCACCCTCGGACCTCCTCCTCCAAAATCGGCTCAAAATGTCGACAGGTCTCGCCCACGACGGGCACGACGCCTCCAGCAGAGACGAGCACGTCTTTGCCGACGAAAAGGTCGGCGATGCCACCCACATTGATGCCGCAGGCAACAAGGTGCTGGCCGATTCGGACCTCATGAACGATGCCTTTGACGGTGAGAACGAAGAACACAACCAGGGCCTGTGGCAGGCTGTCAAGACGCACCCCAAGGCTTGCTTCTGGGCTTTCATCATGTGCTTCACTATTGTAAATCCCCCCCCCCCCCCCCCATTGGCTCTGTTTGGTTTTTACCCCTGCGTGTGTTGGCGGCTCGTCGGGCCGTCATCCCGCCATCCCATCTCCAAGTTCGCGAGTCAGTTGCTAATTGGGTATTTGTTACTAGGTCATGGAATCTTTCGATATGTTCTTGAACGGCAACTTTGTTGCTCAAGCAGCCTTCCAGGAGAGATACGGTGTCGAGGTTGCTGGCGGCGGCAAGGCCATTGAGACAAAGTGGCAGTCCGCTCTCTTCCAGGCCGGCCAGTGCGGTGCCTTTGTTGGTGTCTTCCTCGCCGGGCCGGTCGTCAACAAGCTTGGATACCGCCTGGCCACCATGGTTGCCTTGGTCATGATGAACGCCACTATCTTCATCTCATTCTTTGTAAGCCACTACCGGTCTTTGAATATCGCAATGAAAACATTCACTGACCGCCAAATCAGGCCAACTCTCTTGAAGTCCTCACCATCGGACAGGCATTCGAGGGTATCCCCTGGGGTTTCTTCATCGCCATCGGACCTGCCTACGCCTCTGAGATCGTTCCCCTTGCCCTCCGTGGTGCTTGCACGGCCACTCTGCAGATGTCCTGGTCCATCGGTTCCATCATCGTCGCTGGTGCAACTCTGGGCTTCAACAGCCGTACCGATGAGTGGGCGTGGCGTGCGCCCCTTGCTCTGCAGTGGATCTTCCCCGTAAGTCTACTCACCATCTTCATACCCCGGATGGCCATGAAACTAACCCATCGTTCTAGCTCCCTCTCATGGTCATCCTCTGGTTCGCCCCCGAGTCTCCCTGGTGGCTTATTCGCCGCGGCCGCAAGGAAGAAGCCCTCCGCTCCATTCAGCGTCTCGGCCCCTCCAACGGCACCGCCGGCCAGTCCCAGCGCAAGCTCGCCATGATCGAGCGTACCGTCCAGATCGAAGCCAACATCGGTGGCACCCCCACCCTCCTCGACCTCTTCAAGGGCGTCGATCTCCGCCGTACCACCATCACCTGCCTAATGTACGCCTCGCAGAACTTTGCCGGTAACCTGATCGCCAACCAGGCCACCTTCTTCTTCGAGCAGGCCGGCATGAAGCACGACATGGCCTTCAACCTCAACCTCATCAACTCATGCCTTCAGTTCGTCGCCAACGCCCTCTCCTGGCCCCTGACCGCCTGGTTCGGCCGCCGCACAATCTATCTCTGGGGCACGGCCGTCAACATCACCTTCCTCATGCTCCTGGGCGTCTGCGCCTCGATCCCCCAGAACAACGCCACCAACTACGCCCAAGCCGTCCTCGGAATATTGATCTCCTTCGTCTTCGCCGGCACTCTCGGCCCCATCTCCTACACCATCATCGCCGAGACCTCTGCCGTCCGCCTTCGCGCCCTCAGCACCGCCGTCGGTCGCGCCGCCTACTACGTCGCCGAGATCCCGATGATTTACCTCGCCTCGCAGCTCCTCAACCCCACCGGCTGGAACGTTGCTGGAAAGTGCGGTTTCGTTTGGGGCGGTACCGCTTGTGTGTGCTGGGTTATGGCCTTCTTCTTCCTGCCTGAGCTCAAGCACCGCTCGTACCGTGAGGCTGATATCCTCTTCAACCGCAAGGTCCCGGCACGCCAGTTCAAGTCTACTGTTATCAAGGTGACGGACAACGAGTAAGGAGTGATGTTGGGTTAGATGAAAGATGTAGACTCTACACTCAAGTCCTCTGGATCAAGATGAGATAAAGTTCACGGGCTTGCAGAAGGCAGCCGGCGAGTGGAAATTCCTAGACCACCTCTAGGACCAATCTTTGACAGTACGATAACATGATAGAATCACTTTCCATATAGAGAGCGTTTAATGATACGCAACGATTAATGTTCAATTCCAGATCATATTGAAGACTGAGTGACCGTGATTAGCGTTGGAGCATAGTTTGAGTGACTCATTCCCGGTGCCGTGGTAGAGCGATGGACTCTTCAACCTGATTTTAATTCGTGAATGATAATACTCTAGTTACTGAATCGTATCCGCATTTGGATGTCTGGCAAACCAACGTCGTTTGACCCCTTCAGCTTGTTCGAACCCCAGCTTATTCCCAGCTTTTGCTTCTATTAGTACCCAGGTGGCGTAACACAACGCCGTTTATCTTCGTGGGCGTCCAATTCCAACCAGCAACTACAATCTAGTACTTGCGTGATGGTGCGGCGACTCGAGGCCGACGAAGGTATGTTTTGTCATTTGGATCCCATGAACGATCCCTGTCGATCTTTCGAGGGAAAGCTTCTCCATCCTGCTTCATGAGAATATAAGCTGTTTATCGAAGGATAATTGGCAGTGGCTAGGCTGGCCAGATCACGAAACTCGATATACTGATGAGGATTCGAGGGAAGACTGGTCGTGATGCCACACTAGTCGCTGATTGTGGGCCTGAAATCTTGGTCTTCTATGGCTGGCCTCAATCGTCTTTTCATCCCGGACTTTGCGCTTAATGGCCTTAGCTTGTGTCTTGAAAAGAAATCTCACGAATGACTAGAGCGGCCTCTCAGTGGCCTTGTTCTTGTAGATCCTATGTGTGCCTTTTTCAAATATGGTTGGGGAAAGGTGAGGTCCAAAGATGAGCGATGTTGAAGTCTTGATGCTGAAGTTTTCAAGGAGGAGAAACAGCTCCGGCAAGGTGAGAGTGAAGAAAACGAAAGGATGAAGAAAGAATGGCGAGAACACTCACGTTCGGGCGGGACAAGACCTTCCGGAGGGAGGCAGAAGACGGGAAGGAAATCCGATGCCGGGTAGGGGTTAGCATCCGCCTCGGCGCAAGTTAGTGAAGGAAGCTCCTGATAGAAGGGAGAAACGAAGTTCTCCCTTGGACATTTCCATCGGCCCTGTGCCTGTCTCGTTCATTGATCTTGTCTTCTTTCCGTAAGGGGTGATGGAATTCTCCGGGTAAGGCACCTGAGGAAGCCATCACGAGTCTCCAACGTCACTGCCGCCGCGCCGGATTCACGATCACAATCTTGAGCCTTTAGTTCACATCGACTTCAATTTGAGAAGTCACGAAGGGGATTCTTACATCCGATCTTCTGTTTCTGGTACATTGGAAACATACCTGTTCGGGTCTAGGACCACAATGAAATCTCGAGGAGTGGACATGGATCGGTTGATGCCGCCCGGACACACTTCAAACCAACATTCCCAACGAGAAGCATTGTATGCCATGAGTCGAACCTCTCGTCCTTAACCCCATCTAGTCAAGTCGCTCTATCGGACCATGGTCGCGAACGATCCAGGCCACCCTCATCACGACTGGATGAAAGGCACCGAGACGTCCACTTGGAAGGTCAACGAAACAACACCCGTCCGTCTGCTTCAAAGCATCGCAAATGGACTCGCTCAAATGCCAGATCTGGAATTCCTGCGCCTCGAAGCTCGTCTTCCCCCTTCCCCCTCCAAAATTCGATAGATATCGATTGTTTCATCATGTCCATAGCACCGGACGCCAAAGTTGATGACCCATTCTCGCCCCAGAGATGGCCACATGTATTTCTAGGTACCAGAGGATGGAAACCGTCTGTAAGGATGCTTCGTAAGTTTCGCCGGATGGCGAGAGACCTTCACGATTGGCATACACGTCTCGTCAGGGTTTGATAAATTGGGGCCTGCCTCGAAGTTAAAAGGCCAAATGGCAGTCGCTCATTCAAGGTAGTTGACAACTACTGTCACTTTACAGTGGCTCGAGGCTTCTGAGCCCGGTCATTGTGGATTGAAGCCCCAGCTATGACCGGAGCGTTGACTTTATCATTGGTCATTCCATTCTTTTCCCAGTGAGAGCCAACACAAGGGGGTGATACCAGCGTGAGGAGGCAAGCAATCATATGAGGCTTCTAGCTTATTGGGTAGATGTATGATAGAATGCAAAAATAGCGGTAATATCTTAGACAAGCCATGCGACGAGAGAAATGCGCTCCATTTTCATAACATAGTACGGAGCTCTCTTTGCCAACAATAGTACCAAAATCGCTCAATTACGTCTACTTTGCCGACATGTCCTCAAGGGGTCATGCGATATCCCATCGAGTGCAGAAGGATGACAATACATACGTGTCCAGCCTTTCTCCACATCTACCTGAACATGACTTGTTCTATTCCTAGATCTGATAGAAGCAACAGCTGCATTGTATACGCGTTGAGTCTTGTCACGTTCCTTGAAAGCCGGTGCATATTTAGTGCGCCAGCAAAGCCGGAAAACTGGCGTCATATTCCACAGCAGACCAGTCCCGTCATGTGGATTTTGCATCCGACTTCTCATCTTCTTCAAGGCAAGTTATCGTGAGCCTTCTCCAATGTGAAGAATACCTTCTCATACCATCCATCGGTACCCAAGGACTGGAGACTTTGCCCGTACGGCGCATAAAACCCACAGTCGATAAGAACGGGCATTCCATCGTCCCCGATCATGATGTTTTCCGGGTTGATGTCGTTTTGTGCCAGGCCAATGAGTGGGCATATGACGCTGCTGATTAGACCATCCAGGGAACCTTCACTAATCAAGGTCCTGGAATTCTGACAGCCGGGTCAGTTGAGTGAGCATATGGTCATATGACTTGAGGACAAGTCAGGTGATGCAGTCGCGTATGGTTCGGCGACCATGGTACTAGATGATATACGGATGTGGACTCTTGGAGACCTTTTCCACGATCAAGGCCTCACCGAGGATGGATTTCTCTTCCCTTAATCGACTCGCAGCAGTTGAGACCGGGGCTTCGGATGAACACTGGAGCATCGACGTCGTCTGGGGCGATCGTGAGCTGGGTGCCGGTGGGGATCTCAGGGTAGATCTCTCCATTGGATACGAGCTATAATGTCTGGCGATTTCTTCCAGAGATAGCTCCCGCTGTTTCTCGGAGCTGTATGAGCCAAACCAGAGTTCGGCTTTGTTCAATATGTGGTAGAAGGAGACGGATTTCGGCTCGCATCGCTGTCCCAGGCTTCGATAATGGTGAGGTCTTAAAGTGATGTTAGTGTAGGCCTGGCAGGTTCCATCTGGCCTTTTCTAGCAGGCTCCAGTGATGGCATCGTGTAGATTTTGGGATGGCTACGCGCTCAGCAGGATGGAGAGGGACAGAAAGTTCAAGATTGGTGTGGGATGTGTTGGAAGTAGGAAATTCAGCCTTACATGTAGTCAATGGAGCGACGTGCCATTGTTACAGTACGAATAAGTGTCGCACGTGTCACACACTAAAGTATCTCAATCCATACCAACAAAGGGTTCTATTCACCATTGGCGCCACCCTGTTGTGTGACCCAGAAGCAGAGAGGGCCAGCCACACCAGAACTTCTTGCATGTAATACTTCAAGCAAGTCAGCTCAAGTGCCTATCAATGTTACTCGAGCTTCGTCCGAAATGGGTTCGACCTCACGATGATTGGCGACAAGTTACACGAGGCAACACTGGCATCCGATCACATCGTGACCCTAGTACATGCACCACGTGAGCCTTTAACGGCGAATGAGGCTCGTCGAACGCTTAAAACGAGATTCTGAAAAGCATGATGTTATTTAGTGCCGTAGCGTGGCCTTGAAAAGTCGAGTTATCACAACATCGTGGACCCTCTTATAAGATAAAGATGTTTGATTTTTTTCGTAATTTTTGCAGCGAATCAACAGATACAGACAGACAATCCACGACGGCCAATAACCGTCCTCGAACTTTTAGAGAATAGAAGCGACGTCGAACAGCCCATTCCAACCACCCCAATGATCCATGAACCATCGATGTAATCGCGATAAGTCATCATTGCAGCCAAATGAGTAGATCACTGTCCACATCCTTGACAATCCCATGACGTTCTTATGTGTTGTATGGGGTACCTACTCCGTTCTAAGGTGCGTAATGTCAGAAATCTGCCCTATCATCTCTCTAGCGTGTCCGTCTGTACTGACCATGACGCAGTCCTCGCATCGGTAACCTTTGACCCAAACAAACCCACCACAATTGACTCCCGCAAGGTATTTGTTCTTGCAGGAATATTTTTCAAACCCCGAGCTCGGCTTAAGCGTGTGAGATTTGGTTATTGCCATGTTGAGGAATCTGTACCAGGATGGCCAGGATGTTGTCTTGTTGAGCTTAATCCGCTGATCAGATATGTTTGATTGAGTTTGACTTCATTTGAACTCACAGGACTCTCTGGAATCAACGTAGATTAAGTAATTCAGGTGACTCTTGGACATTGACTTCATGTACCTACGACCTCCAAGGGAAGCAACGACATTTTTGAGATGTCAGCGAACAGAAAGTGTATTCGCAACCATTTGGGTCTTCACGACCTAGATCACTCCACCCAATTCATCTCATTCTACATGAAAGAAGCCACTCCATCCGAATGAAGTGCGTGCCTGCGAGCAAAGTGTACGTACATGAAGAGGGTGTGTATACCTAGAGCAAATCTTTGTTCTTGAAAGATGTGTGTGTCCACGAACAAGGCGTATGAATTGGAGAGAGGTGTGTGTTGCGGTGAGTGAGTTGCGCATTCATATATACTTGAAACGTATATGTTCATGAAGGCGGTGCGGGTGACATAAAGAACGAGGGTGTTCATGCACCACCAGGTTTAGTATGGGGTCACAGTGTGCGAGGGCGAGTTACGGGACAGCCGGGCACCACTCCGATTGGAACTCAGTGAACCTTGTCAGACTCCGGGTCTTCAAATAGCAGTATTGAAGCAATAGATCTTGCATTCTGGCAAAATCATTCGATCTTTTCGCTCTGTTGTCAAGAGCGGCCAAGGAGGGCGAGGATCTTAAGCCGGCTATGTTAGCTATGCGCCAATAACATTTTACCTTTGTTCTCCGCTGCGAGTGCTTGCACGGTCTACGATATCGAACAGTCGTTGCATGTATGGATTAGGTACAGCGACCAGTCTGTTACGGCTGAGGGAATTCATTCCAGCATTGACAACGATACGACCATTAGAATCGCCAACTGCAGCTGTATAAATGCATGTTCACGACCGGCAGGGATAACAATTCGTCAATTACTGGCAGCGGCTAACACAAACGCAGAGGTAAGATGGCTACAGGCTGCATAGTATCACCAGGGATATTGTATCTACCTTACTTCGGACTTAGCTAGGCTTCACGTACATATCACGGATATACATCCTCATTAACAATGGTTACATCAAATGTAGCTCATAAATGAAGTATCTTGTTGGCATACACGTCAGAAGGGTAACGGTATGGCTGGTTCAAGCAGAAATTTAAAATGTGGCATGTCATTACGGCGTATGAAGATGGATGAAGAAAACATTGAGCGTGGCCCGCCAGTAGTTTTAAATGAATGAAGAGGCCAGACCGTTTGAACAGCCCTGCCCACCTTCAATATTCACAGTCTCTACTGACTACTCTTAATCCAACATAAACGATTACAATATTAGCAACAATATTCCAAAGATTTTGATACAACGTTGGGTTAGATTAGGATTAAAAATGAAGTAAACATAGGACTAGGTAAGTACCAAGTTAGATAAGTTCATTACCTAGAATCGAGCTCGAAAAGAAACATGGAATCTTTGGTAGTGCTCTGCGCAATGCCTATTAGCTAAGGTAGCCTACTTTCAATAGCTTGCTAACGTCTTGGACTTCTGGAACCTAAAGAGATCGAAGAAAACGGTAAGTCCTCATGTCCTCATACCCAGGCTCCTGGGTTGGGTGTGTATCACTCCGCCATATAATTCCCAGGATACGGGAGGTTCTTTCGACGTTATGCGAACAAGCCACATGTATTTCAGGCAAAGGCTGTAACGTCATATTTGAATCTTGTAGGTTCTGTACCAGGTCAGAATATCAGGAGTTGAAACCTCAATGTCGGTGTATTACCTCAAATGGGGCATAATACTCGAGTCTACGGTCGTAGCAAATGGTATAACGTGGGAGACGACTAATCATCCCGATCACGTGAGCTGATGACTTAGAAGACTTGTTGAGGGACGTCAAATTACATAATGCCTGCTCGTGAGATCCAAAAGCGTTGGGAAACCATCACAAGACATGCAGGCAGGGGACGGAGTTGGCTCAGCTGGGCCCAGCCCACATGGCTACGTTGCACCCATGCTGTACTACGTATGCTTGCTTGCCCCTTGTCGAGGTCCCCAACCTCGCCCAATGCCGTCTCTACAGGCTTTATGAGCGGAACCAGCGGCTGAAACGGGGCATCCACACACGCTGCTGCAGCCTCTGCCGGAGTGTCTGGCCCGGTAGAGGTGCATCTTCCGGCTGCCATGATGCCCTAGACTGTAGGTAGTGATCAACGACCCATGTAACATCTCATCGGCTACATGGGAGGAGTTCGGGTTTCAGTATGATCGACGGCCACAGGAAGGTATTAGTGGAGTACGATACAGTCGTGTCCTTGGTTCCTGTGCGCAACATGCGCTTGGAGTTGTATGCCGACTACTTCTGTTTAAGTTACATGTCGTTGATCTCCACACGGCTATAATTCCCATTGCTGAACATCATGCTCTACGACTGTAGCATTGATCACTTGAGACATTTAAACATCGCGTATTTTTCTTTAGTGATCCTTTTCCAACCCGAGATAGACATAACTTTCCTCCTTTCCTCCTTACGACCGACCTCCAAGTCTTCTATGTCGCTATAGATTGTACTACTCAGTATTAGGAGATATCCGTCAGAATCCACCCCATACGAGTCAATTACTTACCAAAACGCAGTTCTCGCACCGGGTACGGTATACCCAAACCCAAGATGGGCAGTTGACGGTGTACTTGTATCTATTGACACATGGATAGCGATCCATGGCGTAAGTGGAAGGCTGGTGCGCGATGGAGATGTGAGAACTTGGATGTCTGAGCTTTAGAAAGCTGCTCAAAAGATGATCAATAACGACCTTGAAATGACTTCGCTCTCATTAGTAAGAGTACTCGAAGCCGCTATGGTTTATATCCTGCCTGCTGTCCGTGTCATCGCTTATCTGCGACCTCCACGGGAAACAACATATAGTAATTCTCGATGTGTAAGGCCCATGATCAAACAAAGTGTCCCCGGGCATCTTCTCGGTTGCTTTGTCCTCAACCTTGCTAGGATTATATGCGTGAAGCCGTAGTAGGAAAGTGGCGAATTGCGTATTCTGAGGAAAAGGTGGTAGAGGGGCATATGTTTCAGACAGTTTCTTCTATGACGACAAGAATATGAGGCGTCGGGCAAAAGATCAAGGATTGTTGGGCTGTAATTGAGAGGTACAATTGACCGAGATGATGCCCAGATGGATTCGTGTGAAGAGGTCGTCCCTGACAAATCCCGTTGTCTCTAATTACAAACGATGTAGAGATAAGGCTACATGAAGGCCGGGCCACGGAGCTAGCATGCATTACCCCATTCTCTAAATTTCGCTACTCTATACATAAATAGGAGAATGCTCGGACTTTGACTCCGGTCTCTTGGTGTAAAGAAATCCCCCAGGACGCGGACAGGTAAGAGATATCCCGGTGGTGTAACAGTCCAAGTACGGGTGTACCCGGTACTGTTACGATCGTCGGTCTGGCCGCTTCATGGAATGCAGGAACACATGGATGTCCCAAGAGTGTAAATATTTCAAGGTTATTTTCGTGCTCATGCCCACTTGTGGATTATTCTGAAATAAGTTGCCGGTCTGGGAACTTCGACTTTTCGACGTGAGCTTGGGCGCCATCTCCAATCCTAGCCCATGGCCCGCCTGTGAGTGGACAAGAGAAGGCCAAGCCGCCCCTCATGTCCCACGCGCCATGGACCTATAGCGGAATAAGGTCCGAATTTGACTTTGAGCCAGCCAATGGAAAACGGAGTTGTGACAGTCTAAGCACTGTTAGAGTGGTGGAGGGAGATTGCTCTACATTACTTGCCCTTGAAAGCTGCTCAACCCATTATCCGTTGAATCCGACTGCATATCCGTCCATGGTCCATGGATCTCTACCCGATTCATCCCGAAGATTGAGGGTTAAATACTACAGCTACTTCTGTCGTGATGCGTATTACCTTATAGCCTAAGGTACCCCCAGTCGACTACCTCGGGATCTATCGGACGTGGACGACGCGGTGAACTTGAGCTTGGCCGAGGTGAGGTATGCGACTTTCACTTGCTCCATCTAGACCTAAGGCCTTACCTAACCCTCTGTCAAGTACCGGGATATTGTTTTCGCGATGTTGTACCTATCTTTCTTATGTCCTGTTCCAGTCGATGTGGCCGTCCTTTCGACCCTTCAAAATCGCTTTGGCGCTTGAGTCTGGCAAGCAAGGGGCTAATCAGTGGGTGAACTGAGATGGCCAGGTCGTAGGCAAGACTGTGGGCCGCCATTCCCTACCTTAGATCATGATGTGTTGTGACGGTGTGGCTGGCACTATTTTTGATCGTTATAATGATCTATGGATTCGTTAGCCAGCCACATTGTGCCGTGTTGTGTTGTTTTCCCTTTTTTTCAAGAGCCCGAACGTCGAAGTCGGCGTTCAGGCATATGTAGGGCTCATAAGGACTTTACCTACTGTGCTGACTTGAAACCAACCTTTCCCACATGAGAGAAATCAGGCCATTTTCGCCCGCACACCCCTTGACCTTCTAGACCGAAGTACGCATATTTCTGCTCGAGGCTAAAATCAAGGTTTGGAGGCCCAAACTAGGCAGATCGGCCGTGGATCCTCGGACCAGGCGGTTGGGACTCGGAGACGCCTTCCAATCTGATGTCTAGGATAGATGGTTCTGCTTCACAGATCCAACGCCACTAGATGTACCCATGCATGTGTTGGTAAGTAGATTTCAGCCCGTTATGGCTTTTGCACTGACAGGTGACAGAAATGGGGTGGTTACCACTTAATGTCCCTGCATGTTTCTCTGCCGTTCTGCCGCTGTCTCAACTTGGATAGACCCGAAGAAATGACAGTTCGCCATTTGCTACTTTTGCCTGAGCGCAAGACTGTGGGTCTGACTGACCATGGCTACGCTGCCCAATGGCATGTAAAACTGCGTGTCTGTTCTACGACCGGTAACATTGGGCCCTCCTTTGACTTGGAGTCGAAGTCCGACCCGTTCGGACGAGGTGACGAGTATCGTACCCACCGTCTAGAGTCAAGGACCCTAGGCACGCTTAATACCAAGCAAATCGCAGCAGACCAATCGTATCACCGAATAAGCGAATGTGCATGAAGCGCAACATGATTTGTGATTGTATTCGCGATCCAGAGGCTGTTGGTTGAAGAAGGCTGCAAGTCATCTCCTATCGGTGAAGTTAGCAGGACGGCTCAGAGTGATGGTTTGTCCACATCTCTGTACGAATGGCCCTCTTAGAGACTGATTCTCCAACTTCTTTTCTTTTTCTTTGGTTTGATCTAAATGTAAGCTTCAGCTTGGGGGGCAAATCATGATCCAAAATTTCAATATTCCTGAACCAAATACCGAACCGTGTTGACGAAGACGCTCGTAATCCCTTCGCAAGACAAACTCAGCTCGCCATAGGGCTGCAATCGTACGAATCAAGCTTTAGCTAACATGTCTATGGCGATGGGATAAAAGATCAACAAATTGGCGAGGAGATGTAACATTATCGCTGCAACGTATGCGTTGAAGATGTCTGTAATACGTGGTATAATGCCATATTCCAGTCGTGAGTGTGGTGGTATCGTTCTTCATTCCCTTCACTCAACCTTGAGTATTATCACTTTTTCGATTACACACCTCAGAACGCATCAACAGCAATGGTCGAAGATCACAATCGTGCGGCAGCCATGGAGTTTGTAAGTTGACTCCACACCTCGATACACCATCACAGCCTTCGAGAGATTATCGAACTCACCATCTTCATTGACAAGCATCCATTTCCTAAGCTTCCAATTGGACTCCGAGCAATGATATGGCGGTTTAGTTTCCCACCCACTCGAACTGTCTCTATTCGATGCGATACAGCCCATTCAACCTGGGGAACCTCCCCGGCAAAGGTCCCGGCCAGCTTACACACTTGCCGCGAATCGAGACAAGAGGCCATACGATACTACGGCAACTTAAAGTTCGGTATAGCTGGAGTACCGAAGATCTACTTCAATCCTGAAGTCGACGTTTTACACTTTGGTCCGCTCAATGGATTCATGGCGGCATCTGCACAGTATTTTTCTGCCATGTCGTTGTGCGACCCATCAGACTTGAAGGATGTCCGCTACTTGGCGATCGACGACTCTGTGCTTGGACACGGGCTCAACAGGGGGGGAGCCGGCTCCGAACTCGCTACTCGGACCATTCGTCAACTTCCGCTGCGCATGCCGGGGCTGAAAGGGATCGTGTTCGTGCGCAGCAAAGCTGCGTCTGTATTTCGAGAGACGGACAACTATTGCAGAGACCTTCAGACATTGATTGGAGTTGCAATACGGGAAGTTGCTAGCAAATTTCCGGAATGGAAGGTTCCTTCGTGGTGTACGGCAACAACTTGTACGGACGAAAGCTTGTAATGTGGAAGGTTGGGCAGGATCCGTCTCGATACTTCAAACGGGAATTTACTAGAACCTTCGGGGCTAGGAATATCTGCCGATCAGAGGACACACTAAACCTATCCTGAAGTTCGAAATGATCAGCTGAATATTGTTACATGCCCAAATATCGGGATAGGGCCAAGGCTAGTCCAGGCTCCCAGCAATAACACGAAAGAAGTCAAAACGTTCAGTCAACTTTGCTCCCAACCTAGTGAGAGGGATGCCTCTCTGTACCCATGAATCCTGGAAGCCCTACAGACATCTCAAAGCCCCCAATCAAGCCAACGAGTGCCCCCCTTCCCTTTCGCCAGCATTCTCGATCCGCCTCGCCGACTACCTAGGAAATCCCGACGGTTACGTCTCATCGCCTCGAAAGTGTCGAAGAAGAGTGGCGGAGTCGAGCGCGGAAACGCTGCGAGGTTTCAATACGGTGGCGACCAAGACCGAGAGCATCATCTTGACGATGGAGCGAGGGACTATGCAAACTTGTAAAAGAACAGACCTCCATAAAGAATCCAAGTTCCGATTACCCGCCCCCGCATGAACCTACCAGACCGTAACGGTCCATCAGATTTTGTTGGGAAACTTGGATGAAAGCGAAAGACGGTCATCGCGTTCAGAACACGTGGGAAAGATTGACCAAGGATATCGAGCCCTCATAGCGAATTCTGATATAGATGATGCGCTGTGGTCTGTCCCTAGTATCGAAGAGAAAATACCCCAACGCCTGATACACCCACAACTCCATCAAACTCAAGCCGAAGCTCCATGGAACCCCGAAATCACTCGCTACCCTAACTCAGAGTCTTCCCAAAAATGACTTCGCCGCAGCATATATACCTATAACCAATCACCAATGCACCGAGGTTTTCCGAAACATGGCATCTTCCTCTGAATCTTTCTTGAAGTAACCGTGCCTCTCTGCTTTAGAGAATCGAGGCGAATCTAGTCATGGAGTTGACGACCATGCGGAAGACGAGGCCGGCAATGCCCACTACAACGAAGATTTGCCCGAGCTCGATCCAACTCTTGAGGCGGACTTCCGTCTCGAGGAAACCGCCCTTGATATCCTGGCTTGCGGGGAACCGTCCGGTCGACAGGTACTCTTCCATTATAGCATCCTTCTCGTACCACCGCTCGCGAAGCCAAGTGTCGAAAACTTTGGCGTCGTCCAGAGGAATATCGGCAAGGCGGAAGCGGCGCCAGTGGAGGTTGACGGACTTTGGGGGACGACCTTGGAAGTAGGTGCTCGTGAGAGTGAAGAACTGGTCGCCAAACTTGCCACGGCTGGAATGCTATTAGTGCGAATCGCAAACAAGATGACCAGCGAAGGCGCTTGGCGCAAGGGGAAAGGTTCACTTACGGAACTCCTTCGTATGCGACTGTGCAGTCGTAGATGTAGTCGAGTGAACCCTTCAGCTCGTTCAGGCAGAAAAAGGTACCTGTGCTTCGTGGGAGAAGCACGTGTTCAGGGTCCTTGAGATCGTTCTTCTTGGCCCATGCTGCTGATTTCCTGCGGCCGTTGGTAGACAGGTTCGTTCCCTCGGGGAAGAGCAGGAGCCACATGGGATCGAGGTACTTGTTCCCATTGGTGCCAACGTGTTGCTTCTTCAGCTTCTGAAGCCGGTGTGCGAGACGCGGTTGGTCAGTCGACATCTTGCGCGACATGAAGATGAAGCCATAGAACATCATGCCGGCGCCGACACCGGGGATGTACTTGAGCGATTCCTTGAGAATGATATAGATGTGTCCGTGCATGCTCGGCGAGTTTGCGTAGGCTACCCACCAGAGGTAGAGCCAGTCGGTGTAGATCTGCCCCAGCACCGTCAGTATCCCGATTTCTCGTGTCGCAAACATCCCCAAGATCAGGTGTCTCGTACCTGGTGGTTTGCGACAAGCACCACTCGCTCCGGAAAGTTGAACTGAACCCTGCCGTCTGCCGTCTTTTGGATCTGACCTTTCATGGACGCATCGCCGCTAATCCTGATCGTAGTACTGCTCCAAATGTGCGTCATGGCGGTGATAGTGAGGCCAAACGATTGCTTCGTCAGCGCCATGTAGGAGTAAAACATGTCGCGATTCGCCCAATACAGCGGAACACCTAGAATCTGCGTGGTGATGATGCTACATGCGACACATGTTAGCATCGAGCTATCGCAAAGCCAGACTGATCAGACCCGGGGTAGAACGTACGCAAGACAGCAAGCAGCAAAGTAGACGCCGAATGAGAAGCCTCGCAATACCTGCATCAACAGGCTGTGCTTGACGCGACCGGCCGGATGAGGATCGCTTGGTTTTCTAACGAGGCCCGCGTCGGGGGCTGGCGCAGAAACCTTGATATCACCTTTCGCATCGGTCTTGTGTACGTCGGTCGCCATGATGGCAGTTATTGGATTATTTGTTCGGTCGTAGCCTTGAAGGGGAGATTCGAGAGGCATGAGGATGATTTCGGGAGGATTAAGACCACCCGAAACGAAGACGATATCGCTTTGGGACTTTCAGTGGACGAGGGCTTCGTTGTGCAGTGTTGGAAAAGTTGGCCGTGATGTCGCGTGCGACCTGGCATGTGAGACGAGCAGCTGGACAGTCGACAGCCAGGGTGATGCCTGGCGCCGCGGGGTCGGAGGGTCGGTGTAGGAGACGGTCGATCAGGGCCACCAAGAATGGGGCGACGGAGGAACGTTCGGGGTCGCTAGAGTATGGGAAGAAGAAATCGAGAGTAGGAGTGTCGATGTTCGTCGGTCAAGTTAGGTGGGCGTTGGCGCCTTGTAGGAGTGGCTGAAGCTATGCATGCGGCGTCATTGCATTTGAAGGTTTAATGGAAGAAGATTGTCAAGCTGTGATTCGGTATTCAGAGTTAGGGCAGGGTAAGGATGGTCAGATAATTAGATCAGGCAAGGTAGAGTAGCGTACGAGGGTATGAGGCGGTAGAGGACGGTAAAGTGGTGCCTTTGAAGCTATCCGAACACGCTCGCTGATCGTCAAAGGAGTTTGTACCCTGTCCAAAGTGGAGGAGGGCATGAGGTAATACAACGAACAGCAAGGAAGGCAAGACTCAGAGTTGCGGTACAGACATGGTCCGGTGTCTTGTCTGGTCTGGTCTGGTCTGGTCAGGTTTGAGTCTGCAGCATCGGCCGAGCGCAGCCGCGGCCTTGATTTTGGGCCGAATCTGGAGGATGGAGGGGTTCACGGCAAGGTACGTACTCTTGTGGTATGTCATCGTCTGCGCCGGCAGCTTCGGAGAAAGTGCGCCTGAAGTGCTGCTTTCTGCATGGGAAAGTACGAAAGCTGGGAGCTGCCTGACCAGTGACCAAGTACTCCGTTCTTGCCTGCAGCTACGACATGTGGAATGGCTCCATGGCGGGGCAAGCACGCACGGTTCACCCTCCGCAATTGGCTGCATCTTGTCCCCGCACGTGCCACACACAGCTGACATGGATCATCTCCCACCCCGAAGTCCGTCCCTCCGTTCCATCTCCAGTTATCTCCGTTGCGTGTCTCCACGATCGGCGTCTCCCGAGCCAATCCTGCCGCTGCTATTCCCATCTGACACACCTCCTCACCTGATGCTCACCGACAGCGGCTATCCAGGTGAGAACCACAAGGCACCAAGCTCTGCTCTCGAGCTACCTTACATAGGAACCCATCTAGATCAATGCACCAAGTCTTCTTTCTTTGACGCAGCTTTCTCACATGCGAAACTACAAAATCAAACGGGGAATTATTTCTTCTGAACCACTTCATGCCCATGCACTAGTGCGAACCTTCACGTTTCACGAGCAAAAGATGAGATCAACTCAATTGCATGAGGCTGCCCTACCCGGTGCTGCTCAAGCTCTTCATGCAGGCCAAGACAATGAGGCAAGAGGAAAAATATTCTGCATGTGAGTGACGCTCAGAGCTGAATTACCAGCTTTTTCGCAGACACGCCCTGTTTCAACAAATCAAGTCCAGCTTGGATCGACTCCAGCCCTTTGCCAACGACCTCCGCGTCCGGCTTCGGCTTCAGCTGGCCATTCCTTAGAGCACCCGGTACAAAGTCTCTCCAGACAGGATTCTGCACTTCTTCCGGGTCCTCTGTTATCTGGTAGGCAGTCACTGCACGAAGATTAGTATTCACAATCATGTCTGGGTATCGCCCACCTCGACGCGAGCTGACTCACTCATGCTAATCTCCGCGTTCTTCCCATAATCGCCCTCTGTCGGTAACACAACCGAAACCTTTCGCGGTCCGATTTGATCCAATATGGCACCGATAGGCTTCAAAGACTCGGGGCCCGAGATCGCGTCGTATACTCCAACAAGATCCGCCCCAGATAACGCCTTCAGCGCGTCGTGGACGAGCGTATCCGAGTGGTAATCCACAACTACCTCTGCGCCCAACTCAAAGACCTTGTCAAAGTTGCGCTGCGAAGCCGTGGTAACGACTCTAAGCCCCGAGGCGACCGCCAACTGTACTGCCGTGCCTCCTACAGATGACGCACCGCCCCATATGAGGATCGTCTTGTCAATTCGACGCGGAGTGAGGGATGGTAGAGGTAGGCCTAAATGTTGCTTCTTATAGAGCCCCACTGCTGCCGTTGCGATCGCCAGCGGTAGTACCGATGCGCTTACGAAGCTCGCGTCATCTGGGATGGGGGAAACGAGGTTCGCGTCTGCTTTGCTGTAGAGCTGGAACGTTCCAAACTCGTGGTTCTGCTTGCCTAATCCGGTGCAGTATCTGCGCGTGATGTTAGTCAAGGCCGGCTGGCGATAGGGCATGTGGTCTAAACAGGTATGCCTAGCAGATTGCACCACGTTCTCGGGAAGACTAGAATAACGGCATAGGTACACACCCTATGACCCGCTGGCCCTTTTTGAGATGAGTTACTCCATCGCCGACCTCTTCGACAAAGCCTGCAGCATCTGCACCGAGTATAGTAGGATACGTCTGCACAATGATGCCCATATCCCTGGGTCATGTCAGTGGTGCCTTCTCTCCATGAGCACGGAGCGCACCTACTGGATCTTCCATTCTGCGGGATTCTTCTCAAGTGTAAGAGGAAAAGTCGCGGTCTTGGAAATTCTAGCTGAAAATGTCACTCACCAGAGCCGTCGCTACATTCCTGATGACCACCTCTCCTAACCCGACCTTTGGGGATGGAGCATCGTCGACCCTCATCGGGTAAGTCTTTGCGTGTGTAAGCCAAGCAGCCTTGTTTCTCGACATCTTGACCTGGGGAGTGAAGGAAGTCTCCTTTTCTTGCTGAAATTGTTGAGTCTTTTCTACGACCTTAAAGATCTGAGAAGTCCTGGGTTCCAATAAGTGTCCACGGAGACTATGGATATTTCCGTGGAGCTCAAGAATCTCCCTCAGTACCTTCCCATTGAGGGTGAATACAAACTGCATTATAAATCCAGCCCCGGCTCTATCGGATCTAGTGTAGACCGATTTAAATCGCGACATCAGTCGAACGTAAACCAATATGGTGGGGCCGGAGCCGGATAGTGGAGGGCCGGGCGCTACGTTGATGGAAACTCTCCCTGGATGACAGTTTGTAAAGAAAGGCGAGTATTTCCAAGTTGGGATTGAAGCCTTGAACTGGGGGCTTTAGCACTCGTGGGTCCAATTGTTTCTCATTCCCCTCGATATATGGAAATAACAGCTATAGCACCGTACAGAGTACGGACGAAGACCTGGTCTTCTCGAAATTAAACTACGGACTCTACCCAGACTCCTCAATATCAAATATGCTTCCTCAGTCGTAAATAGAGACAAGAATCCCTCCGGAAACCCCACGACGAGCACAACCAAGGCTCTAATTCTTGGCCACCTTGATCAATAAAGATCCAACGCCACTCCCACCACCCCACTGCCGGTGCGCAGTCTGGATATCCTCCATGTCCCAAACACACTTGATCGGCACCGTAATCGTCCCCGTTCTCAACATATCCAACAACGCCGTGACATTAGGTACATATGTCGTAGAGTCCCTGTTCAACGCATAGAACGTCGTGCTCCTCTTCGTCAACAGGTTCAAGTTCCTCGCAAACAGCTTCAACAGCGCACCCGTCGGGTTCCGTGGGGGCGCGCCCTCATTCAACGACGCCTTGTTATTCCCGAATCCGACAAGCGTGCCATCCTCGGCGAGGATGGAGTAGCTCTCGTCAAAGCTCTCGAAGCCGAGCGGATCAAAGACTGCATGCGCGCCTCCGAGGGCGTTCATCTCCTTCATCCAGTTCTTGTCGCTGTAGACGAAGGGGATCCCGCCCTCGCGGCGGACGTCAATGTGGTTGCGCTGGCTCGCGGTGCCGTAGACTGTCGCGCCCTGCAGCTGCGCGAGCTTCATGAGGGCGTACCCCACGGCGCCGCTCATCCCGTGGACAAACACCCGCTGGCCCTTGGACACCCGCGCCGAGTGCATCACCATGCCGTACGCGGTGTTCCAATCGCAGATCAAAGCGGTCGCCTGGCGGTGATCCACGCCGTCGGGGACGCGGATGCAGTACTTCTCCGGCTGGTTGACCAGCTCCGCCTCGGAGTCGTACTTCGTCAGGACGGCGACGACGTCTCCGATTTGGAAGTTCTTGGAGCCTTCGCCTAGGGCGCGGACGGTGCCAACAAGGCAGTAGCCCGGGGTTAGGGGCGCTTTCTTCATGAAGGGGTAAATGCCCTTGCGCATGTTGACGTCGGCACCGGAGAAGCCTGAGTATTCTGTGGCGATTTGGATTTCGCCTGGCGGTGGTGGTGGGCAGACATCGGTGACGACTTTGATCACGTCGACGTCGCCGTATTGGGAGATTATGACTTTGCGGATGCTCGTCATTGTGGCGGTAGGAAAGGAGAGGTTGTAAGGATTGGGCGAGGGTGGAATCTGGGGAGTTGGAGAGACACACGTCAAAGGAAAGAGAACACCAGAGAACCTTTTAAATCATGCATTGGACAAATTCAACTTCTTAATTATGGTCATTATGTACCTACAATCTCATGCGCTAAAACAGATGCCGTGATACCGACTCGCGTGTTCTGCGATGCTCAACGGAGACGACGGCATGCCGTAAGGCTTCAGCACCAACCGAACAGCGGGTGTCCGTCGGCACACGGAGCGGTCCGCATGAGTTGTCTTACATCCGCATGCGCACTGCCGGTGTAGATCTCGATCCTTCGCCGACACCCCAAGGAGATATTCACCTCGAATTCCATTTCTCCTTAAGCTCTTGGATCTGCAGCATCTCCATAACTCGCATGTGGAATAGGACCTCGGGCCTAAAGTCTCAGCTGCCCCCTACCCCCGCCCACTTACATGCAGCTCTGTCGAGAGTTCTAGCGACTCGAAGGGTCCAAGCTCATCCGCCAGCCGGGGTACATCACTACTGCATTAGGCTAAAATCTCATCTACCAGGCCTGCTGGCGAAATGGCATCGCGTCACATTTCGGCTCCCTAGTCACTCTGTGAAGATTGTAGGTTCGATCCCTACGTAGGTCGGCATCATTTTTGGGCTTTTGAGAGCCTCATTCGCAACGCAAAGAACAGTTGCAGTAGTGGAATGAAGGTAATTTGGACTCGTTGTTGAGTTTCAATTGACGATGCAAGTCTCTTTGTTCCCCTCGCGATTGAAACGCTGTTTGTAGTTGAACTCAAACCTCCAATACTGGTCAAGTGGGCATCTTCAGTGAAGCCCACGTAGCTCAACACCATACATATTTCGAGCAAATCTTGGCAGGTAAGGGGTCTGATTTTTCGAATACTCCATCTACACGAATGAAATAAACCAAATACTCATTTCCATGGTCGACTCAACTCAACTAGCGCGCCGCAGGGAAAGCTGCCAGTCTCGAAGAACTAGCGGAGCATGAGGTGGGTTGAACTTTGAAGCAGTATCTATCCCTGCCTGCCCCTCATCAAGCTACCCCGACTTGGACTCTTGTAATTCTAAGGCTTTCAGCGAGAGCTTCTCCTCCGCAAGTTTCGGATTGATCGGGAATATTAGTGCGGGGAGAGTTCGGCAGATGCGGTTCGGATGGTATTTATGCTCCGGCAGCGCGGGGCCGGAAGTGCATCACAAGTTGCACTCATCCACCTCCGCCTCTTTTCATTGTCGTTGCAAATCACAAGACCGCTATTGGGCACACTTCAGCTACGATGAGATCCTCGATTCTTGATTCAGACTACGTTCAGGTGACATTTCCCGGCTTCCTTCTGGGTCTCGCAATCGTTGGCTCGGTAGCCTATGTTGTCTATCAGAGATTCCTTCACCCCTTGGCTGCTTATCCGGGCCCATTTTGGGCATCTATCACGGACTTGTGGCAGGTCAATCAGTTCTTCTCTTTGAAGCAGCCTTACAACCTAACCGAGCTCCACCAAAAGTACGGCGAGTTCGTGCGATATGGACCGGACAAGTTGAGTATCACTGCCGAAGAGGTCGTCCCATTGGTGTATCAAAAAGGTGGCCAGCGGATGCCAAAGACGGAGTACTACGATGCCTTCGGTTCCAAGACCCCGAATGTCTTTGGCATGAGATCTACAGAGGTACGAAAAATGGTGCCTCCACAAAACTGACGACTCTTATGCTGACCAAACGTAGCTACACTCCATCAGGCGACGTCACATGTCACACAGCTTCTCCATCAGCAGCGTGAAAGGCATGGAACAGTACTTGGATCAGAACATTAAGATTCTGCGTGACAAGATTGCACGGTTCACAAAGACCGGAGAGGCTTTCGATCTTAAGAGAATTCTGCACTTCTACACCATTGACGTTCTCGGCGAGCTAGCCTTCAGTCGCTCATTTGGGGTTCAGGCCTCTGGCGATGAGTCTCGAGTTCCGCCGGTCATCCCTCATACTCTTCTAGGTACGACTTTGGGCGCATGGCCGGCCATGACACAGACTCTCAAGCATTGGCTACCGAGATTACCACACGCGGGACTACAGGCTTTGTTTGCAGGACGGGCCAAGTGTGCTGGGCTGGCGGCTGAGTGTGTTCAGACGCGACTGACAGAAGTGAAGGAGGATGAGAACAAGGGTAAGGTGCAGAGGAAAGACATCTTGACCAGTCTCATTCTGGCCAGACATCCTGACACTGGAGAGAAGATTGCGAGGGTTGATCTGGAGGCCGAAGCATTTGGAATGATGTAGGTCCAGAGAAGGCGCAAGGTTACAGAAAAAACGGGTGTGACTGACCCCATCGCATAGCATCGCCGGAACACATACGACTAGCGCAACCACAACCCTTCTCCTCTGGAACTTGCTACACAACCCAGACGCCCTCAGTAAATGCGTACAGGAAGTGGATGAGAATCTGACTTCTCTAGATAATGGGAAAGATGCCTATTCGATCACGGAAGTGGAAAGCTCCCTACCTTTCCTCAGGACATGTGTCAAGGAGAACTACCGCATCACTCCGGTCTTCACTATGCCACTGGCGAGACGCGTGACAGCCCCTGAAGGCATCATTGTTGCAGGTCGTCATATCGCGCAAGGGGTAGGTCAAGGAGCCAAAAGTTCCCGCGAGTTCACACGAGCAAACTTAATCTGATGTGAGTAATAGACATCCGTGGCAGTATGCAACCACGCGTTCCATCACAATCCGCAAGTATGGGGCGGCGACCATGACGTCTTCGATCCATCAAGATGGGATCGACCAGAGACGGCTACGCGCGCCCGCTATCTAATGCACTTCGGTCTTGGTGGTCGTCAGTGTCTTGGCAAAACGTTGGCGCAATCCAACATCTACAAGCTTACCAGCACCTTGCTGCGTGAGTTTGATTTCCAACTGGCTGATCCGCTAGAGAGAGAACTTGCTGTAAACGGGAGCTTCCACGGGGTCTCGCCAGATCTCATCAGCGTTGGGGTGAGTGATCTGGCGGGGCCCTTGATGGTCACTGCCAGTGCCCGGACACGGATTTGACTGGAATGATCAAGTAATCAAGTAAGGCATCTGCCATACTAAGGTAGCTTGAGGTTTAATGACGAAGTAACGGCACGTGAGAAAGAATACATCTGGTTGGCGATGTCGTCAAGTAAGTTCTTTTGATTCAACCGGTGCTGCAGAATCTGTGGTTGTGTAAGAAATACTTGCCGGCAGTTCGAGAAGAGATCGGACCGAGTTTGAATGTTCCTGGAAATCGTCGTCCAAGATGACGTCCAAGGTGGCTGTTTGGTTGCCGAGGTCGGTGTTTTGGCGAGTTACAACTCCAATCCAACGCTCTACGAACTTATTGGCTCGAGATTGGGTGATGCAGTTGGCATATGGGTGAGCAGTCGGGTGTGTACCGGAAATGCTGGCGAAGAGAGCGAGAGCCGCTGGAAGAGTTGAGAGCTTCATACCGGAAGGGTATTGAGGCGGGAAGATAAGTGAGAATGAGGAAGCTAGCTGTAAAGACTTACAAGAGTTGCAACTTGTTGAAGATGGAAGTAATTAGGTGAACTCACTAGGGGCCTTCATACAGTTGGGTTCACGAAATGAACCGAGGTTTCCTAAGCACCGCGTATGTGAAGCTAGCGCCGTGAAGACGGATATAACGTCGGTAGTGCGGCAAATTGATGCCTAGCAGACAAGTTGCTTAGTACCTGAAGCGCGTTTAGAAGCCATGATCTCTGATTCTCGCGGAAGCAAAGGCTTTTCTGATAAATTAGGCCTGGGAGATAATTATCCTGGGAAGATTGTACAGTAGACCAACTGCAAACGATGTCCGGAACTCGGGTGCCCCTAGGACAATTTTGCTTCTATTAACCAGAAATCGTGTAATCCGGATCCTAGGGTTTATCTCTGGATGGAGCCTCACATCGTGCTTAGACGGACTTCGCGACCAATATAACTTGATTTCGGCGCCGAATCCTTAGCGGGGCTCAGTGAAACCGGCGTAAAGGCGTTCGTCACATTGGGCACGGGTCCATGTCACGGAGTCGTCGGAATCAGTTTTCGGAACAGAATGCATGGTCGCCTGCCCCAGCCCGAGATAGCGCTACTACCTCATAGCTCCGTGAGCCTGGGACATTGAGGAAGAATAGTCCGAATGGACTCTAGTGGTGATATTAACATCTTTTATAGCTGATGATAATACAAGCCACTCACTTGTGTTGTTTACGGATGGGAATTAAGTGAATCGTGTTGTTGATATTTTCAAGATGTCAAATCTTGCAGTCTATGGCCTAATTCTCCCGATTACCTATTCAGTAGCATAGATCCTCCTTATGTACCTTGATCGAACGCCGCCCTGGGCCAAGTCCGGGCCAATCCCATTATTCGTTAATACGTCATAGACATTATAGACATGAACATTACTCTTGATCCATTACACCGTCAAATCTGTGCGGGCCTCATCTTCTCCAGCTCGGTTGGCAAAGTCGGCAAACTCGAGTGCTTCACCGTATTTTCCGCATTCCAGCCCCGGAACATGGGATGCGAAAGCAACGGCGGCGTCTTCAATCGGATCGTAGGCGGCCGTATCGGCCCGCCGGACTCCTCTTCTACCGGTAGCGTCACCCGCCTCGTGGGGTACTTCTTGTGAAGAAGCTGCCATGTCCTCTCGACGCGCGCTTCGTGCTCGGTCCAGTCGCCGCTAAGGGACTTGAGCAACCCTTCGCCTTCCTCTGCGTCGATGCTCGTCTTGGATCTGCTGCGGCCATGCCACGTCCTAGACCGTGTCCTGGCGGGTGGTGAGACGGGCTCGGTGGGGAGATCCGGAGTGGCGGCGCCGGCGATGGGTGTGACTGTGACGGATGACCTATTTTGTAGCGACTTGCGGATAATCGTGTCTCTCAACTCCTCCTCGGCCAGGATGATGCGCGACTGCGTGAGTTTCGATCGTCGGGTGTACTCCTCCCATGTGAGATCTGGGTCACGGAGACAGGCATTTTTGTATTCTTCTGCGAATTGCCTCTTGCGACGGCGGCGACTTATTGTGAAGTAGATGACAATGGCGATGATGAGGAGGAACGCGGAGCCGAGGATTGTGGAGACTATGATGAGCGTTCGTTGGCTGGGTCCGCCTCCGGTGGTCGGTCCGGCGGTGAAGTCGGCAGCTACGGGATCGGAGTCGGTCTTTGCGCCGGATCTCGTATTGAGAAGAGGGATAATCATGTTGTTTAGAGTTGGTTACGACGATGTGCCGTTGTGATATAGCGAGCGACAGGATTAATATTCTAGTAATTAGAGCGAGCGTGGTGCGTCCATGAAAACGACTGAGTGGACGAGCAGGAATAAGTGGGAGCGCGCAAATTCTTGACCGCTTCAAAATCTGTGTGCGACGATCGCTCGCGGGGGAACCGGAAAGCTTTGTATATACACGTAGCGACTAAACCTTTCCCTCCCCTCACAGTTGCAATCCCGGATAGCAAGCCGTTCGACAAAGAGCGGTATTCTATTTAAAACATGCAGCTTCCCAAGAAGACAATAACCCACGTCGGCAGGCAGAAAAAGCCTGCAGGTGATTCTTCTGCACGCCATTTCTGCCACCATGGGCATGAGAAGCGAGGAAAGAAAGTTCGGATACGGGACTCGTCAAGGATTCTCCGACTCAAAGGAGCAAACCTGGGCGGAGAGCAAGGTGGTAAGCATGCCTATCGGAGTGGGATCTTTTCGCAGGGCCAGGGCCGCGAAAGTTCGAAAAGGATGGCTGGACAACTGTCTCTCTGGTGATTCGGCCGTTGGGGCTGTTCACGAACGCCTCGCCAGAAAGGTCAGGCAACATCCGCAACAGATGACAGAAACAGGGGACCGGAGAGCGCGTGTTTTCCCCTCTGGAAAGCCATAAAAACCAACAAACCAGCCCAAGCGAGGAGGGACCTTAGGGCTGCCAGGGGTTTTGACTGGCTACGTGTGCGCTATAATTGGCCCCAGGCCTGGTCCTGTCGGGTCGCCAACACGAGGTCAGGTACAGTAGCGCGGCATTGGCGGAACGGGGCTCAAAAAGCAAATCCCGGACGAGTGCCGGGGGGTTGCCCGTGTGGCTGATAGGAAAAGAGAGGGGAGTTGGGAGGCACAGGAGGGAGCGGGATGGGAAACCCACGACCCGCGGCCTATCAGAGTCTCAGGAACTCTCGGTGGCTGGCCAGCAAACCGAGCCGCGCAAGACAAGGATCGGATGGTTTTCTTCTCTTCTCCTCTGGCCGCTTTCTGGAGTGAATTGTTCCCAAGCCGGGGCTACGGCAACCTGCACTGCCCACTGCAGTCGAAGGGTTGAGGGGAATGGGATTTCTAGCTCGAAACTTGGAAGCCCATCAGTCGTGGAACATGGCCATTGGGCCATTTTCATGCTCGCCTCGCCTGTGCCAATGGATCCCGTTCATGTGCGTATCTTCAAGCACGACATGCGGGTGGATTGTTGGTGAGTCCGACGCTTAATCCTGGGGCAAGTAACCCATTACATTGCCACCACATACCTCCCGGCTGCCTCCCGGTGCAGAGTCTCTGCATCTTGTAAGTTGATACGGAAAGAATTCGATTCAATGTTGCTGACAATTCTGACAGAGATGAAGAGAGATCTCGGACATGACGATCTCCTTCAATGTCCCACTCACGCAGGTACTATCGGGCGTTTACCCACCATGTTTGCTTTCTTCAGTCCAATAAAGTACACCGCTTCGCCCGTTTGCGCTTTCGGGGCAAACGGCGCCCAACTTATTTGGTGTTTCCTTCTTTCGCTTGTGCAACCAACGTCATGTTGCATCTTGAGTATCGGTTTCAAAGACACAATCAGGCGGCACAAATTTCCTGCGGTTTCCCGCTTCTCGAATCGTCCCCCGTTGGCGATTATTTTGATTAACTATTCAGAGGGCAGAACCTGATGGGTTGGAAGAGTGAAGGGAAATCAAAAGTCCTTCTCCAAAGCGAAGTCCAGCACCACCACTTTTCTTTTCTTTTCCTCAGTTCGTGTGTAAATCGAGACCACCTGCTGCGACCCAGAGTCGAACGTTTCAACCTGCGGCTCGCCGGAGAACCCATCCGCTTGCCAAAGCGTGCGATACTCCAACGTGACCTCGCCATCCGCAGACATCGTAGTAGGCAAGCTGGCACCGATAACGGTGAGCTTATCATCTCGATTACCCGGCAGGGCAAAGATAACAGTCTTTTTGCCCGGCAAAGCAATAACGTCCCCACGCGCTCCCGTCCGCGTAGGCTGCAGGTCCGCGGGCAACGCGTGTCGGCTCCATCGCCCCTCCGGGCTGCGGTAGTAGTGTATCCAGACTTCGTTCTCTCGGTTCAAGACGTGGAACCCGCCTTCGTCGTCTGCCGCTTGCGCCTCCTGGTTCAGGATGCCGTTATTCATTGGGATGTCGAAGACGATGAGCCCCTCGCTGTCGGGGTATACGGTCTCGCCTACTTCGAGATTCGCTAGCCTTTCGCCTTTTGTGTTGTTGAAGGTTTTTCCGCCGTCGTCGCTGTTTACGTAGAAAAGCTGGATCCAAAGTCAGCTCTACAAGATTCGTCCTCGGAAAAATGGGTTTACGCACATTGTGGTTATTCTCTGGCCCATTGGGCCCGGCCTGAACAGTGTGCGTTCGCGCTTCTGGGTCATCCACGCCTTCGTACCATACGAACCCCCGATACATGCCAGACACATGTATGCGCCCGCTGGCGTATGAGATGCCGTTAATGTACGGGTTATTGTTGACGCCGGTAAGAAATTGTCCAATGTAGGAGTACGACTGGTCTTTGCTGCTATATCGGAAGAGGTGATCGGAGCCTGCTCCCGCACTGCATCTCAGTCAGTCCCATGCCCATCCCCGCGCACTGCTTTCAGTCACATACATGCCAATGCGATAGCTTAGAAGAAGGTCGTCGTCGATGCGGATGAAGCGCGGGTATGTTGTCTCAAGAAAAAGCTTCTCGATTCCTAGCTGGCCAGTGCGAGTGTATCCAGGGAGCTGATTGTGGGTTGGACTGAACAGTGAGGTTTTCCACTCATGAGCTTCCGGCTTCGTCGCCACGCCTCGTATTGACATGCGGTAACGCAAACTGCATAGGGCAGATTTACTTATTAACAACACTTCATACGGCGAAGATACTGCTGGGGAGTTGCTCACGGGTCACAGTGGTGATCGAACGACACATGTATAGTACCGTCTCCGGCACAGACTCCTATGGAGATGGTGTTGTGCCCATCGTCCGCAGTCTGCTCGTAGTCCTCGAAGGTCAAAGTCTCCCAGCTACCCAGTGAGTCACGGATTGGCCGCCGAGCAAGACTGACAAAGAGGACGTTGCTTGTCGCATCCTTATGAGTATAGAAGCAGGTGTATTGCCATCCGTTGAAGGTCGTCAAGGCATCCTGCTGGAAAGAGTTGGCGTTGATTCGATGCTCTCGCCGCGCATCCAATGCCAGCTCTGACTTAGCGAGCAACTTCAACTGAGAACCCATGTCGCTTCTGAAAGCCTTGCCCGGTGTATATGAATGTAATGTCTTGGAAGCTGCTCAGCATATGCAACACACAGAATGAAGCCCGACACGAAGAAGTCCCTCCATCGCTTTCATAATCTATCACGGTGACGTACGCGGGGTCCCTCGAGTTAGGGTCGGGGGAAAATCAGCCGAGCGGAGGAAGATGGACGGTTCCCCGCGCGACGATTCGCCCGATGCGCCGATACGACTGTGATCCCCGGATCTTCCCCCGACTACCGATGCGCCGATACAACGCCCCGCACTTCAATAAGCCATTGTAGGTGACGGTTTTCGACGTAAAAGAGGCTATTCAGCCACGGCATCCCCGCACTCGTGTCCATTCTACTCCCTGTTTCCCCGCGTTGGCGAACCCCAAGTCGATGTTGCCAACCGACCGACACCCGTGGACCAAGAAATTGACGAAGGTAGAAGGGCAAGATTGGCAGCCAAGCCATCAATCCAAGACATCCAGGTCGTAGCAATCAGCGTATAGCAATACCAAGCAATTGACTGCTTGAAGAAATAAATACAATTTCGTTCTGTCATAGTCTTTCGTGCCAGGAATTCGTTTCGAGCGTCTTTGATCGTGCATGAAGATTGACCTAGAATCACCAGAGGATCGCGAAGATGGGCTGGAATTCCAAATTGAAGAACAGCGACAACCGTCAGGCTCTAGAGTCAACCACGCCTCTCAACACTAAGACGACATCATGGATAAAGGATCCCGGACTCCGTCCACTCAACTTTGGTCTCTTCTTCCTTCTATTCGGTGATGTTGCCCACGGTTTCGACGGATCCCTGATCAACAACCTTCAACAGATTAGCAAATGGCAAGATGGTCAGTCATAAACCCCTCCTCTCAATACCATTCGACAAGCTGATACTATCGAGATCAGACTTTGACCACCCACAAGCAAGTCTCCTAGGTGCCATGAGCGCATCCTACTGGATCGGGAATATCCTAGGGGTCATTCTCATCCCCCTGATTGCAGATCGTCTGGGCCGCCGCATCGCAATCGCGACAGGCTCATCCCTTTGCATCGTAGGTGCAGCAATCTGCGCGGCGACAGTCAACCATGGAGCCTTCATCGCTGGCCGTATTCTTCTTGGCATGGGCGGAGTCATGTGCTCTTCCGTTTCGACAGTCTTGATGACGGAGCTGGCTTACCCAGCCCATAGAGCCACGGCAACAGCTTTGAGCAGTACGACATACAGCGTCGGGGCCATCTTGGCCGCTTGGGTAGCCTTTGGGAGTTTCCGAATTTCGGATTCTTGGTATGCTTTTACTCAGCGGGGAATTCTCCACGCGAGGACCGAGAAATACGTGCACTGACTGACAGTTCCTTACCCTGAGTAGGGCGTGGAGAACACCGACACTGATTCAGGCGTTTCCATCGGCGATGGTGCTCTGCGGACTCTTTTTCTTGCCGGAGTAAGTTTGCCAAGGACCCGCACTTGGGTCGACCTTCTGGCTGAGCCACAATTTCTAGATCGCCTCGATGGCTTTGCAGCAAGGGCAAGGAGCAGACGGCGCTTGACATCCTCACAAAGTACCATGGAGCCGGCGATGCCGCCGACGCAGTCGTCCAGCACGAATACGCCGAAATCAGAGAGACCATTGAGGCGGAGATTACGCAAAACAGGAATCCCTTCCATCTCAAGGCTCTCTTCGCAACCCCTGGCAATCGTTGGCGATCATTCATTATCATCTGGTGTGGGATATGCAAACAGTGGTCTGGGAACGGGCTGGTATCGTACTATCTGGGAAGGTCAGCCTCACAAGACAGTTGAATATGATATCTGAGAACGAAACTAATGCGGCATGATACACGTCAGCATGCTCAAAAGCGCAGGCATCACAAGCCAGATCGAGACAACGCTGATCACCGCAACATCTCAGATGTTCAGCTTTGCATGTTCCTTTGTCTTTGCCTTCCTCCCGGCGCGGGTTGGTCGCCGGCCCCTCATGCTGACAAGTATGGCCGGAATGTGGGTGGTATTCGCAATCATCACGGCCACGTCTGGCGCCTACGTCGAGACAGGGAACCGCCACGCAAGCTACACAACCGTAGCGTTCATCTACCTCTATAGCGGTGTGCATAACCTAGGCTGGACGGGCGCACAAATGCTCTACAGTACGTCAAGGCCCAGAACTCCAGAGAGACGGTAAGGCTTTGAAACGCTGACAAGCTTTGTACTCTTAGTTGTCGAGATCCTTCCCTACACTATCCGCGCCAAGGGCATGGCCATGTTTTCGCTGGTCGCGGGTATTTGTGGAGCCTTTAATACCTACGTTAATCCTCTTGGGATTGCGGCGATGTCCTGGAAGTTCTACTTCTTCTATGTTGGCTGGATTATTGTCCAGTTTATCGTTGTGTACTTGTTTTTCCCCGAGGTAGGCTCTAGCCTGGTTACAACAAGTGGACGCCTGTTGACGCTTTCTAGACCAAAGGTCCTAGTTTGGAGCAAATCGCGCTGCTATTCGATGGTAAGGATGCTCAAATGGGCCGGGTCAATGTTGTGGCCGACGAGATGCTCGATGAGAAGGGCGGAATTGCGTTCCGCACAAAGGGACAACAGTAGAGATGCTAGAGTTGCTTCTAGGTTTTCACTACAGACCCAGTCCACATGCGCAACTGTAACAATTTTGAAAGTGTAAAGATGGAAGCCGCTTACAGATATCGGCATGAAACTTGAATATGACTACGCACTACAGTCAGGTCTTTAGAACTCTTCTTGTAAGCTTCGTGGCGGAGCTATTCGCCAAGGAGGTTAGTTGATCGCCCGCTCTCGGCGAGAGGTTGCAGCACAAGCTTCGGCGGTCAAACTTCACCTCGCAGACTCTGTAAAGACTTGTAACCTGTGGATACATACAATAAGGAGGTATGGTTTCCTCTAGCCAAGACCCAGCGGGCGTGTGATCCACGTGGAGAATCGGGCTCCCACATAATTTCAACCAGTCTGCATTCGGGACTAATCGCGTGATGATTCAGATGCGGCCTGAACGTCCAACATCCTTCGCCCAGCCTCCAATCGCAACCAGGCGCCGCGACCCCTGAAAACGGGCGACAGACACACAGATCTCCGTCACTTAGATCTGCTGTACCATGTGTTTGGGTTGTCTATTCTAAATCTAGAGCAAGCTGATCTTAGAGTACTGAAAGTATGCAGGCCAGTCGGGAATGGCGTAGGCCATGACGCCCAGAAAAACACTCCCGTGATACGACATTTTCTGGACTGGATTCAAAGTGCTGTTGAGGGAAGATAATAATGGCTTTCTGAGAGATAGAAACCTTCATTATCACCACAAAGCCTCTTCAAGAATCACTCATCATAATCTGATAGCTCAGTAATTGCCCTCTTCGACAGCAAGAAGCTGACTGATTTGGCAGTCCCCTCGGGGATTTCACGGCCTTTCAAAGTCCGATGTCCAGTCATCTGTTTCTTTTGACTCAACGAGAACGAAAGCGGAGCTAAACTACCACATCTCGAAACCGCGTTTAAAACTTTATTGTCTAAATTTCTGACGTCAGAATCTACGGGAGGAGCTTCCCTTGTTTACCAAACGCCAAGAGTTTCATGTCGCAGCTGTCAGCGGTCAAATGGGAACCCTATCCTTGACCCCAGATAGAGTTGCCAGGCCTCATCTAGGAACCCTGGGCTGTTTGCTGAGGTGGATTCATGGGGTAACGAAAATCAGACTACAAATGGAGTGATATTTCATAGGGGACGACTTGCGGATCGTTATTCCCGTCATCTCAACTGTCCAAAAAAGGCTGACTTTGAGGAGATTCCCAATTGCAGCCAACACGGCGAAGTGGAGGTCGGCGATTACAGACTGACTTTCTGTCACTGATCCCAATACGGATTGTCTCCTCAGCTCTCGGGTCGATCGGTTAGCTCCGCGATCTCAGCTGAGATGGTTGCAGAGTGCGCAAGGGATCACCTTTGGCCTTTTTCTTTTCCCTTAGCTAGAGACAGCTGAGTAGACAGGAAGAAGACGTGCATTGTTCAGCTGCGAATAAATTGTTACATTTGATGTTACTGTACTGTACAGTTTTAAGTCATATCTGGGTATATCATAGTAGCCCTGTGAGCTGTAGTGAGACCAGCTGGCTAAGGCCTGAACACGTGTACCTCATGTAGTCGTCTAATAAGCGTAATCATCTCCCAGCGAAAATGCTGGATGTAGTCAAACTCCATTGGGTCTTTAACCTCAGTCCTTCCCTAAAGTTGTAGAAGATCCAGCACTGTAGCTGCTTGCATCACTCAACTTCCTAGCCGCAAGCTTCGGCCGAGATGGCGGCGCTAGCGTGTTGACCTCGATGGAAACTGTTGTGGTAGTCTCGCACTGAATCGCCATGCCCATGATAGAACCTTCTCCCATCCCGAAGCCTTTCATGGTTTCTGTACTTTCGGCACCGTCGACTTTGAGTGCCTTCAGACCGCCTGACTTTGGGCCCTTGCGGGCAACCTTCTCGCACCACTTATTGTATCGCTTCAGCCGTTTCTGTTCGGGAGTCGGGCCTCCCATGACGATCGTTGTGTTGCCAAACTTGGGAGGCGTGCCGCACATGAATGAGAACGTCTCCAAGCCAACCTCTTGTGACGGCGGCCCTTCACAAGAGAAGACGATGGATCGTCTGGTTGAAGAGTAAAGGACAACATCCATCCAGCCGTTACAAGCAATCATAGCTCCAGCGAAGCAAAAGTATCCTAGGGACACATCATGACCTGTCATGGAGGCGAGGCGACCGGCGGCCAAAGGGATGGTGCAGACCACATAAACTAGAGGGTATAAGAGGAAGGTGTGTTGTCGAGCGTAATCTGGAATGCCAGGAAGTCGTCTCAGAATCGTCGTCAAACACATCGGACGCCAGAAGACGCTCGATGCTGTGCTGCGATTATCACAACTTGACGTGGTGCCTGAACTTGCTCCGCTGCAAGTTGATGGGCTTGATGCTGCCCCTGAGCGTCCGCAGCAAGGAATGACCCCGCCACTTTGCCGAGCTAGGTTCTGTAGATGAAGAAATATTATGAAGTAAATTAAAGTCGTAAGAACCAGTGAAATGAAGATCCAAAGATAATGAAGCGTCAACCGGACGTCCTGGTATTTGGAGTTGATCCAACACTGGTGCGTGTTAATTATGTGCCTCACTGACCATGAACAAGACTGACTCACCCAAGCACCGGCTCTTACATAGAGGCCGCCCTCACTCTTCCCGTTTTCTGTAATAATTACGCCGAGGATCCCTGTTCCGTAAACGAAGCCCCACATCATGATAATTGCTGTGTGAAAGGCCCAAGTCGGTATTTTTTTAGTCGAGACGATTGACATGTAGGTGTGGATCGCAATACCCGTGATGAAGACGGAAGAAGCCAAGTCGCCGGTCGACACAAACCATCCTTGAGTCCAACAAGTGCCTGTGCCCACTTCAATGGCGTTTCTCGTCAGCCACTCCACATTGAGTAGGAAGGCCAGCGCCTGCTGGATGTCGGCGAGAAGCAAGTTGAATATCAAAACGAGAAACTGATTCGGCGGCTCATTGATAGCTCTTTGCCACCACGTTTCCTTCTTCTTCTTTGCGGATTCTTCTTCAGTTGCCGCAGTCCAGTTACTTGGAATGATGAACGCCGCGTCTGTCGGTTTCGGCGACTCCACCTTGATAATGAGATCCTCCTTCTTCGGAGTCGGTGGGCCATTTTGCCATTGGATCAGTTTGTATGTGAGAAACGTCAATAACCCCAGGCTGGTGAAGAAGGACAGAAATCCCATCGTTGCCACCGCGGCGAGGCCATGGCGGAGAACTGGTGGCAACGGACGGACCGAGTACGGCGAGCTATCCGAATCGTAGTGGTCTACTATATCTTCCGACTCGTTCATCTCCGCAATGTTGATGGGTTCGACGACGTTTTGCAGCTGCGTATGGATGTCATCAAGATAACAATGACGGGGTGTCTTTTGGTATTATACCATCCCACAGAGCCTCCAAAACCCAATGTCGGGGGGGCATGGTCCAGAAAGTCCAGACCAGGGACTGTCTCTAGCTTAAAAGAGAACCCACCCTAGCCTCAACATCAGCCGTCAAACGGCAAATCTAAAAGACCATCTGACAATGCTTTGCCAGTGCCAAGAACCGTTATCCCAGCCGGATGGAGAAAATAATCCGAGTCATAGAAACGACTCAGCCCGTTTGCCATGAGGGGGTGGGTAGCGAGCGTTTCTTTCCATTTCGGATTTACTCGGGAAACAATCAACTGTTCTCCGAGGCAAGTTGGATCAATACGCGCGCGCGCCGCGCTATGGTAAACACCTGATCTCTCATAAGATTTCACGATTAGAGTTTGCCATGTGTGTGTACCGCCATCGAGCTCTTGTAGTCGCTCTGTGAGCGAAAGAGAAGTGTGCATGTTCCATCCCCGTTCCAAATCGTTCCAGGCTAAAGTATGTCTTCGACTGGACGGACTCTCGTGGGCTTCGGCGTCCCGCGGACCGGGATGACTCAAGCCTCTCTTTCTCCCTGCCTGTCTGAGTGCGTCTCTGAAGCACGATCCTCATGGGTCAGGGGTTGATAACTCGGAGAATTTTGATTGGCTCATCGACATGCCTTTTTCAACCTACAATTGTCCGAGCACGACGTGATGCCACGAGTTGAGCCTTGGTGTGGACGTGCGTCTCCCGCAAGCCGTAATCATTTCCGCCCCCAATTCCGCCTTTTCGAGTGAGGCACCGTGAACGGCTGGACTCTGCCAAGGTGACCCTGACTGAGGTTGAGCAGATGGTGAATCGGCAGAAAGAAAAACTGCTCCTTGCAGTGGGGCCTTGATGTACGCGAGCTGCGGCAGTGGTCAGTAAACACCCCATCCCTCCGGAATTGTGGTTAGGTGTTCGCCCCGGAACTCATAATCCTCCCCGAGATGGACTTTTTAGGCCGAGATCCACCTAGTCGGGCATTTTTCACAGCCGCCAAGACGGTTCCGCGCCCATCAATCTGGGGAAATCCACTTATTGTCATCACCGATATGTCTAGTGCAGCGAGGCCGGTGGGGGCTGAATCTGTCATGTATGCTAAGAACCACAGGATCTTATGAAACTCGAGATCGTACAAAAGGCCATGACAAGTCAAACTCAACACTGCTTTCAAATCAGCGTCAGCATCGTGTGCCCACGTGGTGGTATTGAACTTTGGCAAAGATTCGGAAAGCTTCCGACGATGGTGAAGTTCTTGCAACGTGGTAATCAAGATGTCCGGATTTTCATTGGATCGCAAACAAGGAATCAGCATAAGTCAAGTTTGGGTAACTGACCGAACGTTCTGGCCTATCTATCGGTCGGTTTCCTCATCTCATCTATTTACCAAACTTCAAACAGCATGCTGAATGCAAGATGCAAACTGTACTATTATTGCACGCTGTGCTGTGTTATGGGGAGCCAACGTCTCGCTTTCGGATGGTGCCTTACCGATGGGCACTACGTTGCGCGTGATTAGCCACGGAGTGCTCTCCGTTCATCTTCCCGTTCATCCCAGAGTCTTACCGTTACTCGTGCCGTCTGCGAAGAAAGGCAACGTCGTTACGACTACATTCCAAGCCGACGCGCACGGTCAAGGATCATTCCATGTTAGTAGTACAGCCGCACGAATGGGAGACATTCCTTGCCCCGTTTTACATGACTCTTTTCAGCCTTGAATTTACCCCCCTTGGGCCTTAGATCTGATCAGTGACTGCCATCGAGCTTTGGACGAGAGGAATGAGGCCATGTTGAGTTGTTACGAGAAACGTGTTAGGAGTACAGTCCGAGATCCTAATGTCGCGTTTCTGGACATTGCCATTTTCTCATCTTTCCCATTGCCGAGCGCCCTCGCTGGGCGGTATCCGCGGCCACTCTACGTGTCGGCGGTACCGTGCTCTGACTTTTTCTCTGCAGCATCTAGGCTACAGCACTGACCGTCCTGTCCAAGCAACACTCACCTACTTCGGAGCCGAACCGTTGGATATTAGCTTACAATTCTTCTTTTGGCTTAATTACGCTCGTTTGGAACTGCGAGGAGGCGAACATCTCGCACTTTTATCGGATCGGACACAACCCCTTGCATTCGAAGACGTGTCAGTCGCGCTGAAGTGGCAAACCACGCTTTTCTGCAACCTTCCGATGTGTTCTCGAACCGCTAATACCAAGTGGCCTAAATACATGCAACATCGCGACAAGCCTACGCACGGCTGAGTATCCACGTCCTTCTCGTCGTTAGGGGTACCCACAGCTTTCCTACCGAGTCATGTGTCTTCGAAAACACATGTAGCTGATCAAGGTGCAAAGAATAAATGTTGGATCAATAGTGTATCCCAAGAAACAGCCAAGCCAGACCATAGACGTGACTATACCTCGGATATCAGCGTGCACCCTAGTCTTGTCTTTGTGAGTGCACGAACTCTGTGTCATCTATGCTGGACTTGAGTTCTTCGAACTTCACGAGGCTGACACAGTTGCATGCGACCTTACATAGTGAGTAAGCGCGGCATCCAAAGTATGTCAGTCACTTGCATAAAGGTCTTTCCCTTCAGGACTCAGGAACCAAATTCAGTATACAAGTTATATTTGTTTCCTGGACGACATGCTAGGAAGAAGCCACAAATTTCTTGACGAGACTTCCTTTGATAAACGTTGCCTTAAAAAAGGCTTTTCCGAGAATTTATCCATTTCGGCTGTCACGGCACGTTCCGGCACGCCGCGGATGCCCCTATCACCAACTGCCGGCTCAGGCGTTGACATCATTTCTAACTGCCGTACTGCTTCTATCATGATTGGCTAGCGGGTATCATTACAATGACCGACGCGTGCTCTGACCTATGGAGAATTGTATCAAGGCTCCGCTCAAGCTGTCCGCTCTCCTTGCGGAGTTTGAAACATGCTAAACTAGATGAGGTACTCGCATAGATGGCAGCGGAGTCCATGGATGATAGCACAGGTCTTCCAGCGGAATAGCGAAATAAAACTCGGATGTCAGGTAAGCCAGCTGGGCAGCTGATCTAGATTACATCCCCGGGAACAGGGAACACAATCACTAAAGCGTGCAGCATAGCTGGCTGATAATGAGCGTAGCTGTTTCCGCTTTTTTAACAGCCGGTAGTCGCATAGCGTTTCCACCCCTTCTTAGTTACAAGCACATACCACTTTAGGAGGCAGACGAAAATTGTGATAGTACATGCATGCGAGGAAATTTTTCCCCGGCCACGGCGTAGCTGGACTTGAATGATGTTTTCTCAAAGCTTGACCACCTTACTCAATCATTTAGCCCATCTTTTCGAGAAGCCTCGGTAATTCTGGGAATCTCACTGTCAATGACTCAACGTCCACAACATGACCGCCAAGGGCTTCATATCGTAGTGATATCGCGCTGCAAAGGTCGTGCCTGGCCATCAGCTAGTAGCCTGGTTTCGCTTAGTCTTGCCAAGACATCAAAAGCACTTAGCCACAATTGCCATTATTCAGACATTTCGATGGCGTGTGACGTGACCATATCAGGGAACTCAAAGGGTGGCTCCCACCGGCTGTCTCGGGTGTGAGTAGCATCCTAATGCAGACACGTAATTCTAGACGATAAGGTTTAGAGGATAAGAATAATGTCAACATGGAGCCTTTGTTACCGGGGTAATTGTGGCCATCCTAGGTCGGCCGAGCAATAACCTGCCCTCGGCTGAGCAAGGTAGAAGTCATGCCGAGGACTTCAGGGAACCAAGAAGATTGACTTGTGAATATCTTCGCCCACCGGCACTTTGCCAAGCCTAGCAGTAGCACTTGTGTTCACTAATCAGCACACATCAGTCATGAAAGCTATTCGATATCAGGTTACGTGTGCGAACCAATGTCAATTGTCGAAAACCTTGAACTAAATCTTTGTTATGTCGCTTTTTAGTAAGAAGCTTTTTGAGGATGGTAAGTAGGTGCTGGCTATTGTTGTTGAATGCCAATCGAAACTCAGAGAGCCTATTATCCGGGCAAGTTAGGTTAGTAGGCCGCACTGCATGTGGTCTCATTCGATCTCTGACTGGTCAACTCGACTACCACAGAAGGACACTAGGTAGACGACACGTCTGACGCCGGAAATGTTACTCACTTACTTTCTTCTGCAAGTGGTATAACAAATACTCAAATAACAGCCAGCAAAAATTACTCCAAGATGGGTTCCTGTATAGCAGACGTATAGATATGACTATTCATCCAAGGATTGGATGCCAGAGAAGTTCTCAACATGTCCAGACTTAAGTCAATCGTACAGGAAGAAGGTCTAGGTAAAATAAGGAATCACCACATCGAATCCCGTCAGAACATGGACTTACTTCACATGTTTGTTCTGACCGCCACGGTTCCTTCTATTCCCTGGAAATATGTGACTCGTAAGGTAGTCCGAGGTCACGTCGCCCTAGAGTGCGATAGCTCCTTAGACAAACACGTACATTACTAATTCTTAAGTCTTAGTGCACAAATTACGGAATTCAACACAAGAAGCAAAGATCTTACAGCCTGGTATCATATTTCAGTCACCGAAATTACCAAGCACTTTCCATGGCTCATGTAATTTGGTCTGCTGTAGACAGCTCGACTGAAGGGTGAGAATATGATCGCATTGTCATGCGGTGCTGTTACCTGAGTTGTCTCTGGTTCATTCTGGCCACTCTTCGCCCAGTCTTGTTATTCACGGACTCGATCAATCCAATCGGAATCATCAGTATCATTGAGTAGCCAGTGAGCCACTATTCGCCTACTTACCTAGAGAACTTGCTAACGAGGCTTAGAAACCGTATCCTTTGTGACGTGGCATAGCATTGGGTCGGCAACGCCTTGGTTCCAGACCTCGATGATGATGACGTTGAAACATCGACCCAGGGCGGTTGTGCCAAAGTTCCAGAGTCTGAGAATAGAACTCCGACTGCTGGTCGCCTATTCTGGCGTCCGAAAGTCCCGCGCCCCGGGCAGTGCGAGGGCGGGTACAACTTGACATGACGCAGTCGTCAGCATCGTGCTGCGGTTCAGCCACTCGCTAAGAGTTTAGCCTCTTGGCAATGTTCCTTCTGCAGGCCCAAATACCATCAAGTACCTATAACGTAACACAAAACAACAAGAGCTCCCCTCGGAGGAAATTCAAGAATTCATACATGATTCTCCGTGCATTTGAGAGTTTCTCCCGACCGAGCCTTTTCAGCAGAAGTGCAGGCGTAGGTAGGCTTAAGTGACGAAAACCACGTGATAATCCGGAAAATATCCCCTGCTTCAGCTTTTGGAGTATGCTAATTACCTTTTCTACTCGAGAGCTGGTACCTGCAATTTTCGCGCCATAGCAAAACCAATGCTTCGAATATGTTCGTTCTGATACATTGAAAGCCTTGAAACATCTGCTATTTCTCTTTTCTGGCTTCAAGCTCAGTTTGCAGCTCATGCCACCAGACGGCTTCCCGATTTTACGAGATCGACCAAGGCATAGCCCGCAGGAAGTTACGTGGACAATAATGTGGCTCAATGCATATTTGCCAATCAGGATGGGGTGGACAGATGCGACTAGCACCAACGCAGCTAAGAGAATACGAGAGTAGCAGTATACACACTGCCAGGGCGAGATGTGCCTGCCTGGCAGGCTGACTAGCATCATGATCCTACATGGGCCAAACATCGGTGACATCTGTTATTTGGTTGCGGCCATCAGTGATGGAAGTACTTTGGCTAAGTTGAATGTCTCAGCTGGATAATGGGTCGCTCAGATTGAGGATCTCAGAATTTATTGAAATACCATCTGTTGCCTCGACTTCTCAGACGACTTGTCATTGTAGATACACGAGCCAGCGGCTGCTCAGATTGTCATATCCTTCAGATCCCTCGGCATCGGTCAAGAGAATAAGCTTTGATTGAACGCCGATTACATTCTTCACGATGTTTTTTTCTCTTCTCATAGCTGGGTCCGTCTTCGGCCTCAGCCAAGCAGTCTCTCTACCCTTGACGACAAGAAGTACAAACTCAACCAACGCCTTCAGCTGGATCGACACGAAACCAACTAAAGACCTACACTACTATGACTGTGGTGACGGCTTCCAGTGTGCCCGACTAGAAGTCCCCCTCGACTGGTCAAACCCAACCAAAAACAGCACTGCGTCCATCGGCATCGTCAAACTTCCAGCTACCGTTCCGAACGACGACCCATCGTTTGCCGGCAGTATTCTCATCAACCCCGGCGGGCCGAGTGGTTCTGGGACTGGGTTCGCTTACTCCTTTGCTCCTATATTGCAAAAGGTCCTCGGCCGGGACCGCAACTATGAGATCATTGGGTTTGATCCCCGTGGTGTCAACACCAGCACGCCTCGCGCCGACTGCTTCAAAGGAGACCAATTCGCCCGCAGGCTTTCCCAGGAACGTGACTTCATTTTGCCCCCTATCGATGACGCCCTTGGCTATCACTGGGCCGATGCTACTGCCCAGAGTGCCCTCTGCGAGGAGAATGGTGTTGATAGCATCTGGGGCCATATGAACACTGCGTCCGTGGCCCGTGACATGGTGGAGATTATTGATCGCATTGACGACCTACGCTGGAAGGAGTCAGGGAAGACCAAGCCCAAGGATGCCGAGGTAGCTCGTCTGCAGTACATTGGTATTTCATATGGAACCTACCTGGGCAATACCTTTGCTTCAATGTTCCCTGAGCGTATTGGTAGGATATGGATTGATGCTGTCGTTGATGGCGATGACTGGGCAGCTGGTGTAAGTCTTACGTACGTCTTGAGGGTTCATCCCGATGCTAATCATATCCAACAGACCTTTCAAAACAACATCAATGACGTGGAGAAGATCGTGGACCAATTCTACGCGGTTTGCTTTGGATCGGGGGAAGATTGCCCACTTTTTGAGCCATCCGATAAGTCCGGCTCAGATATCAAAGCCCGAGTCGCCAACTTCCTCGATGAGATGGATAGCAACCCCATCTCTTTCGCCTACAACGACCGCCCGGCTGTCCTCGGTTCGCCAGTCATTCGCCAAGCGATTTTCTCCGCGATGTATACTCCGTTGGTCTCATTCGAACCACTTGCTCTGGGTCTCAGCGCGCTTTTGGAGGGCAACTCCTCCATTCTCGCAAACTTCCTAACCCCCGAGTCCATCAAACTTGTCTGCGACTTGGAGGATAATGACCTTCCCCAGTACAACTGGGACTCTGATGTCTTGTCTGGTGTTCTCTGCACCGACATTGTGGATGATTTGGTCAATCGCAACATCTCCTTCTACGAAAACCTGGTTAAGGAATTGAAGAACCAATCCGAGACCACTGGAACTGCCGTGACTGGCGCAGTCCCAATCTCCTGTGCCGGCCGCAAGATTCGCCCTCCTTACTCGTTCACGGGACCTTTCACCAGCCCTGCTGCAAATGCCAACGACTCCAAAGCCCCTGCTGCACGACTTTTGATCAATTCCAGCCGATACGATCCCATCACTCCTCTCCGGAACGCTCTGCATGTTCAAAGGGGCCATCCTGGATCGGCTGTGGTAATCCAGGAGACATCTGGACATGGCGCGACATCCAACCCAAGTCTTTGTCTCGTCAAAATTGTTCGGGAGTACTTTTACGAGGGCAAACTGCCCGAGAGTGGTACTGTCTGCGAGTCGGAATGCAAGCCGACGATTCCCGCCGATAAGGAGAACTGCACCTCTATTCTCAACTCTAGAGATGTAGAGTACATGTTGCCTCCTTTGGGAGACTTTCACTGGTTCTGATCGACAAACACCTTGTAATTCACCCATTCATATTTATTTAAACCTAATCCCAAGTTTGATATCCATCTCCGACAAGCATATGCAGAGAACTACTGTGCTATGAAATGACTCCCCACATGCCGCACTATGAAAGGCAAAGTTCGCGTGAGAGCTGCTCTTGCTCAGGAGGAACAGGTATTATAAGAAGAGAACCATAAAAAGTGAGGATATGGATGCCATTGAAACTGGGTGGGAGTATACATAGACTCAAGCCCCCCACAGCCACAAGAACGTCCAGGTCAGCCACTGTCGAGTCCATCGCCTAGCCAGCCTTGATGATCAAGGTATTCCGCCTATACCAGTAAACAAACAGGATTTAAACACCTCGTGCGCTGTAGTCCAGCGATTAGTATGGACCACTCAGCTGGGGACGGGGGGGTTCTACATGCCTCTGGTGAGACGGACCTCGACCCCTTGAGTTCGACTTCACGCTTGGGAGTTACCTTTTTTTGCGCATCAGTCGGTCGAAGAAGGTTTTGCTGACTAGATGGATTTAAATTGAAGACTTGGACCAATGCCGGACCCCATTTCTTGGCGACAAAAGTGAGTTTAGTATGGAGGGTAGACATAAGCATCAGCTTCGACAGACTGCTTCCCCCTGACCAGTGAACAGGGAGCATACTCCCAGTGTTCACATTTTAGACAATGAGGAAACTTTCTCAAATGCACCAAAACCACTCTCAGCCAATTTTCTATCCGACAGTCGAGGTGGCAGGGCAATAAACCTGCAAGGCTATAAACGGGGTGGCGCCCAGTCTTGGTGGTGCAGCTCTGTCAAAGGTACCGCCTTCCCAAAATATGTAATACTAACTTGACATCTTGAGACGGTCACGGTAATTTTGGAGAGCTCATAAGCTAAAGTCCTAACCCCTGGTATGGACAAGCATCTGGTCCGGGCACGAGAAGAAAAGTGTATATTAATAGACCATCTGACTTGCTATACGCCCATTAGGGGCGGCATCGCATATCGTATGCCCCGGAGGGCGCTCTGGTTGATCGGGGTCCTATGCCCCTGTCCCTGATGATGTTAAATACTACTACTACTACTACTATCACTACTACTACTACTACTACTGGTATGGACAAGCCCCCCTTTCATGATGTCCAAGGTAAGCTATAAGTCCATATCGGCTTGTCCGGGTTCCCAATGATCTCTTGGATCTAGACCACCATTCCACATCTCATTCAGGATCAAGTGTACAGAATCGGGAATGCTCTCCTTGTCCCAAAAGACATAACCCCAATCCTTCAAGGGAGTATCCGGTGTGCGTCCACCGGGACTATTACTATAAGTGCCGCCCCATAGCAAGACCCATCCAAACGGCGGACCGTTCTCTTTGTCCCCATCGAAGGGGAGTTCCCTACGATCCTTTTCGGCGATGTGGCGATCTGTGTCAACATCCTCATCCCATCGAGTGGTCTCCATAAATACCTCGTCGAGGCGATTGCCACCTCCACCAGAAAGTTGAAGGTTCATCATGGCAATTTCGTCGTCTGACTTTTCTTGCATGATAGTTCCTTGGAACTTGAGATTTCGGAGAGCGATGGATAGCTCACTCTGCATAGGTGGAAGGATTTCATCGTACTTCTTCATTGTGCGGAAGCGTTCCAGGCCACGCGATGCCACAGTCTCCACGAAGTACCAAAATGTGTCTAGTTGAAGATTAGGCCCCGGTCAGTAGTAAAAGAGACATCGTGGAAATTGCGTTTAGCTTACTTGTATTGGAGAGATCAGAGAATTCCGGCGTTGACAATTTGTGGAACTTGAGCTCTGCCGGCCGGTCGAAGCGATGAGGTCCATTATCGGCACGGTATGTGAGAAGCCGGGACAATCTGTTCCGGATTCGAACATAAATGCACGCCAGTTCTTCGATCTCCCAAGGCTCGAAGTGCTTGTTCAGGAAGCGCAGCATCTCGATATTCGTCGTCATCGGTAGCAGTTGGACGGCGCTACTCCCAACGCCGTAGCAACTACACCAGATCTCGAAATGGTAAAGCGCACGCAGCATGCGAACGTTTTCTGTGGTGCTCAATTTGTTACGGTGCCCCCCCTCCACCCGCATTGATCTCTTGTGACAATGGAATTCTTCGTAGAAGTCTGTCTTCAGAGGCTCCACAGTCGACGAGTAGAACCGTGCGATTCCAGCAAGGTCATCAACGGTACATGTAGCTCTAAAGCTCCTTGGATCGGACTGCAACCTTGAACATGTGTCCATGAATATCTCGAGCAGCTCAGTCGTCTTTTCACCACCTGACTCGCGTAGAAGGGCCAGCCGATGAACCGCAAACGCATCAACGAGGACGCGATGAGTGTGAAAGGTCTTTGATAGGTGGTGCAGTAGGGTTCCGCGCCTTGCTGCGAAATAACACCTATGCAACGAGGGCGAGGCATGGATGACTGCACTAAGGTCATGTAGGTTCGATAAATTGCGGAGGACTTGTAGATGAAGTTCCGCAGGTAGGCCCTCGAGGGTCAAGCGCTTAGCTATTCGTGGTTGGCTGGACGCGGACGCGCCCCGAACTGCAGCACACTCGGTCTGGTGTTTAACTCCATCGGGGTCTAGGCCGTGAGGTTGCCGCTTGCTCTTCATTGTTTTCAGGGAAGCGACTGATCTTCGTCAAAACTTGTTGGAGCCTTGCCATCCGTGTTTAATTGCTCTCCCTTGGCTGCTCGACCGTCGTAAAGATGGCATCGATTGGCTCCGACGGCACTGTATATGGCCTGTAGTTGAATGAGGGGAAAGTTCGAAGCTCATTCGAAATTGCGCTCAGACCAGTAAACCAGGGCCTTGAGCTAAGTCGCCACAGGCCACTAGGCCCGCAAGTCTCCAGCATTCGTATTTTGACAGCCCATCTTTGTTACCTCTACCTTACCTTATCTAGGCTAACGACTACGCGCTTTCTGAGTAACGATAAGGATTTCTTACCTCAACAACTGAGACAAAATCGTTGCAAAGTGTTCCGAAGTGCTAACCTGGCCTTGGACGTGTAACTCTTCCGTTTTCCCGGCTTTTAATGGATACCTTGAGCTTTGAATGAAGATTCCCGCCCTGCCCATAGAACTCAACCCGACAGTCCGGATGATGCAGAAATGAGACGCTAATGGCATCCTCTCTCCCTGTATCTTCGAGCGGTCACGTTTCACTAACTCCAGCGACCACTGCGAATGATAATACTGCGCTAATTAAGTGTTCTCACACTCCGTCGCCGCAAGGAGGCGGCGCAGAATCAATGCCAAGAATCATGTCAACAGACACGCATATCAATCAACAGTGTCGAGGATCACAGCGAACCCAGCGTCGCGTCAATCTCTTCGAGATCGGCGGTCAAATTTAGTTTTCTTATTTTTCTCAAACCAGGTTGCGGTTTCGGCCGCATGCTCAGTCGAGACGTATCCAAAGCTTCGGGCTGCCTTGGCGCGCGCTTACGTTGGCCTACATCGGCATTGCGACGATTGACCGTTCTTAGAAATACTTCGACTCCGGCTAGCAAGATTCCTACGTATCCTACGATACTTCCTTCTGCCCGCATCGTCAAACTATTATTTCCATGCTTGTGATCGAATCACGGTTCTTAGACCATGTTTTGCTACCAAATATTTCGCAAGTGATATATCGAACAAAAGTTGAGTCTGGTTACTAGTAGTTTAACTAATAAGCATCACGGATGTCCCTGTCGACTGAACATGCGATATACATCATGGAAGTACCCCGCTCAACTATAATAAATCCCAATGAACGTTTATTTTACTACTTGTCTTTGAGATACCGCGGGCATCAACAGTCATAGAATCACCTTGTTCTTGGTGAATCCGTTACGGCGACAGCTTGATAATCACGCTTGGCGCATCTTGTAGGTTTGCGGAGATACTTTAGCACTGGTCCGCTGGATGCATTAAGCATTACCGCTGTACTTGGGGGCCATCTTACCATGTCAAGCACTGACATGATGCCTGTCAGGTTTTCCACTCATCAGTAGAAAACATTGTGTCAATGCACGAGCATCATCTCGATTTTTCGACATCATGTCATTTTCATCACATCGTAGTACTTCACCATTGACGCGCCCGACAGTTCGGGTGATACAGGAGATTAAAAGACATATTGCGGTTTGCCAGTCCAAGTAAATCTGTTCAGGTCTTCTACCTTCAGTGACAGATGAATGGCAGCGCTTGGTATCCGTGTTGGTTCCAACGAGCTTATCATGCGGGAGAGTGGCGCTGAGGGCCTTCATCAGGCAACCCCATTCCCATGTCGATTCTGCTACCAACAGCGTTGGACGCGCCGTAAAGGCTAAGGCACCGAGAACCGAGGACCAATTGGAGTTTCATATCCGCTACACTGAGACCCCGTGTAAACGCTGGGCTGGTTTCGATGCATCGCCAACCACCACCCTCAACGCTTCGCATAGCCGCGCGTTTCGACTTGCCATAAAATACTTGCCAATTGCTAGGAGGAAAATCACCGACAATAGAAGAGATGTTGTTCTCATAAATTGACTCATCGCATTCGCTTTAAGTCATGTGGTTATCAATACTAATGAATATTTCGAGACATACCTCTCACCCAAAGCAAAGCTGCGAGCAGCTCTACACAATCGTTGCCTTGTTTATCGTCTACCTCAAAATCAAGCTCGCGCTCCACAAGTTCTCTCCTTCATTCTGTTTAAATATCATGATCAGTCTTCTGCAGCCATTAGACTTGTTGAAAGAGGATGCGGCAATGCACGACAATGGTCCGGCGCCGGTTCCGCCTACATCTCTAGCATCGAAGCCTCCGTCCAGCCCTGCCACGAATCTTCACGCCATTGTGCTCGCTCTTCGGGCCATTACAGTTCTAAAGACGGCTAGCACTTCAGCAACTACTCGAGTCGCAAAGATAACCCCTATCAGAGCAGCCAGCTCCTCGGCTGTATCTCACGCAACGGTTCATCCAGGTACTTAAGCTCCGCATTGACTTCTCATCTATGCCCAACATGAAGACTAACACGTAGTCGAAACTAAGTGTATCAACCTGTACCTCTTCGCTGTAACGAGTTCCGCATCCTTCACGTGGAGCCAGCTACCTCTTTCTCGTCGCAAATTGTTGCTAGGCTCTCTGTAGTTGCTTACGATCCCAAATCCAAGGAAGTCTCGGCTCCTTACGACGCTCTCTCTTATAGATGGGGAGACCCCAACGACACTGTTGAGATTGTTGTCAATGACGCCGAGTTAAAGGTGACAAGGAATTTGTCCATCACTCTTCAAAATCTTCGTCACCAGAACCACGAACTCGTCATTTGGACTGACGCTATCTGCATTAATCAGATGGACATAGAGGAGCGACAGGTCCAAGTGAGTCTGATGGGCGTCATCTACCCAAAGGCAGACTGTGTACAGATATGGCTTGGCGAAGCTAGCCTCGATACTGAAGCGGGTATGGACCTCGCTAATAGCTGTGGCAACAAAGACACCGAAGAAGTCGTGAAAAAGATCTGCGCCGATGATCGTGGGTCGGCTGGATTGACCGAGCTACTTGAACGGCCATACTGGAGCAGGATCTGGATGTTCCAAGAAATCCTCCTTTCAGGAAAGGCACAGGTTCAGTGTGGCCAATTCAGCACACCTTTCGGTCACCTCAAGTACCTGGATATGGTGACCTCCCAGTCATCCCTGTGGAGAGACCGGAAGAACCCTCCAGGCTGGACCATCCGACTTCGTAAAGCGTTCTTCAACACGGCACAGTTCACCATCAGTCCGAGAGCTCTCAACAACTTGGAGCGCATTCTCGTTCTTACGAGGCCATTACAAGCGACCGAGGCGCGCGACAAGCTCTTCGCCCTCATGGGTACGTGCGATATGGCTCCGTATCTGTCCGTCGACTACAGTAAGTCGCTACGCGATATTTACGTCGAGTTCGCCAGACACTACGCTCAGAAAACGGGAAGCCTGGCCTTGTTTCTCCTGGCCGGGTCTCAAAACCCAGATGACCAACCTGATATCGGTCTCCCTTCATGGACTCCAGACTTTCGTTCTTCAACAGGTGTGGATATATACACGGGGTACGGGATTGAAAACGCAGGCACCTTCAATGCCACCAAAGGGAAGCGCTACATGGAAGCGTACTTGAAGGGGCATACAGCGGGGGATGCCGATGGGGTATTCGTAGCCGAAGGATTCCTTTTGGATACGATTCAGACCACGGTTCCAGTCCTGAAAGATGCGCAGACTCCGAAGCAATTGCTTTCGGTTCTGCGATTTGGACAGCTTGATCATCACCTTGGTTTTTCAGGCAAACCTCAGATCGAATCGCTGTTCGAGAGTCTCATATTCGACACTAATGGGTACACTGGAGAGGACTCGGAAGCTCGAATCGCCACAAAGCAACATCAACGTTTGAACCATATGCTTGGCTTTATGCGAGACTTGGAAACACACATGGGCAACGAACTCCCTAGGAAGCAAGACGGAAATGTCGACTTCAACACACTTTTCGGTTCCAAAGGAGGCAGCGATTTACCCTACGTCGCTTTCTACGAATCGATCAAGAGGACCGATCCGTCTCAGCTCGACGTTTATTACAAATCGTTCATGAAGGAATTCTTGTTGAAGTCAGGACGAGCCTCGAGCATGTTTGTCTCTGACGACAACAAGATTGGACGGTGCAACGTCGTTGCACAACCTGGCGATGTCATTGCCTTATTGTTTGGTTGCCCCTTTCCAGTGGTTTTGAGAAGACAAGAGCTGGGATTTGAGTTTATCGGTGCTTGTTACATCAGTGGCATGATGTATGGGGAGTTGATGAATGAAAAGAGTACTAGTAGTCACTTGACGACTCAAGACATCCCATTGATATAGGTGGGGAGAGGCATGAGTATTGCAGCGGGATCATAATATAACTGTGATTATCTCTCTATTCTTGGGATGTTAGGGGGCACCTGTTGGAGGTTCAGGGTAACCTATATGTATTTTAGCGGTCTGTCGTGAATAGTTCTATTATGACTAATTTCTCACTTCACAAGAGGTCTTGTTGTTATTCTGAGTCTGCTTTTCTTCATCTTGTTCTGGGCCAACTCCCATACGTCTTTGGAAGGGAGGAGAATACCTTCAAGTTTAGTCGCATAATTGAACCCAATTATGATGTTGATGAGATTGGTGATAAATGTGGCCGAGAATAATCGAATGTTGCGGGTTGGCACCTTATTTTACCACAAATTCGTCGTTTCCAATAGATGCCAGTATCTTTCCCCAGCTCAGCCCGCAAACTTCAATCGGGCCCCGGGCCGCTGCACAACTCATCTCAAATGAATCACCTGATAGGCTGTTTCTCACCTGTTGCACTAAGCCAAGATATTTGGTTGGTGTTTGGCTACTAATGTGGCCTGTGGAATGGTAGCCAGTCAAGTCAGCCCCTTCCTTAGCTTGGATTAATTGCGCGCGCTTACAAGGCGGGGCTTTGAGACCGCCCATCAAACCGATCCTTCAAGCATGGTACATAAAGTGTCTTAAATTAAAGTCAACTAGAACCCTCTGTTTATTGAACTTAACCCAGCTCAACATCAATATTCTTTCAACCATTCAGTCCGGAACTCATGTTAACACAACGTCACAAAGACCGAAGCGTTTTCTACAAAGCTCGTCACAATGTGTTGGAAACCGTCGATGGTCCACCGCGAATGCCAGTGTGTCTACGATGAAATGGGCGTTAGATATTGTGATGAACGCGAGCAGCAGGACCACGTCATCGAGCTGAGACAATGGCCGGTAGACATGCCATGTCAAACACATCGAAGTGACAAATGGGTTCCATTCAGCACGTCTTTCTTCGACCGAGCAAGCGAGTTTGAGAATGAGAGCTACTTGGACAGTTGTGACGGTGATTCTACATCGGACGACTCGAGTTGTAAGACCGGTGAGGTGGCACATCACATGGAAGTCTCGAGGGGTGAGGTAGCACTTGAGGCTCGGCAAGTCGACAAATTGGTTGACGAGACCGAAGCGGTACTCATGAATCATAAAGTAATTCCAGGTATGTGGTAGAGAGGTGTATTAACATTAAGACCGTCTTAGCCCTAATTCCTTGTGCACCTAGGTAAAGAGATGCAGGTCGATATCACAGGCGAATTTCTCTTGGATAAAATATTTGAAATGGAGTACTTGACAATTTCTTGGGATTTGTTTGTTTGAATGCTGTCAAGCTGCTCCCTAGAACTCTCCGACACTGAAAGCACACATTTTCTTCCCTTTCCATACTGTGTCAAGGATGTCGCCGATGGAGTAGGCGCGACGAATAAGATGGCAATCCTCCTGCAAAAGTTATGTATTGCTCAACGTACAAGTTTTCGCCGCTCTATTTCCATCCGATGCAGTGCACGAACCAGGCTCCAAGACGTCGACAGGGCGTCCGGCACCGGAAAATTGAGGGCAGTGTACTGATTTGCTGCATCAAACTGCAACCTTCTGCATGCCACGGGCGAAACTGCATGAATTCGGTGGGACCAGCTTTCGGAAGGCTTGCAGCTAGAGCCCCTTGACAGGTGTGATCTTCCATTCAAATCTGCGTATTCCAAAGCTCAAGCCTCAAAACGACTTTCTCGTCGGTGTGCGCGAGTTCAGTCCTACATGACTCCTTGACTCCAGCGATGTGTTATCGAATTTTATAACTCTACTCAGCTTGTCGCTGTTTGTATTATCAGCATTCTATCGACAAGTGCCCTTCCCACGGCCGACCAGAACATGTGGTTCAGATTCGTACAATCCTCGTTGGATACGCATGCCATTCTCACACCTCATACCCCGACGTCAACGCAAGCCACAACGCCCCTTCAACCAGCAGGGAGAACTACGAGAGTTTCACTGAGTCAAACTTCATAGGAGGGTACTTTCAGCGAGCGACCGAGTTAGGATGCCCGAGCCACCACTTGACTGTGGCCGCGGGGCAAAAATTGGGCCTCAACCAGCTCCCAAACAACATCGAAAGTGTCCAGAACCCCAAAATTACCTTTCATCCTGGCAAGTCCTCACCTTTCTTCTATTTTCTTCATGTGCTCCTGAGCACTCAATGAATTCCGGTCGCTGACTGTGGCAGAGTTTATGAGTCCCTTCCCCTTAAGTCCAATCAATTGCGCCTCATGAAGATTCGTCCTGCTACCTCGATCGATGAACAGATTACCGCCTCTCTTCATGTTGGGCTGTTTGATGATGTTTCGTTTATCTATGATGCACTGTCATACACTTGGGACGACCCTACAGATAATGGTATAATCCTTGTTAACGGATTTCCTATGAACGTTACAAGGGTCTGCTGGCAGGTTTGAAGCACCTTCGCCTACGCGACGAGGAGGTTTCCATATGGGTTGATAGCATATGCATCAACCAAGGTAACGTGTCTGAACGAAACGCACAGGTGGCGCGAATGGGTTCCATCTATAGGTGGGCAAATCATGTCAGAATCTGGCTGGGTGAAGCATCTCCCGACTCCGCTATGGCAATGGAACTTGTCAACGACTGCGCAAGGATAGAGAGCCCTCAACACATCATCAAACGAATTACCAGGGAAGATAGTAGCGCTCAGGCATTGATAACGTTGCTGAGGAGACCTTACTGGAGTCGAATGTGGGTTTTCCAGGAGATTGTGTTGTCAAAAAGAGCGACTGTCCATTGCGGTGCCTTTCAAGCGGAATGGTCTGCCTTCAAACGCCTGGACAGACTCTCTGCTCACACTCAAGATTGGGCTAAGCTTCAAGGCCGGGAAACCTGGGTGCTCGAGCTCCGGAAAGCCTTATTCGGCATCGCTCAGTTCTGTATCACAAAGAAACAAGCTCGCCTTGTAACCAATATATTGCAGCCAACGCGAAGACTGCAATCAAAGGATCCCAGAGATAAGATATTTGCTCTGCTGGGTGTCTGCGATCGAGATTCCTTCCTATCGCCTGACTATACAATGTCTACTCGCGACTTGTATATCGCCTCCACCAGAAATCTCATTGAACAAAATCAAGATCTGTCCATCTTGCTCACCTCTGGGCTTTGGAGTCCGGAGAATGGAGAGAACATCGATCTCCCCTCTTGGGTTCCTGACTTTCGAGGTGCTAGTGGTATCGACATCCAGTACATGGCAGCCAGCTACTTGAACTACTTCAATGCAGCTCGAGGGACGCATTTCTCTCTGCCGCTGCAGGCGAAGATTTTCGCACCCTGCCATGATATTCTTGAAACCGAAGGCATCTTGTTGAACCCAGTATCAAAGAACGTTGCTTTGGGGAAAGGAGAAGCAGGGCGAAGAAATGTTCTTGAAGAATTCGCAGTCCAACAAACAGACGCCAAAGTTGAGCAACCTACCCTTGAAGCACTTTTCCAAGCGATGATATTCGAAAATGCAACATTTCACGGGGGTACAAATACGGAGGAACGTACGCGCAAAAGGGAAAGATTATTTCGACTTGCTCTTGGCTTTACTCATGAGGCCTTCATGCTGCGTGCTGAGGATTCATGTGGCTCAGCCCTGGCTATCACTGAGTCAATTGTTGGTGAATTGTGTCCATTATCTGAGCAATCCCTCATCGAAGAGTATCTCCGACTTCAACGAGAGGACCCTGAGCAACTATACTGGCTCCGTGAGGAGTTCAAATTGAGGACTGAAGAATCGACCGACAGCAGCTTGACTACTATATTCTCCACCACGGATGGATACATTGGCAGAAGTCTTACCCAAATTAAACGAGGAGACCTGGTCGCAATTTTGGCTGGATGTAGACTGCCCCTAATCCTACGGGTACAGGAGGATAGTGGTTGTTATTTTGTCGTGTGTCCGTGTTATGTAGGCGGTGTTATGTTCGGAGAATTGGAGAAGCGGTTTAGGTCAAACAGCCCAGATGGCTTGGAGATTCGCAAGATATCTTTGGTGTGATCAGATCAAATACCCGATAGAACTTGTTTTTTAGTTTTAAACTTTTTTCTAGAATCCCTTCTCTTGGTCTTTTTTAATGTCTGCCCCTAGCTGATTCCTATCATAGACTCTTCTCATTAGCATTTACGGTTGAAACCCCATATTGCCTCGAGTCTTGGCTTCCCTTGAGAAGTCATGAAAACAAGCTTTCTGTTCAGCTCCAGTATTCTTACCCTTCGGATTTTTTTCATACTCATAGAGAAGTTTTACAGACAGTCGCTGGTGTGGCACTCAGTGTTTGAAGACAGTCAGACCACCGATGGCGTCGCTCTGAAGGAGACGAGGCTTTTGTGGCACCTTGCTACCTGATCTGGCAAACAGATGCAATATTGGAGCAAAGAGGTCTGTATGAGGTAGGAAAAATCGGCTGAAAGTTGCAGAGGAAGATTTACAAATGACGTATTGAGCTGAGCACGCAGATCTGGAAAACTTTCACTCCACGTCTCGGCATAGTACTTATAGTACATCACACAGAGGTTCTACCTTTGCCGTTTTGGGGTGAGGCCGATGTGAGAAGTCATTTAGGCAAACGAACAAACACAAAGAAGCGGTCTTTGCCAGTGATACTCGGATGATGATACCCCTTTGCTAATCATTACAAAGGAATAGAACGATACTAGGGTAGACAGAAGCTAACAAATTGATTTAGATATTGACGTGCGAGCAATGAGAGCCGGTCTTTCCCAGCAAGGCATCTGGTTTGCCGACAAGCATACCGCTCCATTCGTAGCATTGGGTACCACCACTGAAGTGTACTGGACTGGCGGAGCGGCCGCGCTGCGTATCCTAGCCGCGAATGGACTTGCAACAGGAGTCACTGCACCTAGCGCCGAGGCAGCTTCTTGATAGACCAGACGGCATGATTCATGAATAAGGCCTAGTGATCGTTTCGCCCCGATGACAGGATCAATGACCCGATTCGGGGGCCGAGACGCCGATGGCTTACAGGACACCATTTGACGTTGGCGTAGGTAGCTAAAGTAGACAATAACATTGAGTAGGAGCGGCTCCGTGCTATTCGGTTTTGGGCCTCTTTCTGGAAACATTGTCGTTCATCTTTTCAATCGCTTCCCTTGATCGATCCCACCGACGCCGCTTTCCATCGAAGTACCGGTAGATGTGTGGACTATAGATGCCACCCATCAGGAGGTTGCAGAAAGATCGGTTCTTGAGCCAGTAACGCCATCCCTTCCAACCCCACCCTAGATATTCGTCGACACCAGTTCCAGCCATTTTGTCCGCCCATGCAGACCAAGAATGGCCATTAACAAGCTGTGGGTGAACATTACCTCTCTTTGCAAGATCACACAGCCAGTCGTGGTGCTCGTCAACAGCCCGCTCCATCTCATGCCGGGGTGGCAGAGCCGAGTTTCCCTTCCAGATCTGCACCACAGCCATGGATGCTAGGTCATACAGAACAAAAGCCCCAGTTGCAAATGCCACGCATCCCATGAATGCAAGTGAGTCTGGGTACTCAAGTGACAGAACATTTTGATACAAACGAGGCAACGGTTTACCCCTAGATCCCTGGGTCGCTGTCCACTTCGGTGTAGTCTGCGCCGATGGATCAGCTTTGTGATCCAGCAGACTGAAGTTGGGCTTGTATCCAGTGCAGTAGATAATGGCATCCACCTCTAAAAGCCTTCCATCCGTCAACTCAACTTCGTTCGGCCCGATTATCCTACTTACATCCGGTACAGACTTAACCTCTCTACTCTCAAGCGCTGGGACGATTTCATCCGAGACGACAGGGGTGCTGGTTTTGATCGAGGGTGCTGGTGAGAGTCTCCACTCAGGGCGGATCTTGAAAGGAGAATCCTGCAACTTCTTAACGAAGGCGTTGAAAAGACGTTCAGAGAGAGTGGGTAAGAACCGCTCAAGAAGTCGTTGGAATGTGAGAAAGCGAATGTTGAGTGTGTGATCTATCGGACGACCTTTGGTGGTTCGAGGAAGCTTACAGTAGATTAGACTGGTTGCTGACAGGGCGGGGATCGTAACTTACAATGAGAGCACCTTCCCTATGGGAAACATAGATCTCGCTTGCGTGACCGACAAGTGATGTTGCGGTGTCAGCGCCGGTGTTTCCCAAGCCAAAAACCAACACTTTCTTGCCCACGAAGCTCTCTGGGCTAGATTCTATATTAGCAACCAAAATATGAGACTTTCATGGTGTTAATGACCCTTTGTAAGTTTTGGAGTGAAGCGTCTCGCCCTTGAACTGGTCAATTCCTTTGACGCTCGGGTAGTTGGGTGTTTGGTTCATTCCCGTCGCGATGATGACCCTGTCAAAGATTTCTTTGGGAGAATTAGAAATTTCGATGATCCATTTGTTGAGTGCATCATCATGCAATACATGAGTGACAGTTGTGTTGAGGCGCATCATTGATCGTAACTTGAAGTGATCGACATAGTCTTCGAGATACTGTGATACCTCTGCGGCCGAGGGTTGGCTCGTTGTCGCTACGAGCTATAAGAATGCGACATCTCAATTCAAGCTTTAGTTGATAGACTTACAATCAGGAAACGGAAAGTCTGTGAAACACCCCTAATGATGCGTGAGTTGCATTGTACATATTTGAACACTCTGACAAGCCTCACTCTTTCTTTCGAGATGTTGACAATAGTTGCTACACCAGTTCAGCAGTCTGCCTCGATAACGTATTTCCCCGGACTCTGCTACTTACTTGGCAAGACAGAAGTTTTGTCCTCTCGGGTAAACTTCCAAAGACCACCAATGTAGGGATTACGCTCAAATCCGATCGCTTCAAATCCCTCTTCGGCAAGGTTCTTCAGGGACACAATACCACAGGCACCTACTGCATATCAGCATAAAGAATTTGAATCCCCAATACGTTTACCACACTCACCAAGTCCGATCACTGCGACTTTCTTCTTTGAAGGTTCCATTGTAGAAAGATCATTGAAGAGGCAAGACACGCACGATGTCTCTAGCCAGGCATCGTCAGGGTTTCACGCGTAATATCTAGTTCTCCGGGCCTTGGCGAGTCTCGTGGTGTGGAACGTGGGCGCCTAAACTCATGAAACCTTGAGGGCTGAAAGTCATGTCATTACTTCCGCTGTTCCGCTGTGGCGTCCACTAGCACCTAGCCAAGCGCACCTAGGAGCGAATTCACAACGTAATTAAGCGAGGCGATATGACGGCAACGCCTGATTGGTGTCTCTGATCTCACTTCTGACTGTCAGCGGCGATGTACTACGACAGGTAAGCACTGCCGTTCCTCGTAAGTCCGTCAGTGAACACACTTCTCCGAGATGCAAGTGGCCGCACGATAGTATCATCCGAGATCGGCGTCAGCTACTCAAATCTCTTGGTTCATTTAGTCAGAAAGGGCTTAAATTGTTTTCAACTATGGGTGGACACTGCACGCCGTCGATAACCAATGTTAGTTGATGATCGTCGATGAGGTGCTCGACCTGTATCTTAGTCCGAAGGTTGTTGTTGTTGTTGTTGTTGTATTTAACGCCGTGGCGGCCGGGCTAGAGCCCTTACCGCAGACCTCCCGAAGGGTATATGGCGTGGAGGGCCGTGAGCCAAGGCTACCTACTCTACAGTACGTCGTCTCTTTACATCGTCCTCCAAATCATGCCTTGTGGCCACTACGCGTTCTGTCTGTCCCCGGTTCCCGCTGGTGCCCCAGTTTCATTCTTTCCCAAATCGTCCCTTGGAATCGGGAGGTTCTTTGTAGTCCGCACTCACATCTACGTAGGTGTGGATGCTGCTACCGCAGACAGATCTTCTGGAAGAAGTCCGTCACGCGGAGAAAGGCCTCGAAGCCTCGTGGGTCGGTGATTAATCTCTTGAAGTAGGCCTCGAGAGATCCCATAGGGCCTATGGGCTCGGGCATACTGCGAGAGTGGAGGGTCGGCCACCGTTGCCTCCTCGCCAGCGTTAGTCGACAGTAGACCAGGTGGTCCACGTCTTTCGCCTCTCCACAAGAGCACATCATTAGAGCGTCGTCGTGGTTGAAACGTCGGTGATATTGCTCGAAGTCCCCGTGACCCGATCGTGCCGCCAGCAGGTGATGTAACGTAGCCCGCGGCAAGGCCAGTTCAGGAGGGCTGGACAGAGCTGCCTCAAGCCCCAAGTCCGCGTACCGCGGCCTTCGCTCTTTATACCACCATCTCCTGTGCTGGCTTTGTAATTTTTCCCTTGCAAGCCGCTTGATGCCCGCTAGTGTTGCCATTTGACCCATCCGCGCCGGCAGTGTCGTTCCTTCTTTGGCCAGCCGGTCCGCGGCCTCGTTTCCTTCGATGCCCTGGTGTCCCGGGGACCAGTGCGTCCGTATATCAAATATCCTGGCCGCTTCTTGGATTTCGAGGAACGCGTCTTGTGACGAGTCCGGCGCCTTGCCGCGGATGCCTTGTATAACGCTGGTGTTGTCGATACATATGTGGATTGGATGACCGCGATTGGTGAGCAGAGCCCTTCTGAGGCCGGTTCGCGCCCCTTCGACCTCGGCGTCGAACACTTCTGCTAGTCCGAGTCGGCCGCACCCTTGTGCTATGCGTTTGGAGTCTCGGTAGATGACGAAGCCGTACCCCACGGCTCCGTTCGTCGCCCTGGAGCCGTCCGAGAAGACGATCATATGGCTTTCCGGTACTGTCTTTAGCCAGCGCTCGAAAGCTTTCGCAGCCTCTTCTTTGCATTGAACTACTATCTGATCCTGTGAGCTTGGCAGGTACTGTGATTGAAGGAACGCTGGTCTTCCGCATCTTGGCAGAAGTTCAGCCGTCCGTTGTAGTCTCGTCTGTTGCTGTCCCTGCTGGGAGAGCCGCGCGACTAGCGGGTGTCGGCGATCAATCCTCTGTAGTCGGACTGCGGCCCGTAAGCGGACGCCCTCTAAGGCGACTTTGGCTGACGGTAAGCCGGCGTCTCGGAGGAGGCTACTGGTTGGCGTTGTCCTCCAGACAGGCAGAACGGCCCTTGCTGCCGCTGTAATGACGCTGTCGATCTTCTGCACGAGCCCCTTTTGGCCTGTGTTGACGGGTCTTCCTTGGAGAGGCGGATTCGTGTCTGTCTCCGCTTGGCGTCTCGAAGCCGGCTTCGTGATACCTGCGTACCATGTTTCGGCGCCGAAGAGCGCGATCGGCAGTACGCAGGAGACGACGGCTTTTCGCACGGCGGCCGCTGGGAGTCCCCTCTTTGTGTTCGTAAGCTGTCTCAGATGTTGAGCTGCCCTCTTTGCTGCAGCTACTTTTGCGTCGACATGGTGCCGGAAGGACAGTCTCTTGTCGAACCAGACACCCAGCCAGCGTACAGGTTTCGTCGAGGCCTTGACCACCAAATCCCCCGCCCGGACCTCTGGCAGCTCCGCTGGCTGGCCGTGCTTCCTAGTAAAGTGGATGACCTCGCACTTGCTCGGGTCAAAGGAGACCTTGTTCTCCAAGCCCCATCTGAGAATGCCGGCTGCGCTTCGGTTGAGTATTGCGACGTTGCTCTCCAGGGAGGGGCTGATGGCCAGAGTGGCGATGTCGTCCGCGTACCCGAATCGCGCGTTCGGGTCGTCTTCAAGTATCTCTGCGATGTAGAGCAGAAAGGCAATGGGAGATAGTGGTGACCCCTGAGGCAGCCCGCATGACAGCGGGAAGTACTCCGTTGTGCTTTCTTCCAGTCGGACTCTAGCGGTGCGGTTGCAGCAGAAGCTAAAGATCAGTCTGGTCAGGCCATGTGGCCATCCCTGCTGACGCAGTCTAATGACGAGCCGGTTCCGAAGGACGGAGTCGAACGCCCCTTTTACGTCCATAGTCAGAAGTGTCGCCGTGAGTCCTTTTAGGAGGGCCATCTCGATGTCGTGGGTGAGGCAGGTCGTCAGATCGACGGCTGACCTGCCTTGTAGAGCCCCGATCTGTTGCGGACTGATGATGCGCTCGACAATCGCCAGGGACGCCATCCTTCTGGCTATCAGTCGCTCTAGTCCCTTGCCCAGGCACGAGAGGAGCGCGATCGGCCGCCAGGACCCGGGCTTGGAGGCATCCCTGCCGGCCTTCTGGATCATGACCACCTCAGCTCTGCGGAAGGGCAGAGGAAAGTGGCCGGCCCGCATACAGGACTGGAATAGCTGCCTGACCGGTTCCGAGATGACATCCCAGCATGCCTGGAGGAGGCGTGTTGTGATGCCGTCCACACCAGGGGTCGTTGTCTTTGTTAAGGTGGCCGTCTTCACTTCTTCTCCGCTAACATTGTCCTGCCAAGTAATCGCTCGCCTCGGGACGACGGGTACGTCAAACGGGTCACCCGGTGCGTCATCTTCCGCACTAAACCTGTCGAGAAGGGCTCCCCGAAGCGCTTGAGCCTTTTCGTTAGTATCCTCGATCGTCTGGTTGTCCACAACCAATGGGGGTGCTCTGGTCAGTAGGCTCGCCTTCCGCCAACCCATGATCTGGTACAGGTCCCGGTCTGAAGCGACTCCATCGATCTTTCCGGCCCAGTATGCTCGCTTAGCCTTCCTCACCGTGCTCAGGAACGCCTTTCGTTTCTCCATTAGATAAAGGTGCGCATCTTGCTCCGTCTCCCAGGCTTGTTGGTTGCGGGCAGCACGGTATGCTCTGTGGGCCTCTGCGCATTCCTCCGTCCACCAAGCCGCGCCTTTACCATGTTTTCCTCTCTTCTTGCCGACCGCCTCAATGGCTCGGGAGAAGAGCTCGACGATGTGACTTGCCTGCCCGTCCAGGTCTTCCGGAGTAGGTTGATCCCCCAGATTGGGCATCGCAGCTAGCCCCCCTTCGATCAGGTCTCTCAGCCGAGGCAGCGCCGAGTCGGGCACTGACAGTGGCCGTGGCTGCGGGTGGCCCTCTCCCTGTGACACTGGGCGTTTGAGTAGTGGTATGACGGCCACGATGGCCTCGTGGTCAGCTCCCGGGTGTAGCTGTGGGCTGACCTGCGCGTGCGCAAAAGGGATATTAGAGAAAGCCAGGTCCAGGACATGTCCGCAATCCTGGGTTGCCACCCCAACTTCGCTGATAAGAGAGAGATTGTGGCCGTCTGCCCAGCCTGCGATGTCATCTCCCCGGTTCCCGTTCCTCGTCCCGGGCTCCCAAGAGTAGTGATGCGCGTTGAAGTCACCCGCGATCAAAGCTCGCTCCGGGGGTTTGAGTTCTAGCAGTATCCCTGTTGTGCGGCTGTGGGGGTCGCGGGGTTGTCTGTACACGTTGACGATAGTCGTCGTTTTGTCGACCACCAGCCACAGTACGTCTCTCGTGTGGACAGGCCTCTGCTGCTCCACCGTCATCCCTATCCCTTTGCGTGTGTAGGTCAATACTCTTGGTCTGGTTCCTTCGCTGTCCCAGAAGTCGACCGGGACGAAAGAGTCGAAACCCGGGTGCGTGTTCAGTTGCACGTTTCCGTCCTTCCAGCCCGTCCAGGGTTCCTGGACGAGGACCACATCTATCTGAGCCTCCCAGCAGAGCTGCAGGAAAGCCGTGTGCGCCGGGGAGATCTTTCCGACGTTGCCCTGCGCAACGCGTAGCATCCGTGGGGTCGCCGCTCTCGGCTTACGTCTCCGAGTCGAGTTCGAGGTGGGTGTAGGCATTCGCGACGTTGTAGTTTGGCTTCTGTGCTGCCCGTTGGCTCCTGCTTGGCATGGGTAGCACGGGACGGTCGATGGAGGTGTTGTCGGGGGAGTCTTCGCCTTCGCCTTCGTCCGCCTCGTCTTCATCCATGCTGCTGCTGTCAGTGCTTCCGTCACCGAGGCAAACGATCGAGCTTGCGGAGGGCGTTCTCGTGCGCGCGCGCTTGGCGCCGGGTTGCTGGTTCTGGCTGGTGGAGGTAGGGACGCCTGCCGCCTCCTGGCTACTGTCGGATCGAGTAGCCTTGTACAGAGTGTCCGATGCTTTCTGGCCGGCCTTCCGGATCCGAGCCCGCTCCTTTCGACCGGGAAGGGAGACGACGCCGTTTACGGCCGAGGGCCTCGCTGGGCAGTCTGTGTGGCTGGCTTGGAAGGGGCCGCAGCAGTTGGCACATTGGGGCCTGGCCATGCAGGGTCCCGTTTCGTGTGAATCGGAAGGTCTTCCGCAGTTGCTGCAGATCGGTCGTCGTCCGCAGAACCGGTTGGAGTGGTAGCCCTGGCAGCCGGGGTCGTGTCGGATGAGCGTCCTTCGTTTCTTGACGGGCAGAGATCTGCCGCTTTGGTTGAAGAGCCTGAAGGGCGTGACCTCTGATGTGAATGATATGAGCCAAGATATTTCGTTCGTGACTGGGTTGGGCCCAAGGCGGGACGGTCGAGCAAGGACAGGCTTCTGTCCTGTCTGTGCGAAGACCTCATCTTCAACGAGTGTGGCTGGGTCCAGGACGTCCCCGCCAATGCTGTGTAGTTTTGTTGGGCATCGCGGCACAACGTAAGTGTACCACTTGATAGGCGTCTCGACCTGGTGGGCGCCGAGGCATTCCGCCAGCTTTGCCTTACTTGCAAGTAGTCTTTCCTGTATTTGCTTGTTTCGCGGCTTCAGAGAGTAACCTGTGCTGATATGGTAGACGTGGGGAAGGTCCGCTAGCCCCAGGCCAACGGCCTTACAGACGATCTGTCGTACGGCGAACGGTGCGATCTTCCGAGCGGCCGCTAAGCTTTCTTCCGGGACGCGGGCAAAGATGCGGAGGTCCTCCTTCGGCTGCGCCTGCGGCTGATCCTCGGCGGGGAGTGTGGCCTTCGGGCGGGCAGAGCTCTGGCAGCTCTGGCCGCTCCGGGTCGCCGCAGTGGTGTTGCCCGCCATCGGTGCGACGACAGCCGCCCAACTCCGGGCCGCTATTGGGCTTGTCTCGTGATTGATCAGTCTCTTGAGGGTTTGAATGACATAGGCAGTGGCTTCTTTCGCGATCTGCTTTCTAGAACCGTCAAAGCTGGCGACAACGCTGTCGACGGACCGTGCAATGGTCAGAAAGACGTCTTTCCGTGCCTCGTACTGTCTAGCTTCTTCTGCAAGGGCTGTCAAGACGGACCCTGTGGCAGATCCGCTCGGAGCAGATGCGGTAGAGGCTGCGGGCCCCTCGGCCGAGGTAGGGGCGTCGGTGGTGGCATCAAGCTGGCTTCCCGTTAGGCTGGGCCGGGTCGGCTGTGCCTCGGCGTCGCGGCGTCGCTTAGCTCTTGAGGTGGGGTTCGGCTCCGGAGGTGTCCCGGAGCCTGGTTCGGGGTCGGCTTGGTCGGCCGACATCAGTCCGGTGCCCGACGGCGGCTGTGAGGCCATCGCGGATGCGGGCTCCGGCAAGGGGAGGTGAAGAGTTTTCGGCTGTTAGTAATTTGGTGGTAGGCTCACTCATTCACTAACAGCAGATGCCAAGAAAAATTAGGCGAGAGGGAAGTTGCTTAGTCCGAAGGAGTGTAGGGCAACACATTTGTCTGTCTGCGTTTAGTATTGCTCGAGTAAATAGTAGGTGTTATACAATGCAGGCATTATTATCACCAGGCTGAACGGCTTCCCACATCGATTAGGGCTTATGCCTGGCTCAAAGGCGATCAAGCTCGGGAAGTGCTGATCCAGCAACCATTCGTTTCTTTTGAGTACCTGATTTTGTAATGGCTGCGAAGTTTTTTTTTATCAAAATAAATCCTGGCAGGTCATTTCCCGCTCTCAACCGGCGAGTATCATACTGTTCTTACTTCTGGGTTCTCTTGCCCTGTCAGGCTCAAAATTTACCGAGAGCCGAGATCTCAAGCCTTTCTCGACAATATCTAAGACATTCTGAGGGCTTCGGACTGGGATGCAAATCCTATGGAATGGATCAAGGGCTTAGGTGCCAATGAGAGTTCTGCAGGACCCTATTTAGCCGGTCCTGATCTTACAGCTACAACGAATGCCTGGAGCCGTGATTAATGTGCGCAAACCAGCTCAACATTCTCACGCTTGACAAGTTTAGGGATTTTCACAATCCTACCAGCACGATCTTGTCGTGTAATACGAGACGACACCAAGTAAAAGGTACTGCATAAGTACATAAGCCGCGATCTGAGCAGACTTTTTAATTTGCTGTGCGTTGCTTTGCCGTGTTCAACTTCTTCGATCTCTTCATCGCAAGCTTATCTCCATTCAAAATGTCGGCACTGTCTTGCGTCCCCGCCACGTTTGGGAATGTCTCATTGATCGGGGCGGAGATCCTTTCTCTACAGGCAAATCTTGTCGCCAATTATACCATCTCTGTCCCTTCTTCTGTTCGCTTCACACAGCCGTCAATTGAAGTGCAGAACGCGAGCTTTTGCAACATCACGGTAACCTACACGCACCCAGGTCAAGGTGATATCATCACCTTCGAATCTTGGCTCCCCGCAGAGGAATGGAATGGGCGTCTCCAGGCTGTCGGGGGTGGAGGTTGGGTTGCGGGTCGAAGCGACCCCTTTTATAGCGCCATGGGCGGAGCAGTTGGAGATGGTTACGCAACAATTACAACTGACGCTGGGCTCGGAAACTCTTTCGACGTAAGTTCTTGGGCACTCCTCAGCCCCGGAAATGTCAACCTCTACAACTTGCAGAACCTTGCGTCTGTATCTCTTGATGACGGCGTAAGTTATTCAACCACCTGAGGACGATTGGCCTTTCTAAGTCTCGACACGTGCAGGCAGTCATTGGAAAGTCTCTTATCAAGTCCTACTACGGTCGCGGGCCAGACTACTCATATTGGAATGGCTGCTCCCAGGGTGGCCGGCAAGGACTTATGCTGGCACAACGCTATCCAACGCAGTACGATGGCATTGCCGCCGGTGCTCCAGGTATCCAATGGACCGATTTCTTTCCCAGCATGCTGTGGCCTCAGTAGTTCATGAACATGGTAGGGCAGTACCCTCATGCTTGCGAAGTCACGACCATAGCAGCGGCCGCGGTCTCTGCGTGTGATGATCTAGATGGTGTGAAAGACGGCATCATTGGAGAAGTCGACGCTTGTCTAGATGCCTTCAATCCTTTCGATATGGTGGGTGTGGACAGCAACTGCACGGGGGCACCTACAATCAGTCATGCTGCTGCAGCTGTTGTCAATACTACATGGCAGGGGATGCGTGATTCTCAGGGCCTGCAGCTGTGGCCTGGACTGAACCCTGGTACCGACCTGACTGTCGGCGTCGCGGCGACAAATTGTACTCCAGGGCCCTGCAGAGGAGTCCCTTTGTCTATCGCTACGCAATGGCTTTCTCTGTTTGTCGCAAGGGATCCAGGCATTAACACTTCCAACCTCAGTCATGTCGAGTTTGACTGGCTAGCACACCAAGGGCGGCAGAGGTACAACTCAATCATTGGCACCGATGACCCTGATCTCTCTGCTTTTCGGGATGCAGGCGGCAAGCTCATTACCTTCCATGGCCTCGTAAGTAGACCCATATCACATGAAGTCTAGCTACCTGCGGTCTTAGCTAAATGCTTACATATGTCATTCACACAGGTTGACGAGCTTCTCCCTCCGAAGGGAAGCGTCAAGTACTACAGCAGAGTTTCCGATCTAATTCCGGAAGTCCACGACTTCTATCGCCACTTCGAGGTACCCGGCATGGGCCATTGCTCTGGAGGAAGAAGCGGAGAGCCAACTAGTCTGTTTGATCAACTACGCGCGTGGGTAGAGAACGGCACCGCACCAGACCACACACCCGTCAATGTCACAATTCCAGAAGGAGACGTACAGGGCCGCATCGTGTGTCCATACCCGCAAAAGGCCATTGTTGATTCAACCTGTGATAGGGCGCTAGGAACACAATGCTGGTCATGTGAAGGCAATTTGTAAGTACTCAAGGTCATTGGTCTTGTTGGATGGCCGACCGGTTGGCCGATTATTGTCGTGAATTTGAATCCTCTATCTTCTATGTGGTATCATTGGCAGCGCACATCCAAAACATATCAAGCATGACCACCTAGTCGGGCAAATCGAAGGTTTCCTAAGCTACCTAGTGTAGAAGTTGTCCCTTCGATGTGGTCGTCTAGTCGCTGCAGCTGTTCGAGCAATCGTGCTTCTCGGCGTTGTATCTGGAGTGGCACTTTCACTGCACGTCCTGGACAGGGTAGCAACTGCCGGAAACAGAGCCACGGTGGGGGTCGGCCGCGTTGGTGTTCTTGTAGTCGACAGTGAAGGACTTTCCAAGGGAGCCAAACTTGCGGTTGATGTAGAAGAGAGCGTTTCCCTTGCGCAGGCCATTGTTGCAGTACTCAGCAGGCTCGTTGCGTGCCCAGTTATCGAATTGGCCGCAGTCGACTCCGTAGTAGCCATTCACTGTGAGGTAGAAAGGTCAGTGACATGATCAGAGAAGACAAGTGAAATGTTGAGGATGGTGACTTACTGGCACTGTCGACCAAAATCCAGGGGTCGACGTGGTCGTCAAAGCAGAAGTCAAGTCTGCACTGAACGCGCTGGCAATCGCAGTAGCTGAAGCCGCAGTCGCGCTTCTCAAGTTCGAATGGCACGTAGTTGGGGGAGGAGATGGCGGCCAGGATAGGAGAGGCCATCAGGCTGGCAAGAACCACAGAGAAAAGCGAAGGCATTTTGAAAATGAGTGTAGGTAAAGAATGTAACGAATGAGTGTGATGGGTTCTATGAGCCAAAGAGTGTGTTGAACGGATCTGTTGGTCCTTCTAGTCAAGAACTGTAGAGAACTTTGGGTAGCATTTCTCTCTTATAGATGGATGTACGATAGCCATTACTATTATTGAACTGAAAGCTCTTACTCGAAGCAGATTTGCAAGACGGGCATACCCGGCTTGGCTTGCACAACCGTCAATCTGTATCAATCAGTGGTCCATTATGGTTCATCCAGTCTCTCGGCCGATGCGATATCTTTATTAGACTTTGGGCTAAGTGCCGGCGTCGCTGTATCCGTCGGCCTGTGCGCCAGGTTCACCTGTCCCTAAGGCCATAGCACGAATCGTATCGGCGGAACCTCCTATTGCGCAGTCCCTTTTGCAGCTCGGATGAGCGAGTCAGGAGCCCCCAAGTCAGACTTATCAGTATTCTGGAAATCAAGACCTTTGTACTGTCCCGGTGGGAGGAGGCTGTTAAAGCTTTGGGACTTGAAACTAGACATAACCATGAGTGATATGTAGTGGTTGCTATCTACTACCGAGTCCCTGGTAGTACTTCGTAAGTCGTCCACTGGATCTGAAGCCGACTTCAGATCACTTTACCCATAGACGGTGGATACCCGCTCTTCGTCAACGTTGAAGAAGAGTCCTCATTCAGTGCAAGGCTCAGACGAAAATGATAAGTTAGGTAAAGACTTCCACCTGTAAAACTTTTGTATGAGGTGGTGAGTGACGTGCCGTCACCCGTTCTCAATTACAAAAACTCTCTTTACCGAACCCGAGTCTGTAATTCGCAAAGCCTCGCTTACCGTCAAGGAAAGATAGATGTGGGGGAAGATCGACACTTCGACTCAGTTCGAACTCCAGTTCATGTCAAATAAGACAAGGAACCCCTCACTCGCCCAGCCGGTTGAGCGGCAGCCTCATCCGTATAAGGACGCTGGAATTTGAATGAGGTCCGGATACGCCGGTGTCGGGTCATAATCGAGTCATCAGGAGTCGTTTCATCTGCCGTGCGTGTGTGCGCGTATCCAGGCGCTTGGTGGCATGGTATGGTACTAGTCCTCGATTCTTGGGATTGCTTAAGCTGCAAGCATTTCAAGCCAAACACGTATCCCTTGGAACTAACCAGAGAATTCGCAGACGAGGCTCTTGGGGCAAACTCATTCTTTCGAACGAGTGCACGTCTCATTATCAAGATCTTTGGCTACCTAGAGTAAGCGCCTACGTAAGTAGTTGGAGATCAATTACTTGCGGATGTCGCAAACTGATTTCCAGCATTAATGTGTCGCGTGCTTCTTTTCCTACGCTGGAGATATGCCGACGGGCAGTGGACTTAGGCGGGATTTTCCACAACGGTTGAAAGACAGTGGATGTATGGGTTCAGGGAGTCCATATTATTGACTTCGTGTCGGATTAGAAGTCCAATTCGACCTAGAGGCCAGGGGGGCCCGCGCATGGGCCACTTCCAGACCGTACTTACGAGATCCACGGTCTGCCCAACCTCCGGTTGGAACCTCCCTTTTACACCTTACGCAGAAGTTAAATATATATCGATTTTGACCTCTTCGTCACCCACGGTTCGAACCAATCCCTGTGATAGGAATACCAACACTTCGCTTTCCAATCGTGATGACGTGGACTTACTTCGGCCTTCCATTCCGTTATGAGATACCCATTTAGACCCCAAATGCGATATGCACAACTGACGGAAGCCTATTTGCTGAAATTGAGTGAAAGTAAAAGTTACACAGTCGGGTTTGTATTTCTAAATGAGCTACAAGTGACTTCATCCATTGTCCGTGGCATCAAAATGGCGAGTTTGAAATTACTTGCATACATTCCTTGTTTTACTTACTTGGACGGAATATCATTTCCGTTGCGCCTCACGAAAGACGGGGCCGTGGAATAACTCAATTAGGCTTCCCTATCTCCGCTGGGGACAAATGTCACAATGGTAGATTTATCACTGGTTTACAATTCGAGCATTGACTACAACAAGACATAGAGTTTGCCAAGCTGACCACTGAGAGCTCCCACTATACGCAACCCACCAGCAATTGCTTCCAGAACAGGATCCAGCCGTTACTAAAGCAAGTGGGCCACGATTCCGCATCATCCTTGCTACCTAGTACGCGAATGTAGAAAGCTTTTCACGCAAGGTGATCCGCTCAGCTCCAGCCAGGCAGAGGGAAGGGGGTGTCTTGGGGCTCCGCCGGCAAGCCCGCAGTCGGCAAAGGGGTAAGCGTGACAATCCGATCCTCCTCGACAAGTCTGACCTCGCGGAACTTGCGCAGGGACCAGACATTCCACACGTTGGTGTCGACAACGACACCATAAAGACCAGGCGCAGGGTTGTCCCACTTGGTGATGACCTTGAGATCGCTGTCGAGTAGACGGAGCTTGTCGACGAACTGGTCAATATTGGTTGCCTGTTTTCGGTATTAGTCAGTATGAAGACAACAATATCTAACGGGGCTGCGTTGAGAGAAAGAGACTTACAGGAGCCAAGAAGACGATGTACCGCCCAGCTAGGACACTGGCGACGTAGGAGAAGAGGGTGAACAGGCTGAAGCGCATCTTGGAGACTAGGCTTTAGGTATCGTAAGGTAAATGAGAGGTGTGATGATGCTGTAAGTGTAAGTTTGCTGATGAGGTGTCAGGACAGATGCAACTACTACATTGGTCATCGTGACTACCTTCTTATACTCCATCGCACCTCCTCAACTCGATATAACCTCGAGACATTTCCTTCCGTCATGCGGGGTTTCGATCACACCTTTCGACTGCTCACCGGATATCATCACGACGGGGAAGGAATCTAGGGGCCGCCATCATCGTGTGCCAAGATCCTGCCTTGAGACATCCCCAGCCCGGTTAAAGTGCGACCTCAGCCAGGTTCCTCCGCAACTTCTCTCTGTTACGAGATTGATCCTCCCCCGCGAGTGGACAGAGCTGTCTTTCTGCCGAAAGTCGCCATCATCTCTGGGTATCGTCGGGTCTTGGCTTCGCGCGTTGCGGGAGATCGGCGGTGTTCGTCCCCCGTTGCGGGCACGTCCAAGACTTTCCCCTCCGGTGCCTCTGAGACCACAGCTCCATAAACGGCAACTTTGCATACCGGAACGAGCTGATATGAAATACGTTTTCAATTACGATGAGACGCAACCGCTATAATACGACAGACTCGCTACATGTAAGTACCTAGAGCCCTCCCTTCCAAACACCTAGATAACGTGTACGTGACTTACTAGTTTTTTGCTAGTATTGCGTCAACGGGCTCTGATTTTCTCCCATCGGCTCGGCACGCTACGCCACGACCGCTTCATCACGCCGGCTGCCTGAGACCATCGACGGCTAACCGCGGACCATGCGGTAGAGACATCTCAAACATCATCAAGTGTCTTAAAACCGAACCTCGCGTCCCGACTTTGCGCTCTCCTTCACAGCGTGGATGATACGCAGGACATCCCGCGCCTCTCTCGCCGGCACAGGAACGTACTCCTCCCTTCCAGTCTCAACAGCCTTGGCGAAACCCTCGAAGAGCTTGAGATACGTCTCCGGCTTCTGCGTCGGCTTCATCCGCTCCTCGACATTGCCGCCCTCCTTGACCAGCAGCAACCTACCACCGTTCATGGGGTCCTCGACACCGAAACCAGGATCGGTGGGCTTAGCGCCAGCCTTGAGCTGGTCTTCCTGCGGGTCGAGGCACGTCTTGTGGTAGCTAGCCTTGGTACCGCGCACCCAGAACCGCGGCTGGCTCGTCTCGACGCTCATGACACCGATGCGTACGCTGACGATGAGGCCGTCTGGATAGCAAAGCTGCGCGTGCACGCTGTCCGGGTCCTCGGGGTCGAATTTGCCGTCGCGCTGGCTGACAAGCTTGCCGTAGACGGTCTCTGGCATGCCGAAGAGGTTGTAGGCCTGATCGATGAGATGAGATCCCAGGTCAAAAAGGGCGCCGCCTCCCTCGGCCATGGTCAGCTCGCCCTTCCATGACGTGGGGCGGTCGGCGCGGAAGCGATCAAAGTGGGTGTCGAATTCGTAGACACGGCCAAAGACGCCATCGGCGATCATCTTCTTGACTGTGAGGAAGTCGCTGTCCCAGCGACGGTTCTGGTAGACGCAGATGAGACGCTCATTCTCCCTGGCGATCTGAATGAGCTCCTCAGCCTCCTCGATGGTGGGCACGAATGGCTTCTCGACCAGGACGTGCTTGCCAGCCTGCAGGGCCTGCTTGGAGAAGCTGAAGTGAGTGTTGGGCGGTGTGAGGATGTTGACGATGTCAACATCGGGGTCCTGGAGCATGGGCTCCAGGGAGGTGTGATGCTTCAGCTCTGGGTAATCATTTGGTGCTGAGGAGGAGGCTGTGGGCTTGCGCTGGACGATGCTGTGCAGCTTGAACTGAGGTGTGAGGTTGATAAAAGGGATGTGGAAGACCTTGGCGGATAGTCTGTGGATGGTCGGTTAGCACGTGGGCATCTTCGGTGAGTCGCGCCGAAAGTGAGTCTATTCCGAAAGCATGCAAGGGGCCTTGTAGCAAGGATGGCATGGACTGAGAGACGGTTTCACATACCCATATCCAATGATTCCAACGTTGAATGTCTTGCCTGCAGCCATCTTGTCTTTTGTTTCTGTTTACACGGTATGATGAGTCTGAGGAACTGTGAGCTTCCTTCTTAAGACAGATTCAAACACAATGTCGTGAGCTTGACAGCTTTATATAGCTATCGTCGAGTTGGGTCACTTTAGCATGAAAGGCGATGAGGGGCACGAGGGGGCAATCGTGGAGGAGACTGGAGCTTGGTGGAGTGACGGGCCAAGATTACCCCATTGCGTCACCAAGGAAGGACTCGGCGCTTTTCTCAATGGACGACGGAGAAAATTGCCCCGTTTTCGGTGCGTCTGTCAGGTCACGGACGGCGACGCTAACGCCCACTTTGACACACCGGGTTTACCGGCCATGAAGAACTGTTAGAGTTGCCCGAATAGGTCACCTTGGTGTTTCGGTGAGCTAATCATCTTCACCGAGGCAGAGCTTGCTGTTATGGTCGTCTTTACACATTACTTGACTCAACATGGCCTCGGTGAGACGAAAGTAGCCTTCTATTGGTCTTCATATTCCTATTCTATTTTCATTACTTGTAGCCGCACTACCACGTTTCTCCGATGAAAGGGAGGAACCGGTTCCCAGTCAAGTAAATCCCCTTTGGTTGCTCCCGGAGAGAGACAAAATCTTCGACATAAAAGTACATCCGGCACGACACATACAGCCCGGAAATGAGAACATTCGGGAGGATCACAAACAAAGACATCCATATGGTTGGGCCCTTTGCCGCCGAGTTGTTTACCTGAGACCTAGCCGATGCCATGAGCCGATGGACAACTCCCTTTGTCCTGGTCGGCAAGGTTTTGGTTTCCTGCGACTGGTTTTGAGCCTTAGAATCCGCTTCCACAACATGGTATATCGATTGAAGAGCTCCATGCAAGCGTTTCTGCGCGCGATGCCATTTCTGGTCTTTGTAAAGGTACTGGAAGGCCCCGTACAAAAAAGAAAGAAAAGTAAAACATGTGGTACGACGCAAATGAGCTGCTCCGTCGGTGTTGGGGACTGGAAATTCTATCCGATCATGAAGGTTACGCTGAAACCAACGATGAACACACCTCTCAGGGGGTAGTACATCAATTCCATGAGGCGCCACAGGTCAGAGGGAAATCTGTCCCAGAGTTCTTGTTTATTGGGCCTTCCATAGGGGTGAAAATACAACATGTCGCCCAGTCTTTTGTAAAAGCACCAGTAGGCGGCTATGCGAAAGATGCGCGGGGTGATATCGTCGAGTGGTGCACGGTGCCATGTTGTTGGAAGCTGCGGATGGGTCTATGAGATCTCAGTTAGCGGACATTCAATCGAAATAGGGGCAAACCAAGGGCACTCACGTGAGATCTGGCGTATGTTCGAATTCGTTCCAGAGTCACCTGTCCCTCGTCTTAGACTTTGGTTTTGATGTACCGGGGATAGAAAATCGCCGGCTTTAGGTACCAGCAAACAGACGTAGCAACCATGACGAATGTGAAAGATAGTTCCGTCAGTTCTAAAGCGGTGATGCGCAATCCGTTCCTGACATGGTGCATCTCCGTGATGAAGAACCAAAGAGCTTGCCAGAGAGTGATGAGCCTGCCGAATGTTAGCAACAGACTCCACTCAACATGGTGATTGTAATTGTGACTCAAGAACCACATGTACGTTGAGAGAGTGTCAATCGTATTACGTTCCGCGATATTCACTGAATCCATATCAGGAAAATCGGCGAAGCCGTGCTTGACCAAATAATGCAGCTGTTCCGCGTCAACAGGAAATCCTTCAGGGAATCCGGGCTCTTAAGGAATACCCCACCCATGTCAACGAAGAAAGCCTGATTGTACGTCCATTTTTGACCGCCACACAAGAGGCTATCCATCTGAAACTGCTACAAACCATTGAAGATCTGGTCAGTCGCGGCTCGGATTCCATGGAATGAGAAGCCTCTCATACCTTGACACTTCGACGAGCACTGGAAAGCTGACCAATAGCGAGTCCGAAAAGGAAATCCGGTCCTAAAAGTGCAATCATTGCAGGGTTGATTTTGTCCAAGACGCCGTGGTACCCCTTGTCTTTTGACAAGAGAGCGTTCGAGTGTGTGGCTGCCCAGACGCAAAGGATAATTGTCAACAGGCTTGACCAGAGGATGTCGACGCTTCCGCTGTCTCTGCCTGCGGCCACCCATCCGTGGATACTGGTGTTAATATCGCTGTGGTTGATTCCATCGTGTTGCACGAAATGGTTGAGAGCACCTATTTCTAGCTCACCCATGAAATCGAGGTTTCCCAGTTGACCAAGTCGATCATGTGTGCTTTGATGATGAGAGGGAGTCGGGGCCGGAGCTTTACCTACACTTATTTCTCAACATTTGACTAGGGTGAGTTGATTTACAAGCAACTACTGTCTTGAGTCCACGATTTGCAACTCGTGAGACGGAAGCATTTCGAAGAGGAGCCGGGCTATTTACGACCTCCATCGCATGTAGCAGTAAAAGCCCCTTCCTTCTTTACGATCTCTAAGATATTTGAAACACATGCAGTCAAGAGCTGGTTGTGTTGCAGATCCATACCGTGATAAGAAGGCTGCCTGAAGGAAAATGACAAGTCTGTTGGCTTCTGGAAAAACAATACGAATCACGGCCCCTTGTGGCCTGCGGCCTTGCCCCATGACCGACAGCCTGTGACATAGGCATTCACGGAGGGCCTGCCTCTTTGAGATGGTTCTGTTGGTTCGAGATTTGATCTCGTCCAGGTAGGGTTACTGTTAGCCGCCAGCCGCCCCAATTCAGTGCGACACCCCGCTCTACTGCAGCCTTTGTCTTTGAAGTATCTGTGGGAATCTTGATACAGCCTCAATGAGGCACTTTAGTCTGATTCGTTACCATGTTTTCGTCTCGACGCTAAGGATTCAGGAAGTACCCGGCCTGGATATGTGAAAGCAGAGTATTCGAAAATGGATGGAGACTGCTATGTGATCCAAGATCCAGTAGAATGGTTACTTCACGGTTACAGCCGAACGGGATACATAAATCTTGCCACTTTTTGGTCTTTCGCCTTCCAATTTTTGGTTTGTCTTGTCAAATTCGGTGGAAACATATTCACGTAAAGCGTTGCCCGATACCGAGGAAAGGTCCGCCAGTTGTGAGCAATGTATACCTGATTCTGTGGAAATATCTCATTGACTTTGTAAAGTTATGCACAGCGCCTTGGATCCCTTGCTCTCTGATGAAGAGCAAGTGACTGATGATCAGTCCGAAAGCAAATGATTTGCCGCTTTTCGGGCTTTTCATGAGGCAAGAGATGACCAGGCATCATGTTCACAGAGCCTGAGGTCTTGAGAAATTTACTAAGACAGAAGACTTGAGAAGAACAAGAAACCCGGATTGACCTTGCAACCTTTCAGTTACGAGGCAACTGGAGGCCGTGGTCGAAAACCTTACATCTCTCAAGTTTTGATATCGTCAAACGTTCTGCTCAAATATCAGAAGCGTCCTTAGTGGATTTTCAAACGAACCACCCAATACCGTGAAGTTAAGAAAGTAAAAGATAATGATTCATGCTGCAAGGCACACTTTACAGGAAGTTTGGCAATGCAAAGGAGCGGCGCAAAGGACGGGCAGTGCTCGTCATCGTGACAACAGTCGTCATTCTCACGTCCAGATGATTACCAGTCTCCACACCTCGTCAAAGCACCGGCCAGCATCGATCGTCTTTATCCACATGAGACTGTCGCGGGTAATCTTAGACTTCAATACTCTCTATCACTCAGTCGTTTTAATTGACGATGTGCGCAGTTGGGAGGAGAATAAGGCAACAACATGATGTAATTTGGTGGCCAACCCACGTTATGCCACAGTTTTGCGGGCGATGCTGTGGGGAACTGAAGTCATCCCACTGTGGGTGCTGCGTCTGTGACAGGAGGTTTGCCTCCGGCTTGGATTGATGTGAGAAGAGCTCAACATGATGTCATGCGCCCTGAAGATGTTTAAATGGCAGATTTGGAACCTCGATGAGATGAAGAATGGAAAGACAATCAACCCTTACATCAAGACATTGAAGAAGGCGACTTATAATACCTCAGCGAAACCTTATCTCCCAAATTCTTCGAACAAACCATCACCAAAAGCAACCTATCAAAATGTCTGCTCAGTACAAGGCTCCAAGTGCTGGCGCCAAGGTATGTCTTGACATCCCTGGAGTCACGCAAGCCTATTTTCGATAGCCTTTTCCGAAAGTTCAGACACTAACAGTGATCAAAAGGTTGAGCCCAGCGCCGACGTCCGTCCCACCCGATCCGAAGCAACCGGTGCCGTCCCCGCCGGTTCCCTCGCAGCCGAGTCCGCCAGCCAAGGCGGCGAATTCGCCTCCAACCGCGGCGTCGACACCACCGGCACTGCCGCTCCTTCCCGAACCGGCACCGGCGGTGCTCCCGGGTCTAGCGCCGCATCGATCCCCGATCAGGCCGCCGCAGCGCCGACATATGTGAGCAACCAATACGTCCGCGACCCCAATGGGCCTCACGGGAAGAATATCACTGAGGGCTTTGATACGGCGAACACCAAGGACGGAGTGCAGGCTGCTTTCACCGCCGAAGTTGGTAGTGAAAATGACCCTAGTCGTGTGGCGGAGCAGGGGCTGCTGCAGAGCCAGACCAAGGCAGGGCGGGATGCGGGACCCCGGCAGACTGAGGTCGGGGGGGAAACTGTGTATGAGAAGTTGAAGAGCGATGTTCAAGCGTAGGATGTGTTTGGTACAGCGTAAGGTTAATAATATCTGTATGAAGATTGGCTTTAGGATACCTGAGTATGGATGACGATGGAACATGGAAGTAAATTTGACTCGAGCATCGATACCTGTCGTAACCAGGACCCCGGATTGTTGACGACGTCTCGCGACTTCCGGCGCCCATTCTCTCGAACATTCACGCAACACCCAACGCCAGCCCAAGTTTTCGATCGCCATGTGACAGATATTTCGTTTTTTGTATTATTGTCGTTGCCATCAACATTTTCGGGCCTTCCGGCGGGCCCCTAGTCGCTGGACTCTATTTTCTCGCCGCTTGCGAGCTACGTAGACGGTCTCTTGACCACCTTCGACATCAGCATCGGGCGCTTGGTCTAGGGGTATGATTTTCGCTTCGCACTTCCGACAGGAACGCGCCTTTGTGAAAGGTCGTGGGTTCAATTCCCACAGTGTCCAATTCTTTTGTATCCTGCGCAAGTTGATGTCCGTTTTTGCTTCACAGAGTGCGCCAGCTTCGAAATACATGTTTCTTTTGGTCGATTGATGCGTGGTGGTGATGGACGATGCTTCTCTACACTACATTACTGAACTGGGAGTGCCATATGGGTGAGATGTTCGAGCGAGTGACTATGACTTGTGCACGCACGCACACAGGTTGAGTGAGATACTCTTCATTATGTAATCCCGATCAAGTTTGGGAATCGTCAAGAATTGTCCATTTTCATGTCAATAAAATATTATCAGCCATGGCGTATTAAACTTTATTGAGTCCGGCAACGGTTGACAGTTATCAGTGAATATGGGACGGATTCGGTCGGCCCCCGAAAGGCGAGTGGAGCCGTCCAGAATACGGTTGCCTAAATCTGGCGGTGCTAATTAACTGCATGATGCCGCGCCGTTCCCGGGGAATTTCGTACTGCTGGAGACGATGGAATTTTCCATTGAAACAATGGAAGAAAGGTGTGACAAGGGCTGATCCGACTCTTATTCCAACATCAAACCTTTACACTTACCTTCGTTCACGGTCTAGCACCTTTTTCATTTCTTGGCTTCCAGGAGAAATCCAACTCGGCATTGTCACCCGAGAACGTGCCACCAGAGGCGCAGCTGTTGACGACTTCCCCCTTGTTACGGGACGAGTCAGGACAAGAACGCCAAACCTTACCGCAAAGAAGCTTGGTCTCTTCTTCTGCTCCAGCGCTTCTTACCTACTATTATTCAGCGGGGTTTCAGCTGCCGATGCGCCGGAAGTGCAAGGGAACCGAGACACGGAGAAGTGGGAACATCAAGTCGCGGATTCATACCTCATCATTGAACGACACCGGCAGGCGACAACGACGTAAAGGGTGGAGGATAAGCGCCGCGGACACATACATCTCACCCATGCTCGTCCTACGGTAGACGCAAGATGAGTGCGCCCGAGTCGTACCAGCTCGAGTCCCTCGCCTCGGATGCGGATGGCATCAAGCCCGCATCGCCGACGGCCTCCATCGACCCGGCCAACGTGCGGTGGATGAACCAGGGCGACCGGAGATGGGAAGTCTGCAAGATCGTGACCCGTCTCATTGGGACGCTGCTATGCGCTATCATCCTCATCATCATGATGGCATGGTACGGCCATACGCCGTGGGATGGCGATGGAGTCTGGCCTTGGCTGTGTCTGCCGGGAGTAAGTTTTCTTTCACACTTTCTCTCGTCTCATGCAAGAAATTGTAGCTCACCATGAGATGAACTCTTTAGGCTTTGCCGTCATTCATGTGGGATCTGGGAGAGTTCCTCACCATCTGCGCTCGCCACGGACGCGGCATTACGCCAAAGGCTCATATTGGCCTGGAACTTATCATTTCCATACTCGGCTACATTGGCGGAGGCTGGCTGGCGTTCCAACTAGGTATCCAAGAAGACAACCAGGTAGGAAACAGCCCGTTGAACCTCGCCCTCGTGGCATGTATCTTCATGCTCCTCAGCGCGTGAGTTCTCCGTTACCCCTTCGTTACTTGACCTCCTCGGTCTATCACCCTACTGAACATCTATTCCCTAGAACTATCCACATGGCCCTTTTCATCCGCGCCTGTATAGAACGCAGCCGTGAAATCCGCCGGCGCAGACCGCGCGTGATGTACATACCAGAAACAGGGCAAACAGTCTACGTCGTCGCCAAACCCTTTCCAAAACTACCGACGTGGAAATCCCAACAGTCCGCACGCGCCCAAACCTCCCTTCGCTCACCGCAGAGCCCGCTCAGCAACTCCTTGCGGCACCACTTTCAACAACTCCAAGAAGAGATGCCGCCGCCATTACCAGACCGGCCCGGCGACCAGTCCCCTTCGTCGGCGTCGTCCATCAAGCGGAAACCCTTACCGGGCGGTCTGCCCGCGCGTACGTTCCCCGTGGGTGATAGTCGGGATCAGCACCTCCGGCCGAACATGCGTCCTCCGCCGGCTGATTACGAGCCTTCTGCGGATGAGCTGGAGAGGATGAGACGGGGCGATGCGCAGCCTCAGCTTATCTTGCCGGGAGATGTGGATTTCAAGTTTGCTACGAGCGTGACTGGTATGACGCCGGCTGATGCAAGCGCGAGGGAGGGCAAGTATCGGGTGAATATGACGCAGATGCCGATGATGGGGGAGTCTTCGAGGGGTGGGAGTGCAGGTAGGACGAGATCTATCTAAGCTTCTGTCTTTGTATACCTTACTTGAGGATACTCACAAGAGTGTAAACCTCATTCATTATCCATGTAGCATTTTCGCGATCGGGAGGGACGGCGTTTAGGGACATCATGACTGAGTAGAACAGTCTCATTCACGTTCGGGCATCTCATGATATTCTCTTCGTTCGATCTTTCCACTTTACGCCATCCTTAACTCACATTTTGAGAGCCGACTCATCACAAACGAGGCATATTGAAGTCTCCAGAACAAACACGGTCCAGGAAATGGAAATCTATTTCACTCAAACCCCAAATTCCCGGGCATCTCAATTCAAGATGGCGTCGATCAAAAGTCCCAGCTCTTCAGAGCAAAGCAGGGCGCAGCACTAGCTGTCAGGGGCTCGTCGCGCCGTGACAGGCCCCAACCCGGGCCCTGCGACACGAACCAATGGCCCACTTGGAGCCCACAATACAGAGATCTCACTGGCTACGGTATCACGGATGGATGGGCTTTGGGGAATGAGGTCCCCCGTAGCCTCTGTAGCTAGTGACGGTACGTACTGCAAGACCCCCTGTTGGTGCCCTCTGATCTTTCCCCGAACTCCCAGGGTTCGAACTTTTGGCTCCTTGTTCCCATCGGCCCCCGAGTTGCTTGTCGACCCCCGTTCGATTTCCATCCCCGGTCTAAAACGCATGCGACCTGACATGCCGCCGCCGCTCGTTCTCCTCACTGCCGACCTCGCCGCGTATTCCAGCCCCTCGACGCAAACCGTCAACAAGTAGAGCGCTCTTTGAGAATCAATTCTCCATCTGCGATTCTGTACGATTCGCCTTCCCACAACTGCGACCTCCAGCATCACCCTCGACCTCAATGGCAATCCCATCATAACCACGCGATCCCTCCCCAAAATCGCCCATTCCGCGGCCTCCGAAAGCACGAAAAGAAACAACCCCCCCCCTCCCCTCGCCAAGGGCCAAGGGGAAGGACCTCGACGATCACCAGCGATGCAGACCTCCTCCTCCGACGACACTCTATCAAAATGGACAACACGCCGCTCCACCCAGACATCACGACCCTCCCGCCCGACACAGGCCAGCGCCACGGCGACTTCCTCACCGCGATCCCCTACAACCGCTCAATGTACCGCACCACCCTCCTCCTCCGCCTCGCCTCCATGCTCGACGCCGTCATCATCCTCGCAGCCCTGGCTGGGCAGAAGGTAGACGATGAATACTACATCGGCAACTGGGCTTTCGGGTGTCCTACGGCGGCTATGGCGTGGTTGTGGAGCGCGGGTGACATAGGGGCGATGCTGGTGCGCGATCGCGGGTTTCGGTGGACGAAGGATGACCCGACGAAGCTGCCGCGGAGTACAAAGTTCAGCTGGGGGAAGCCGGGTGGACATGTGGCTGCGCATTTGCTGATTTGGACGCCGACGGCGGCGATGATGGCGATTGTGATTTCGAATTGGCTGTTGTACCAGAATAATGGTTGGTTTGGGGCTAATGTTGATCCGCGGCAAACGAATACCATGGCGGCGGTGATTTTTTTTATGTTTATCCTGACGTACGTCCCCCCTGTATCTGTCACTCTCCTTGCGCCTGGAGAGATGGCTTGATGGCAAGCGCTTTCTGAGTCAAAGATGGAAGCTAACAACAGACTCGCAGGATGATCCACTTCTCACTCTTCATCTTTGCTATTGTCGAGGTAGACAACGAGCGACGGCACTACTCAGACGTCGTCTTCGTCCCGAGAGGCGAGCTGTGTGAGATGGTACCCGTGCCGCCATCGACACCGTGGGAGCTCTTCTCGCCGCGGAAGCTGCTTCTCTCTTATTTTGCGAATCATTACGTTCGTTTCGTGCCCGGGGCGGACGGGACGGTTACGGTTGCTCGCGACTACAGTAGTCGACAGGCGAGGTTCTGAAGAGGACCCGTCTCTACCTTACACATGCGAGCCAGTTTGTTGGCTCGTTGAAGCAGAACGAGGCCTCCAGGTCGGAAAAAAGGACTTGGGCATCCCTCGAAGTCATCAAGCATAGATGCTAGACAGACGCATCATTTACACTACCTCACGCTACCTTGGGCGTAGCATAGCGGGCCGATAGATGGATTATTGGATCCCCCGCGGGATTACCGCCGAAACAAGCGGCATTTGATTTTAACAAATAGCTGGACTGATACCCAGGGATATATGGAGTACGTGTGACTGCCATTTAGCAGTACATAAAAAATAATGGAATGAAAACATCAAAAACATCAATCACCGTCATTCTGCAATGCCAAATGCAACGCTTTTCTCCTGCAATATCCTCAGCCTCTCGTCTTCCAGCCAATTAGGTCAGGCGGATTAGCACGTGACGTGTGACGTCAAGCCCCGCGGCTCCGCGTTGCTGCATAGTTGCGTCAGGCCGGGTCTCTGAGCCTTGAGGGGGGGTCCTTTTTGAGGGTCTTTGAGGGTCCTGGACGGGACAGTTGAGCTTTCCAAGTTGCAGGTAGTCACGATTAGATAAGAAAGAGGTTGGACTCTGGAGGGGATGAGCGCCCGAGCCTTGAGGGCTTCAATTGTGCAAGATATTCCCAAGGGAATCCTCGTGATAGGTGGCCCCGAATTGCAACGGAATGACCAAGACGCTCTCTTACCTTAGGTAAAGCGCTGGGGATTCAATGTAGCGTCCTACATGATTAAGTGGTAAAAATATCTGGCACTTGACGTGGATGCTCGCAGCCAGAATGGAAGGAAGAAAAGGTCCTCCCTCTTGCCTCAAGAGGAGTCAAGACACTCGGAACGGAGAAGGCGGTCGGGGTACGTACCGCTTACTCGTGCTTGCATCACATTTCCACACTTTCTAGGCAAGAGCAAAGGCCAAATGGAAGGAGCACGGTTGCATGGGAGATGCATTTTGCGGCTTTGCATTTGTTGGTGCCTTATCGCTTCGCTACCCTATCGCTTATCAGCCTTTTCAAATTTTTGAGGTCGCTGCCCCACTACCAACTCTGTGAACCTGGCCGCAGGCGGGCTGCCCGCTCTCAGCGCTGCCTCTCTGTGTGTGTCCAATTGCCCCTCCCCACCTAAGATCATCCTTTCTCCAGCCTGTGCTGCGAGGGGTGGTGGTGCTGGTGGTGGTGGGTGGTGGATGATGGTGGGTGTGTTTCGCACCGCCGCTCTTTGTCTCTTGTGCGTGTGGTCACCCTGCCGCCGGACGTCAACCTTTGAATTTTTTTCTTTTCTCCTACACGCCTCATCCTCCCGACTCTTCCTCTCTCTACCAGTCGACTTCATCGCCGACTTGATACTTGCGTGACACTATTCTGGTCGTCGACGCATCACTAGGAAACAAGAAAGGCCTTTTTCATAGCCTTTTTCCCCCTCCTTTTTTTTTTTTTTTCCCTCCGTGTTCTTTTTGGGCGACCATAGGTTCCCCGCCATCGCTTAGGGAAAAAAAATCAACCCCGCCATCAACCACAAACCACCATCATCATGGTTTCCTCATCCAAGGAGAAGAGACTCGCCAAGAAGGCGGCCGCCGCGGGTCCGAAGAAGGGCGCTAAGAATGCCAGCACGACTGCCTCGTCGGTCAACGGCGATGAGCCCGCCGGAAATGACGCAGAAGAGATCAAGCGCCTGGCCGACCAGATGGACAAGCACGGCATTTCTGACCGTGTCACCACCGGTGTCCTGTCCTCTACCCAGGCCAGCAGAGACGTCAAGATCACCAGTGCCTCCCTCGTCTTCCACGGTCGCGTCCTCTTCAACGACACTACCCTCGAGTTGTCCTACGGACGCCGATACGGTCTGTTGGGAGAGAACGGTTGCGGAAAGTCCACCCTTCTCAAGGCCATCGCTGCCCGCGAGTTCCCCATCCCTGAGCACATCGATATCTACCTTCTGAACGAGGGTGCTCCCCCCACCGAGCTCGGTGCCCTTGAGTGGGTTGTTACCGAGGCTGAGCGTGAGATGGAGCGTCTCGACAAGATGGCCGAGAAGATTCTCGAGGACGACGGTCCCGAGTCCCCTGTCCTTATGGACTTGTACGAGGTATGTTCTGCTTTCCCTTCCCTGCCCAAACTGAGGCTTAGGCCTCATGTCCGAATTCGATCTAACAGCCTCGTAGCACATGGAGAAGATGGACCCCTCTACCTTCTCTACCCGCGCCTCCCTCATCCTGACGGGTCTGGGTTTCAACAAGGTCACCATCCACAAGAAGACAAAGGACATGTCTGGTGGCTGGAGAATGCGTGTCGCTCTTGCCAAGGCTCTGTTCGTCAAGCCTTCGCTGCTGTTGCTCGACGACCCCACTGCCCATTTGGACCTCGAGGCCTGCGTGTGGCTCGAGGAGTACCTCAAGAAGTGGGATCGTACCTTGGTCCTCGTTTCCCACTCCATGGATTTCCTCAACGGTGTATGCAACACCATGGTCGACATGCGCGGCAAGCAGCTCCTCTACTACGGAGGTAACTACGACATCTACAACAGAACGCGTACCGAGCAGGAGACAAACCAGATGAAGGCCTACCAGAAGCAGCAGGACGAAATTGTGCACATCAAGAAGTTCATTGCTAGCGCCGGTACCTACGCCAACTTGGTCAGACAGGCAAAGTCCCGTCAGAAGATTCTCGACAAGATGGAGGCCGACGGTTTCATTCAGCCCGTCATCCCCGACAAAGTCTTCACTTTCCGTTTCGCCGACGTTGAGAAGCTTCCTCCTCCCGTCCTGTCTTTCGACGACGTAACCTTCTCCTACTCTGGCGACCCCAAGGACGACCTGTACCGCAACATCG